ACCACAAGCAGTACCTCCTCCTCATGTCAATCCTTAATGCCTTTAGCGACCCTCAAGGCCGAGGGTACTGAACCTTTTTTGCTAGGAACTGCATGTAAGAGTGTGAGGCTCCACGTTAATTGTAATCTGGGATTAGGTAAATAACAAGTTAAAAACAATTAAACAAATCCAATCGAAAAGGATTAATGTAACTGCAATTGTGACAACGCATAATAACGATTAATGTAACTGCAATTGTGACAACGCATAATAACGATTAATGTAACTGCAATTGTGACTATGCATACAACGATTAATGTAACTGCAATTGTGACAACGCATAATAACGATTAATGTAACTGCAATTGTGACAACGCATAATAACGATTAATGTAACTGCAATTGTGACTATGCATAATAACGATTAATGTAACTGCAATTGTGACAACGCATAATAACGATTAATGTAACTGCAATTGTGACAACGCATAATAACGATTAATGTAACTGCAATTGTGACTATGCATAATAACGATTAATGTAACTGCAATTGTGACAACGCATAATAACGATTAATGTAACTGCAATTGTGACTATGCATAATAACGATTAATGTAACTGCAATTGTGACTATGCATAATAACGATTAATGTAACTGCAATTGTGACAACGCATAATAACGATTAATGTAACTGCAATTGTGACAACGCATAATAACGATTAATGTAACTGCAATTGTGACTATGCATAATAACGATTAATGTAACTGCAATTGTGACTATGCATAATAACGATTAATGTAACTGCAATTGTGACAACGCATAATAACGATTAATGTAACAGCAATTGTGACAACGCATAATAACTTTGAAATTCCCAAAGAAAACTTAACATTTTTCAGATTAAAATAAATTTCACTTCCTTTTGAAAGGATAAGAGTGATTATGTGTTTTATTCTTGTTAATAATCTGTTTTCTTAAATTAGTAAAATAATAGTGAATAATATTTCTAGACAAGGAAAACGAGAAAAAAAGACAAAAGATCAATTGTAAGACAGAATGTATGACCGTTAGTAAGAGGAACAACCCAAGATTTGAGCTACGAATTTGAATTTCTTTCTTTCTTTCTTTCTTTCTTACGCCTGTTTATGTTTTTATTAAGCTCTAGTAACACCTGTCTTGTAATACAAAGATAACCCCACCTGAAATGCGCTATTAGAATTAATGCTGCTTTCACATTTTAGAGTGATGAAATACACTAGGAAGTATTTGTTCACAAAATATTGTATGTTGAAAAGCTTCTGTATAAAAAGAAAGACAATTTGATAAAGAAAATTCAGGTTAATTCAGGTCATAGACCCAAAGTAATGAACAAAAGCAATATTCTATACATTTTACTGTCTTCTTCACTGAAGAACCTATAATGTCGCACATAAAATGACAGTGTCCACGAGCTTTTGAATCATAGAGAATGACTAAAAAGATAGCAGAAAACACTGGGGACATTTGGCGAAATCTAATTTACGTCAGGTTCATATTTCGTTCTGTATTTTAATGATGACAGCGAGGAAACGGAAGTACTGAATGATAAAACCAAGAAAAAAGTGTCTGTCTATATTTCCGAGATGAGGTATTATGTACACTATTTACATTATTCGGACTATTGTCCTCATCTTTGTCGCCATATTTATCACAACGTTTCGGCCGTTATACGCTCCGGCCTTCTTCAGGCGGTTGGAATGTCGAACTGAATTCTTTATTTCGCTCACTGGGGTAGACTGTTGCATGTGCCATATTTAATGGATGTCAGTTATCAGTCTTCTCCTGTTAATTCCCCTCTCCAAGTTCTCCACTGCCTTAACCTTTGGGACTTGTCACTGGATCTAACCAACGCCTTTATCCACTGTGCCATGTGTCCTTGGCACATGGCACAGTGTGTGCGTGCGTGTGTGTGCGTGCGTGCGTGCGTGTGTGTGTGTGTGTGTGTGTGTATAAAAATTCAGACGTAACGATAAAATAACTATAAAAAAGACAATATGAATAAAAACAAAAGGAAAACATTCTTCGCCAACGCCTTCCGTCGTCTGGTGGACTTTATCTGGGCAAATATAAGGATTCTACTTTGCAAAACGTATTCATAAACAGAAGTAAAAAAAATATCTTTATTTTTTCAGAATTTTTTAACTTACAGTCAACGACGAAATTATTTGTACATCCATCAATTTTTAATATTTTTGTTTCTCAGAATCTAATGCTCGTATGATTCCAGGTTTTTCATATGTTAATAAACACAAAGAAAGGAATATAAAATTCGATTATCAGAACAATACGTTATACAACAAATTTCACAGGCGAATTATGCAAAATAGGAAAAGACACAATTATTCGTACAGTAAAAAATATCGCTTTAAATTGATTGATTCGTGTAAGTAAAACTAATTTCCATAATTATTTCATCGGTGAAGCCTTCAGTAGAATATTTATGATAATTCCAGCAAAGAATATCATGTTGTACATAGAGTGTCACCATTGTTGTTCTTACGTTAAGAATACGATGGGGAAGACAATGGAGCTTAGCGTTGACTTGAGAAAAAGAATTATTAACTTCCACAAATCGGGAAATAGTTACAGCACTATTTCAAACCAGTTAGCTATCCCTAGATACAGTACAGTCCGTTATAAAGAAGTTTATACAGTTTGACACGACAGAGAATTTGCGTCAAATCGTCACTGAGAACTGCAAGAAAACTGTGTCGCGAGATTAATATAAACACAATAGTTGTTTTAAAAGACATCGCCAAAAGTTTGGATACGATTGGTATCAGCGTAAGTATTCGCACAATACGATATTGTTTAAATGGAAATGAGCTGTATGGAAACCGATCACGACGAATCCCTTTTCACAAACCATGTCATATTTTTACCAGGTGTAATTTTGCCAAAACGTTCTTGGACAAAGAAAATTGCTTTTAGGAACAAGTACTATGGAGTGATGAAACAAAAATTGAGATTTTTGGATATAATGATGTACAGAAGATTTGGCGCAAGAAAGGTGAGGCTTTCCTCCCAAAGAACACAGTGTCAACATTAAAACATGGAGGCGACTCAATGATATTTTCTCGTTGTTTTAGCTCAAGGGGGACTGGATAATTAATTGCAATAACAGGAATAATGAAATCTGCAGACTATATCAAAATTCTGGATGAAAATCTACAACTATCAGCGCAAAATCTTCATCTAAGTCGGCGTTTTACTTTTCCAGCAAGATAAGGATCCCAAACATATGTTTAAATCAGTGACTGCGTGGCTTCAGAAAAAGATTACATCTCTGCCATGGCCTTCAATGGGTCTTGACTTAAATGTTATTGAATATCTATGGGAATAATTGAAAATTCGAATAAATCGTCAGTACCAAAAAACCTTCAGTGATTAGAACGTGAATTCATTGAAGAATGTAAGAAAATCCCAGAAAAGAATTGTTCAAATCTCATCAAAAACTTTAAAAAACGATCGTAGCAAATTATAAAGATGAGAGGCCATGGTATTGACTGTTAATATTGTGAAAAATATTCAATTTTTTTCTATTTTTTGTACGAATAATTTTGTCATTTCCTATTTTACATAATTCGCCTGTTCTGAAAATTGAGTTTTATTTTCCATTTTTTGTGCTTATTAACATATAAAAATCTTAGCATCATACGGACATTATCTTCTGAGAAACGGATAAAAATATTCAAAATTGATGGGTGTACGAATAATTTCGTCGTTGACTGTAAGAATGCTCACAATTATTCCTCAAGGCAAACTATGGAGGGCGCCAAGTGATGCGACGACATCCTCCAATAAACGAAAGTTAATAAATGTTGTTATTGTTGTTGAATTTCTTTTATAATGTAATTACAACCGGCTAGGATATGGACGCCTCCCTGTTAGAATCTGTAACTCTAGGAGAAGGAAAAAAAAGGAGGATTTCTTTTTGAAAACAGGTGTTTTAGACGGTGCCAGTCAGCTGCTACTGATACTATGTATATCCACTACAGCCAATCGTTTGTGGGCTGGTGCTGTTGGGGTATAAGCTCATTACACTCTTTTATGACCACTGTTTCTCTTTGTAGTCCTTGCTTCGCCATCCATTGCTCAATCTTTTCAAGTAGGTTACTCGCTGTTTTTTTCTGCGTCTCATGCCTTTATGTATCTTGTCAGTGTTAAAGCCTTCTTCTCTTATTATGTAACTAGTGGCAAACCCAAATGATCATTCTTTCAATGGTTGATCCAGCCAAGCCAATACATTCGATACATTGTTTCATAAATAAAAAACTCATAAGGTAATATTTTATAAACAAGAAATTATTTTATTCAGCGTCACTCCTTTTTCAACCGCCATTTTTTATATATTTAAAACAACACAGATGCTATATTATAAATTTTTAAAAAGTGTTTCTTCATCATTCAGAACGCATTACACTTGTTGTTCAGATCAATGCTCTAGCAAAGGATAATGTAACCGAATTTAAGATCAAAAGATTTCTTTTTTTAAATCACAGTTCGTTGTTTGGTTGGTTGGTTGGCGGCATATCAACACCTCTATGGGCTATTTAATGCTAAAATCTAAATATTTTCAACACAATTTTATCGCTTCAACTAAATATATTTTGAACAGAATAATATGCCTTCAACAACAGATAAAATATATTGTTGGTAATTCTACAATAAAATGTATTGCTGGTCATTTTGCTTTAAAATTGTATTTGTTGGTAATTTTAATATAAATACGTATTGTTGGTAATTTCTTATATAAAAATGTATTTTTATGCTTTCTTAGTGTTTTGTTTGGGGATCCCTATTTGTCCAAAGCTGGGACCCTAACAGGTGCTACCACCCCTTGAAATCACAGAATCTGGCAAATCTGGAGAAATCTTTGCAGTATAGGTTTCCATTTGTTGTTCTTTTCTGTTTGTGCCAAATTCACAAATGTAAAATTAAACCGCTTCTTGGTCTAATTCTTCTTTTTCTTAATTATAGAAATGCATCGGACGTAAGATAAACTGAGTAGGTTTGAGATCAACAGCGACTCATCACAGATTCAGCTCAAACTTATGGTCCATTCCCTTTAACCTTGTTTTCCTCAGTCAGCCTGGCACAAAGCAAAACCAAGGACATTGTCTCTCTGCACTCTATGCCCAAACATGAGGAGGAAAAAAGCGATTATGAATTTGCTCTGCTGCAGATTCTACATGTGATAAGAGAACCTTCGACCCAAAGAGGTAAATTAATTTAGTAACATGTTAAAAAGTATAAATTACATTCCATATTTTAAATCATATATATATATATATATATATATATTACAATGAATCATTCATACAAAAAATAGATAAAGTTAATGATATAAAATGGCGAAATTCTTTCGCAAACAAAATTTTAAAGGTGCAATAACTTAGAAATCACTTGATGAATATTACGATCCTTGTTTTTAAAAATTATAAACTGTATAAGGTTTTTCTTTAATATGCTAGTACTTTCAACTGTACATTCAGTCATCCTCAGGCATGGAAATTATTTTGTTTTTGGTAAAATTCAGGTAGCATTCGAGACGAAAAATTAAATGCGAATCGAAATTTTTTTTTTTTTTTTTTTTTAATGTTATTGTTCACGGATACAAACTTTTGGAGCGTGCAGTCGCAAAGCTAAGGTTTATTTTTTGAAAATTTAAGATAGTTCGTTTTTTTTTACTAATATGGCAATTTGAGAATTTTTGTTGTAGGAGTTTATCAGTCAATGTGGCATGAACTAAATTGTTCAATAAAGTAATGTCTCAGTTGTTATCCCGAAAATGTGCACGTCGGATCGGTTCTTTAAAATCAAATATGTGATGCAGTTCAATTTATATTACAATGAATTATTCATACAAAAAGTAGATTAGTAAAGTTAATGATATATATGTGTGTGTGTGTGTGTGCGCGCACGTGTGTGTATATGTGTTTGCTTGCGTTTTTGTATGACTGATTTTATGTATATTTATTTATATAATTCTTCCTGTATATACACACACATATATATATTTTAATACATTTATTCTTTATACCTTATTTTTATAGATACAAATTTTTAAGTATATGCTCTGTTTATAATAAACAGTATTTACTACATTTACCGGTATGAATGTCCGAGATATTTCATAGAAAATATGTGTCCTTCGACAGGAATCGAGCCAGTATCCAACACGGAAGCATTATATAGCCTGGCCTGCTATACCATTGTAGTTTAAAAGCAGTAATGCGACCTTGCTAACCAAACGCTTCCTCTCTAGCTAAATGACATAGCACGTCAAGCTATATCACGGTTCTAAGTTGGATACAGGTTCGATTCCTGTCGAAGAACATATTTTCTATGAAAATTTCTCGGACATACTGGCCGATAAATGTTGTGAATACTGTTTATTTGTATCTATATAAATAACGCATAAACAGAAAATGTTAAAATAATTGTCGGACTTTTGTCCATTTCATAATAATATATATATATATATATATATATATATATATATATATATATGAAAAATAATATCAAAATAACAGAATATATATATATATATATATATATATATATATATGTCATTCGCAGACAGTACTGTTTCGCTGTATCGCAGCTCCTCAGTGCGACTAGACACCCAAATACCTCAAGCCAGGATTAAAACCCAACCGATTTGGTGTCAGTCAGAGTTTCGACCACTGAGCTATCTTCATTAAACAGAATGACCTAGCTAAATCTAGCGTATTGTTTTTACGAATGTAAACAAATGCCAATCAGTCATAGGGCTCGATTCATTTTACTGAGGAGCTTTGCATTAGCGCAGGTGGCAGTTGTTTGCAGAATTAGCTTGTCATTCAACAGTACAATAAAATAAAGATATGTCGGATTAATAAATAAAAAATACACTCCTAATATATATATATATATATATACAGAGAGATAATTCTAAAGAATTAATGGATTTATTTTTTATCTAATATTTTTCATTATTTCAATCGGTATAACAAATAGACTCACAGTTTTTTTTATTACTATTTTTAAACAGTGTGTATTACGTCTATCGCCCTAACCCTTCGTCTTCTTTCAAAATGGTAAAAACAAGCTTGCTAGGCTGTAGCGTTCCCTATGGCCGAGCGGTCCAAAACTTGCTGAATCAAACGCTGGTTTCTCCTACAAAGAGATAAACACGCTGGAAAAGAACGTCTTCTTGAGTGTATAGGCCGATAGACGTAATACAGACTGTTTAAAGATAAAAAAAATGTAGCGTCTATTTCAAATACCAATATCCATTAAAAATAACGTTTGAAATATATATATATATATATATATATATATATATATATGAAAACTTTTATAAAAATATTGACCACAAAATATTATTTAACTGCATTGAAAACTGTTAGTAAAACATACGGATATAGATTTGTCAGTCATTATTTAAAAAGGAACATTAAATCTAAAAATATATATATATATATATATATATATATAATTATTTATTTAAAAATTCTAACATAAATATGTTATAAAATCACTACAAAAATAGCCATTTTGTTTCAACACCTCCAGAGTCTTATCAAGTGATGATGTTGAATATAAAATAAATGATTTTAAAGGTTTCAATATATATATATATATTATGTCAATGTAATCTCATTTCGCTTTGTCTACAGGTAAGCCTAGCTAGAAAATAAATGAATAAAAAATAAATCAAAAAGTAGCTAGATCATTTGAACAACATTTCATGATTAAATTGCTGTGTTGAAAAATATGTACCTTTATTTCTTTAATTTATACATCTTAGGATTTATCCAAATTAGGTGGCTGTTTTTGCATGCATTCGCACATGAGTGCATGCGGATGCACGAATACACACATATGATTATATCGTTTGTCTGTCAGTTTATAAGTATACGTGGCATGCATCAGTATATGTTTATGTTTGCTTGAGTAGGTGTGTGCAGGATCGATATCATTGGCTTAAAGTCAAATGATAAATATAATTATAATAAGGATTGATATTATTAGCTGAAAGTCACATGATAAATATAATTATAAGAACCGATATTATTGGTTGAAAGTCACATGATAAATATAGGTTAAATAAGGATAGTTATTATTGGCTAAAAGTTATACGATAAATATATTCTGAAAATCAACATTTTTATTGTGAAAACATTGATGTGCATAATAAAATCTGATTTCGTGTATTCGATGATTATTTAAGAACCATTATTTAAGATGACCAAATCGTAAAAACAAAATCTGAACGATTCTTTAACTCTGTTTCATTCATGATATTTTCATTAATCTCATTCTTAGCCTTCCTCTTTTTCATTTCTCGTTACACAGATTCTGTCTTGACTCTTCTGAACAAGGACCAGATACTAAAGACAATTGAAAATGCTCACGCCTCTTTTCTGTCAGATGAAACCATTCAAAAGGTTTATATTTATTTTACTTCAAATTTATATTCACATTATCTTAAATGCAGTTTTATTTTATATAATGATATGTTAAAAGTCATGGGCTGGGTGCCTAGTATTAGGTAGGACCACACTAACCCGCAAAGTCCAATCACACTACTTGGCATCGATCTCACAAGTGGTCGGAAAACCTCTGGAGAGATAAGAGATGTTGAACCATGAAGTTTTTCTGATATTTTAGGATTTTGCTTGCGAACAGACCTCGCCATCACGTAGAATAAATGATGGACAGGACTTATGTCGAGCGAACATAGTGGCCCAACCATTGGTCGGAAGTCGCCAGAATGCGGCTCAAGTTAATTCTGGGAAGCTTATGCTGACTCGAGGCATTACCATGCCGGATTAATTCAACATGGTTGTCGTATTTGTCACGGTTTCCATGTATCGGTGTAAATAGTCACGAAGCAATACAGTGTAGCAGTCACTGGTCAGTGACGTGTATAGGTAGACCGGCGTACCCAACACACATCTCACGCAATTGTAGAACCACCACCAATCTATACAGTGTCTTAACAACTAAAGTTCATGCCCTCAAGGATTCTGTGTTCAACCAGAGCCCTACCATTAGTCCGGTACATGCTACAGTTTGCTAGTTCTGTAGCGTCCAGTTCGCTACGTCACAAACCCAAGTGATACGCTGTTAAGAGTCTACTGTGGTGTGTTTTCTACCAACATGTCCTATGGGTGCCAAAGAATATCGAACTGGCCTGCTGGGTATACATCGGGTACTTTCGGCTTTGAATGTGGTTATTTAATCTAGTGTCACGTATTTGTCACCGCTGACAATTCTAATCTGGTTACAAATATTAAGGACGGTAGGCATTCATACCTTCTATCAGCTATTTCCGGTACCAATATTTGAGAGATGCCAGATGGCTCCATAATTTCAGAAATGTAATGTTCTATCCCTCTGGTTCCCACTTCAAATCTACAAGTCTACCATTCGTCTTTGCATTGAATACTGTTGCCATATATGGCCCGGTGCACCCGCTGTTCATCTCGAGGTTCTCGACAAAATCCAAAGACGGATATGCAATGGGATCAGTGCTGACCTGGCATCTCGAATCCAGTCACTTTCTCACAGACGTGATGTGGCTTCCCTCTGTCTTTTCTACAAATATCTTCATGGCAACTGCTCCAGTCCTTTTAATGGCGAAACAGTTAAATGTAACTGCCACTTCTACTCCAACAGCTTCTCTGGGACTTCCCGGTGGTGGAACTCCATCTTACTTGCATCCTTGATAACTATAATCTTCAAAAATTTAAATGTAATGTCAATCGATATCTCCTGATGCTTTGATCTTGATTCCCATCTTTCTCTTTATCCTTTCCTCAAACACTCCTTTTTTTCTCTTACTTTTACTCTCTGTAACCCCTTGCGTACTAGTGGCACTCCCAACTTGCTTGGAGTGAAATGCTTAAAAAAATGACCTGTTCGTACTCAGATAATTCACGTCGCCTTGCAAACAACTAGCAAGTGTTGACACAGACACAAAATAATGTGAAAGCACAAGTGATATCGGCCATAACATCAAAGTATAGTGACGCTGTCTACTATAAAACATTACATAATGCTATTCAATGCCTTTTGTTATGTCGGTGTATATTAAATGTTTGTGGTATTAAAAATGAAGAAACATTTATATTTTTATTTAAATTTATATATAGTATAATTTTTCTTTTGCATTATTGTTATTTTGTAACCGTAGTTAGACTGGCACAAGGACGCAATAGCAAAGATCCCACAAAAAACGAACTCTTTACACTAGCAAATTGGTCTCCGGGGTAAACTTGTTGATTATTGCACTATGTTACGAAAACTTCTTCGTAATTTTGCATAAAAAAAAAACTAAAATAAAAATGCAGCATATAAGAATCAATTTAATATCATATTTCTTAAACTGACTTAGGAAGAAGGAAGAGCAGGGCATGTAAAATGAGCATAAATTAGAATCCATAGTTAAAAACATGTTCTTTCTTTGCTTGTGGAGGAACTGTTTCTAGCTCATCACTGATTACAACAAAGAAGTTCTTTAAAGGATAAATATCAATCTCACCTGCTTTTAACGAAAGATCTACAATAATTTATTTGGCGATTATAAATTGAAAAGCATATTTATATTAGTGATAATAAAGAACATCTTTTTCACTCTTATGAATACATAAACTTCTAATAAAATAAAAATTTAATCAATAAAACAAAGCATTTCAAAATGAATGCCTATATGTAAATGAACCATATCTTCTTGAACTTTATTAATAACAAAAATCCCGATGTCTTGCCTAGTTTCATGTCTTCCTTTTTTAATGTTGCTCACCTAATATAAGGCACAAGCGCCACACATTCTAGAGGGTTATTGAATGGCATTATTGAAACTAGATACCAGTTGATTCACGATTTAAAGAGGTTAAGATTGTAGTGCTCGGGGAAGCACCATCTTGGGAGTCTGTTCCACAAAGTAGTGATTCTTGGAAAAAAGCTGTCCGAATTGAACTTCCTCCTTACTAATGGAATACAAAGGGAATGCGAGAGAAAAATAATTGAAAGTGAAATGAACGTGCGTTCCCCTGTGGGGGATACATTTTTATCACGTGCAAACTACATCTTAATAGCCAGAGTTGTAAGAGAACCACTTGATGAGGGGCCCAGATGTCTATATTAGACGATCCCCACAAACATTAAAATGAAGAAGTGACACAGGCCAAGGCAGGGATAATTATAACGAGGAGTTTAGATAAAATATGACAAAACTTATTATTGGCAAAAATATATACAACGAAAGGAATAAAAGATGCAGATGTTTTAAATACCCCAGAGTGGTCGTGCTGGGAGTTAACATTTGGTCTTTAGCCAATAGTTAATGACGAACCGAGCAGCTTGGGTACTACCGAAGGTTGATGTTGGCATGTTGAGTTGGTATTAGCTTGTGGAAGGTCGATAGGCAGTCAGTATGTTGGGTTGATATTAGCTGGCAGTCTTATCCCAGGGTAGGCGGCTGAAACCGCTGTGATCCACGAAATGATGGAATGCAGGGGAGTGAAGCCTGAATTGCCGAGTGGATTGATAGAAGACGTCCCCAAACGGGACATTTATAAATGGATATAATGTAGCGAGAATAGACTGAGTTTTCCTCGAAAATGACAGTTAGCTACCGCATATCGTGTAGTCGAGAAAGGACAGATTTGTTCTGAAAAGGACAGCATATCGTGCAGCGAAGAATCACTTTAGCTTGTCCTGAAAAGGACTTGTAGATTTTTGCATACCATGCAGCCGAGAAAAAAAATTAGGTTTGTCCTGAAAAGAACAGGTATATATCGCATACCATGCAGCCGAGAAAAAATTAGGTTTGTCCTGAAAAGGACAGGATCAGCATATCGTGTAGCAAGGAATCACATAAGTTTACCATGAAAAGGACAGGTATCATGCAATCGGGAAAAAGAGCTGTCCTGAAAATAATAGAGTCAGCATATCAGGCATCCGAGAAAAGACTTAGATGCGAAGACGTGGTAGGTGGAAGTCAATTAGTCCGTTAGCCTGGACAGTAAAGGTTTGTGTTGACAAAGTCGAATACCTCTGCTGTTGCTGGTTACTGCTTGCTGAGTTAGCCGGGAAGTGGCGGGAGTGAAGTCGGAACTGGCATGTCAGCTATGCTGGCCGTTGCTGGTTGCTACTGCTGGCTGCTGGAACGGATACTACACAATCATTTTCTTCCCCTGGCCGAGTAGCTTCTTCTTGGTTTCAATTCAGCGTACTGATTTTATGGCGTAAGTGCTCGCAGGTCTTGAAGCTACTTTTGGTTAGGTGTAGATGATTGTGTGGCACCCGTTCCAGAAGCCAGCAAGCAGCAACCATCAACCATCAGCAGGAACAAGCAGAAGCCAGCAACCAGCAACAGCTACACCCAGCAATCAGCTGTTGCTGCTGTGGCATGTCGGCTACAAAGAGAGGATGATAGAGAATGTCATTTCCTATTCATAGGCTTAAGGAGCGGCCCTAGCGACAGTTTTATTTTAGTGAAGTGAAGTGGGGCAACCCACAGGTCGTTCTGCATGACAGGAGAACATTCAAGATCTTGCTTGGTAATGAAACTACTTTAGGGAAAGACGTTTGACAAAACGTAGGGGAATGATTTCAAAAGGCCAGTCTAAGATCTGGTATTAATTGTAAAAAATAAAACAAAAATACGGTATTAATGATAGTCTCCTAAAAGATCTGTTATTAAAGTTTCCTAAAAAAACTGTTATTAATGATAAGTTTATAGCTGTAAATTATTAATGTTCCATGTCCCCAAAATGGCAGTATGTAATAATGCCTTAAAATTCATTCAGTTGTCATTCTCCTAATAATAACCTTTTGTATTTTTTCTTCAGATTTGTTTACAGATCTTGCTGATAATATTAAAGGAAAAAAATGAAGACCAAATTCAATACATTCCAATATACAGGTATGAGTCAGAATCCCTTTTTAATATCTTTTACTATATCGTCACAAAATTCAAACTGTTGGTCATTATTTTATCAATATGTACATTACATATTGTTATTTGTAATCATTGACTTTGCACACTATAGTAAATGCATGTCTTCTCAATATCCACGCATTCTTCAATATTTTACTAATGCTATCATTTAAATGGTTTAGATACTTTCACGGAAACTTTTTTGCAAAAGTTTTTGAGGTTGTTCCAAGTGCGCCAATCATGATGGGTTTAATGGTCTCCTTTATGTAGCACCCTTTATTTCCACTTAACCCCTTGTGTTTTAGTGGTTTTATTACTTTGCTTGGGGTGAAGTGGTTAAAAAAAAACTCTCTTGTAAGTTTTAACTATTTTACAAACTTTGCATTTTCTTTCATTTTTACTCTGAGTCATCTGGAACAATGACATTTGTAGCGGACTGTGTTTTTTTTTTTGTGTTGTGACATGAACACGTGTGGAACTTCTGAAATAAAATCCACTACGAATATGGCAGACTCAGAGAATGAGTCTCGCAAAAAATAATGTAAAAACAAGAAACCGATATATATCTACAAACAGGTATATGTATTAAACAACAAAAAGGGTTTACAAAAGACAAAAAAACATTAACGTGTTTGTGTGTATGAACGTAAAGAGTTCGTGTTTCAAAGTATGTTCGTACGTATGTGTGTGTGTGTGTATCAATGTTAATGGTGTCTTTCCAAGGAAAACATATAGTGTCCCCAACGAAAGGGGAAAACTGCGAGAGCTTTACATGGTCGCAATGTCCGCTGAAAAATGGAAGAAAGATAGAGAAAATGGGTTTTCTCGAGTATATATAGTTTAGGGTTAGCGTCCCCTAGTGACAATCTGAAGAATTAGGAAATTAAGGAGGAGTTAACTCTGACACATTCATTTTTTAAATCAACATTTTCTTTACGTTTCATTACAAAACATTAACGTATATTTTCACATTTTTGGAACCCAAAGAAAATAATATATTTTTTTGTTTTTGAATAAAATTTAAATGAATAATTTTTTTCTTTTTTTTTTCTTTGTTAACAAACCTGATATGATTCAGAACAAAAGACTAATATGACGGTTGACAAGAATCAGAATCTTGTGACAGGCTGTGATTTGAACCAACCCCCAACGATTTAATAACTCTCTATGTCATTAGTATCTGGATAGCTTACAACGGGAATTAGGTGACAAGCAGAGACAGAAGATGAATAAGGGTTGATTGAGAACAGGTTCAAAATGTTTCCAACTGATGTAGCTCTGTGCCATTGCAAATTATGTGGTCTTTGAAAATAAGGAATAAATCATTTAGAAGACGCGGAAAACTACAGCTTGAAAATCGAATTAATCACAACACGCAAATCAATCACGTAATAAAATCCTTGATCGTTTCATGACCATATCTTTCGAATGTTCTTTGCATACATGTATTCGATATATTTTTAATCTATCAATTTGAATTGTTTACAATTTTGTCTACATTCGGTCTAATGCACTTGTAGAGGACCGTGTGTTTACGTGTTGTTGAATTAGGGACACATGCTGTTTATTCCTGCTAGAAGATCCAACTACAAGAACAATACGGACTCAAGTTGAGTCCAACCGAAGATGTAAGGAAAACAAACCAGACCGAAATATATATGTCAACAAATATATCTATTAAACAACAAATTTACACGTGACAGAGACATCAGCATTTGTGTTTGTGTGTGAACGTAAAGAGTTTGTATATTGATGAAAGTTCGTACGTACGTGTATGTGTGTTTCATGGCGTTTTCCCACAAGTTTACGAAAACGCGGATCTCTGCGAGAGATCACATTTTTAAACGCGCTGAAATGCAAAGTAGAAAGAAAACGAGGCAAGAAGTCGCCCAGTATTTATAGTGTACCATTAGGAAATTAAGGAGCAACTAACCTCGACACACTCATTTTATTGTTATTATCACAACGTTTCGGCAGTTGTACTCTCCGGCCTTCTTTAGGTGTCTGCCGATCCGGTAACCTTCAAGGAATATCGAACGGAACCTATTATTTAAAACTGTCTAAGGATATCACGTTTTGTTCTCTTTTTAGTACTGCTCGATCTGTATTCACTGAATCTGAGTTTTTACTACTTGGGGCAGAGATCGAACTCACAATTACTATGTCACCAAATTATTGAGCCAACGCTTTAATCTATTAGGCAACAAAGATAAAGACATTAGTCCGAATGTAAATAATCTAAGTAATAATTTCTCATCTTAGAAATTCAGAGAACAATTTAAAGAATGTTATTTCAAAATTGAATCCAGCTAGTAGATTTCAGAGAAACCTTATAATAATAAAAAAAAACATTTGTCTGTGTGTGTGACTTCTACTTTCTGCTGGAATTGAACTGGTGTCATATTGTCCGTGAAACCTAACGTACTAGTTTTTATATTTGATTTGATCTGAAACTTTGGACATTGTTTTATTGCTTTTTGTTTTTTCGTCGTTCACCCACAAACAAAAATGTCATCAATTATTGCTCCCTCGTATTTTAGAAGGGTTATGATGCGTAAAGTGTGCCTATTCAGTTCAAATCTAGCTCTAAAAAAATGGTGAATTAGCTATCCATTTATTAAAGATTTGTCTGTCATATCACCTGCGATTTGACCTGATCACATTATCAAGAGTAGTAAACCTGAAACTCATGAATTGTGGCTATGTTATCCGTTGCTATTAAACATTGATTCTTTCGGACTCTTCCTTGTCTTTATTATAAAGTTTCGACCGCAACGCTCTTTGATTTTCTTCGGGGGTTTCGCCTTTTCTTCATTATGATGTATGTATAAATTAGAAGCAGTTCGTTAGTTTTTTTTTCTTTTTTATTACAAGAACGAAAAAACTGATCCGAAAAAAGTCAATGTAATAAAAATATCTCATCTCAAAAATCCAAACAAAGATAATACGTTATATTTTGCGTTATTTTAACTTTATTTGTATTTTGTGTTATTTTAGAGATATTTGCAATTTGTACTATTTTAGCTATATTTGTATTTTGTGCTATTTTAGGGATATTTTTATTTTGCGTTATTTTACCTACATTTGTATTTTGTGTTATTTTAACTATATTTGTATTTTGTGTTATTTTAGCCATATTTGTATAGCACCAAAGATAAAACCATATTTTGCTTTCCTAATCAGGCTGGTTGTTAACACCATGAACAGTCACATTACAAATGAATCTATTCAGGTTGATGGCATGCAGTTGTTGAAAATCCTTTCTCAACTTGGTAAGTGCCTGTAAATTTCGTATTTATTAACTGAACCTATGTTTTTTGGTCACATTTAACTACTTGACAATAATATTAGTGAGGCTTTACAGCATTGAGCTCTATAACTGAATCGAAACAGAAGTATTTCTTAATTGATTCCTATTGTTATACGTTTCAAATTACCAAGAGTTGAAATTAGTTTCAACTATTCTAGAGTGTTACCCGTCATATCACAGTTTTAATGCTGAGAAAATACCTTTGACATTGCGCGTAATATCAATTTATGTTATTTTAAATTCATCCTAATTCTCTTGTTCCATGAGACGTTTGTAACTTTCGGTTGACTTTCATCACATGTGGATAAAGAACACTAAAACATATGTAAACGTGTTTTGTGCTTCACAAAGTAGCATACACTGGTTTATATATATGATCTGAAACGCACTTGAGGCGTGAAACTAAGTCACCATGCAGGGTAGATTCCTATGTTCCCACTGTCTATCTATCTCACTTTCTCTCTCTCTCTCTCTCTCTCTCTCTCTATATATATATATATATATATATATATATATATATATATATGAAGAAATATAGTTTTTAAGGTGTGCTATATTTATGGGATAAAGTACTCAATATCAGAGATAGAGCGTATGTAATTATAAATATAAAAGTGAATATTGAAGTCAACACTCAAAGGTGACAGACTGTTTCATGCTAGATGCAGTCGTCAGGTGTGTGGGGTTCAGCGTACCCGGATTAAAAGAGAATTTAATACGGGATATCCTGCCCACAAAATACAACGCAAATTTCAAGAAGAAACAACACGATAAGGAACGTTTATAGAAAATAGAACATTGTATATTTATTATCTTGTGAATAGAGTAAAAAAGATTAATGATTTAGTTCGTTTAAGCAAAAATGTGATTTTGACAAAAATGTCTGTGCTCGCTGTCTTTTAACAGAGTAGCAGAGTAATGTCTGTTTCTTTTGTTTTTGTATATGTGTAAAGGAAAAAGGGGCGATCAATTTAAGTTGAAAAAGAGAATGTGGATGAGAAATAAAGATAAGAGGAAAATGTACTTAGGAGTCAGTTGTAAATTTGTTGTTGTTGTTGTTCTTTCCTACTCCACTTTCGGCTCTTAGTGTCGGGTTGAGTCAGTGATGGAATTTACTGTCAGTCTTCTGTGATCTCTGCGCCCTTCTGACTGGTGATTGACTTGAAACTCTATTTATTGTTGACTTTTTTTTCACACTGGCTTGTTATGTTCTTTTTTAGTTTAGCAAATAGCCTCCTTTCACTGGTCAGAAAATTAATTTCACACCTTATTGCGAAATCTGTTTTTAGTCGTTTTGATCCGATTTTGTGGGTGTGCAAATCTACCTTGTGTTTTTTAGTCATTTGTTGGAATGATATAGGATTTGTATCCTATAGGTGGCTTGACGATTGCGTCTAGCATGAAACAGCCTGTCGCCTCTAAGTGTTGACTTCAATGTTCACTTTTATATATCTATATCTATATATATATATATATATACTGCGTGCCAAATTATTATCGAGATAACTTTTTTCTAATATTTCAAAAACCATCCAATCAATTCACACACAATTTTCACACAATGTTGACAATACTGACCTACGCAATCACTGAAATTTTCGTACTGATCTGCGCAATGTAAACAAACTGGCACCATATTTGTTATCAGCACGGTGATTTGAGTGTAAGAATTTAGTGAAAAGATGACCCATAAAAGCAGTTTATATATATATATATATATATATGCCCTATAGTGTAAGAAAAAACAGTGTTCAATGTTAAATAACAGAGATATTTAATATATTAAAACATATACATTATACCCTATGTTGATTGCACAACTCAGAGTTTAATGCCAACTACAATTTCAATTTTTGGATTTATACTGTTTAATACTTCTGGTTATCGTGAGATATTTTATTGTTAGGGTGGATTATTATCATTATTATTATTGTTAAGTGTTTAAATGAATTATAGTTTTATTTTGGATTTGAATTTTGGCCAAGATTAACATTTAAGATTGAAAATAAGAATTAGAAATTTTAATATAAAAACAGATGCTGTGATTAAAAAATGTTTGGAGATCAAGGGGTAACTCTAATTTTTGTAAGAAAATCAATAAAGAAATTAAAAAATTAATAACATTAATAATATTAAATTAATAATATTAATAAAACATGCAGTGGTAAAATTAAGATGCTAATAAAATACTAATAAAAATACATGACAATAAAAATGAAATAAAATAAAATGAAAAATATATAAATAATATAAATAAATAAATAATGATTATAATAAAAAGCCATGTTGCTGATAGACTAAATGTAAAAGTAAGATAAAGATAATAATAATAATAGTTATATAGTAAAAAAAGTAGTAAAAATAGTAATGATGAAATTAATAACATAGGGTACTATATATATATTTTTATATATATATATATATATATATATATATATATATATATATATATATATATATATATATATATGTATGTATAATAAAAGATAGTTTTAAGTTATTCTATATTTTTGTTTGAAGTTCTCAATATCAGGAATAGAGCATATGCAAATATAAAAATGTACATTGAAGTCAACACCCACAGGAAACAGTCTGTTTCATGCTAAACACATTTGTCAGGCCATGTGCCTGATGAATGCAATTAGCATGAAACCAACTTTCATCTCTGTGATTTGACTTTAATGTCCACTTTTATATATATATATATATATATATATATATATATAATGATAATATTAGTAATCAGTATGGATTTGAAGGTCTGATGAATTAGGGCCGTTTTAAAGACCCTAATGAAATAAATATAACCTATAATATGTGATAATATATAATATATATTATATAATATATATTATATAATAATATATTATATAATATATATTATATTATTATAACATACAATAAATATATGAAATTTTAGTTTTTGTGTCGTTTATTATATATATATATATGTGTGTGTGTGTGTGAAAAGTGTATATAAATATAAATAAATATATATATGTATAATTATTTATATATTATATGCGCGGTACTTATTTGAAAGCGCTCAATATCAGAGATAGAGCTAACATATTTGGTTGGATAGATGTGAGTTTGTGACCCTGGGTTTCACGCTTTAGCGATCGTCAGACAAACTGATTAATTTTTTAAAATAGTTATATTGAATCTTCATTTTAGTTATTCCAGTAATTAAAATTAAATGACAATATTTTATGATTTTGTTTTGTCAATTTTTTATTAATCATAATAATATATTTCTGTTTCTCTTTTAAGAAGATAATGATGGCCGCCAGTTGATTACAGAAGCCCAACAGAGGGAAATGTTGGAAATTGCCTTCCTGAAATTAGCAACTATCACTGGGTCAATTAAAATGAAAGTTGCTGCCCTTCAAATAGTAGATCAAATCTTTCAGACAAGTATGTTTTACTTTAATGTTACTTCCAGCAGTTTTTATTGTTTCCATAAGATCTTCTTCGTTTGAATATCGTTTTCCATTAAAGCTGGTATTTTAGTTGCTTTCATGTTTTAGACAATATTCTGCTTTTTTTCCTCTCTGTTTACAGTTGCAGAATCCTACCTTCAAATATTTTCTTGCTGGTCAAACCACTTTTTGTTAACCTTTTAATATTTCTTAAGACCTGTTCTGTCCTTGTCCTAGTCTTGCTAATGTTATCAAGTTCTTTGTTGATTTTTCTATTATCACTGTTCAACTTTTTGCTATTTCTAGCATTTCTCCACCTCAAAAACGTTATTTGATCTTGTTTTTCATTTGAAGTTATGTCTTTCTTACAGCCTATATAAATCGGAAATTTAAAACTGAATGTCAATATCTATACTATTATATCTATTTGTTGAACAAATGTCGATTTTTATAATACATCGACATCACGAGATAGAAGTATGTAAAGTTAATATTTACACTATTTTCATTGTTCAGACTGTTGTGTTCATCTTTATTGTCTTATTCACGACTTGTAAACCATCTTCAGGTGATATATTTTTTTAATTTTGAAAGGGTTATTTCGTTCACTGGGGTAGATTGTTCTAGTTCCACATGCCATGCCTTTTCTGGATATCTCAGTTTCAGTTATTTCCCTTTAGTAACTTAACTCTCCAAGTTTTTTTGTTTATCTCTGCTGTGGCCAGGTATTGAACTCACAACTATTCAACCATCACTTTTATCCACTGAACCATGTGACCTTGGTAACATCGATGAATGAATTTTTGGGACTTATAAACCTAATCTCTTAGTAATCATTTTTTTTTTTTTTTACATATTACAGTTTTTTGTTATTAGGAGATTTTTGTGGCCTAACACATGTGATAATTCCTGATGTTTTTGTATTTTCAAGTGATGTCCTCTGTCTAATCCAGCCAAGCATAGAAATGAATACAATATGGGAACCAGTAATACAGAGTGATAAAGAAAAACAATAATAACAACAAATTTTAATATGAGCTCTGGTAAAAAAAATGATTACTGAGACATTGGGGTTATAAGATCCAAAAATTAATGAGATTTACTGATGTCCCCAAGTTCACATGACCCAGTGTATAAAAACGTTGGTTGAAGTAACCCTAAAGAGTTGTGTATTCAATACCTGACCACAACAGAGGTGAACAAAAAAAACTTGGAGAGTTGAGTTACTAAAAGGAAACTGAGATATCCAGATACATAACTAGAACTGGATAAAATAAAGGGGTTGATTCAAAATTCCAATGTTCTTCCTGAAGAAGGCCAGAGCGTACAATGGCTGAAATATTGTGAATATGACAAAAAATGAGGACAACCATCTGAACAATGTAAACAGTGTAAATAGTTACAATACTTCATCTCAGAAATATTGACAGATGATAGAGTTAATAGTTGGTTGTGCTTTTATAACTTGACATCATTCTAAAATGTTGTGTTTTAACAAAATCTGAGTCAGTATGAAGATTGATTAAATCATTCCTAGCAAGATAATATGAATTATCAGAGTTCAAACAGGGGATTATAGTGTATAAAACATGGATGCAACAATCCATTTCTGAAATTCTGATGACATTTGATATCCCTCAATCTATGGTATCATATTCTAATGAAAGGTATGATTTCCGACCATGGACAGTACAATTGCCAACCACAGGTCCTTAGTGTATGTCATAACAGACAAGCAATACTGGCTTAGATCAGATCCATATTCAATGCAGGAGGTACCCAGTAAGTCAGTCCAGTATTCTTTTGCTTCCATGGGATATGAAAGCAGTATACCCACCAGGTTGCCCTCATGGCACTAGAACATTGAACACATTGCCTCATCTTGGCTTATGACATTACTAAGAGTGTCAACATATAGTGATGAGTCACAGTTCTAATTGTTTTTGGCTGATGGTTGAGTATGAATGTCATACAGACCCCATCAAATTGTCAAGATAACGTGAAAGCTGGACAGTTTCCACACAGCATGGGTTGGTAACTGCTATGTTGCACTGTTTTGTGATCAATTATACACATTCGTGGACCCCATGTGCTCCAACAATGATGGGTTATTCAAACAGTATAATGTACTGTCATGGTTGACCAATGATTTCATTGATTCATTTTCTATGGCTTTGAAGGTTATTTAAAGCCAGAAAATATTTTTTAGATTGTAAGAATATTTTTTTGGAGATAATCATTTAGTGATACAAGTTTTACTAATTAACCCATAGCTGGGGAAATAATAGGCTAATTCATATCCTTCCCAAGGGTATTTGCATGTAAGTGAATATAACTTACCCAATTAATGGACATGTTGGGTTTTGTATATTTTTACACCAGTGTTACTTTGTGTGCTGCTCTTTCACTCAATAATAATAATAATAATAATCTATTGGAAATTTAATTGTTGTAGAGTAGTTTTCACAGTGGAGGCTTGTATTTCAATAAGTCATCCTAAATTAGGTTCGACATACAAAACATTAGGAACTTGCAATAATTAGTTAATGACACAGCAATCTAGTTGTGATGGTTGATACTTCAATGTCCGACATCGACTGACTCACTCAACTCCACTGAGCTCAACTGGTGACCGCTACTACTACTACTACTACTACTTATTATGTGTGGGAGAGTCTATTACAATAGAATAGGTAATGTTCTGTTATAACATTAATGAAGCTGATTCCTCAGCCATATCAAAATTTGACTAAATCTACGAATGTACAATGGCACTTATTTCCACCTAATATTGGAAAAAGTTTTAACATGAACCTTTGAAAAATGACTAGTTCTCTTTGTATATATTCCTGACACTACCCTTTTTAGTGCAAAAGGAAATGATTCTGTCTGCTGCATCAATTGACAGTCAATAGTTTTTTGCTTTGCTTTAGTCAACTACCTGAAAGCAGAGCAACCGTAGATGACTGAATCTATAAAAAAAATGGCATAAATTATTATGAATAAACTATTTCTTATTAACATAGATTTTAAAATCCTATTTAATAAGAAGCTTTAAAATAAATATTTTTGATCATATTCAAACTGATTCTGAGAAAGAAAATGTCAGTCTGTCTGTCAGACTTTCACTATATATATATATATATATATATATTACTATTATTATTATTATTATTATTAAGCATTACTCTTCAAGTAAAATTGAATTGAGTTCTATAAGCCACTGGCATATTTCGTATAGAGAAAAATGTTAAAATTCCCAATGATGGCCTAGTGGTAAGAGATCTGACTGATGTCAAATCAGTCGGGTTTTGCTTGAAGCAATCGGACGTCTAGCCACACTGAGGAGCTGCAATACAACGAAACAATCTGTCTGTGGATGACTATATATATATATATATATATATGTGTGTGTGTGTGTGTGTGTGTGTGTGTGTGCACACATGTGTGTACATGCATTTATGGAGGTTATTGAATTAAGTTGTCATTTTTTGCTTTTGTTCGACATAAGTCTTTCCCATTAGCAGCTCAAAGTCATCTTTTCATCAGTTCTTTTAATGGCTACAGCTTTGCTTCTGGTTTCTGAGGATCCAGTTAGTTTAACTGAGATCAATCTGTTTCCTGTCATTTTCACCACATGACCTGTCCTGTTCCATTTTTATTTGATAATGTGTTCAAGAATGTCATAAGTGTCAATCTACTTCCATATCTACTGCACTGTCCTCTTGTTTCTTCAGATGATGTTGAGCATAATCCTTTCAGTAATACTGACTGATGGAAAACTAATAGACTTCAAATTCTCACCTATGTAGAGTCTAAATATTCTTATGACAAATAAAAAGAGCAGTCATTTTACAAATTAATTATTAATAGCTATTAGCCATACCCAGCTGGTAGATCAGGAAAAGCATTCAATTAGAATGAAGCAAAAACAGCATCATGTCTATCTGCTTCAATTACTGTAAAGTACTTTCATTAAAAAACATTTTGAATTAATGCAGTTACTGATATAACAGTATATATATTTATTCAATCAAAGTTAGCCAAGGACATGAAGGGGTAAAACAGGCAACATGAAGACCCACTTCAGACCACAATTACTTTTTTTTTTTGTTAGTTCAATTTGTCAGCATGCTACCAGGGATGTAAAAGAGGATACATTTATAAAGCAATTGTTAAGTTTAATGAAAATTGGTTGAAAAATCAACAAAGAATAAGAAAGAAACCAGTAAAAATTGCCATTTTTTGCTATTTACATGGGTTTTCACTATATGAGTGGACTCACAATCAGCTTATTGTTGGCTACAATTGAGTGAAGTTTGTATTAGATTGCTTGAAAATTGAGGGAGTTTTTAGTTTAAAATTTGTGTTGAAATCAATTTACGTTGAAATCGATTTTTCAATTTTATATGTGGTTTTTGCTAAATGCAGTAGCATAGAAATAAAAACGAGGTATTGTTGAGCTTGTCATGATGTAAGTAACCTACATTTAAATGAAATCAGAGGAAAAAAGTTGAATTATAGATTTTTGATCAGCTTTATCAATTATTGATTTTTTTTTTTTAAATTATCGATTTTTTATGCTAAAACATATCTCTTACATTGTACAACATATGTGCCAAGCTTGGTCAAAATTGGTTGGATGGATCGCTAGTGAAAAGGTATTACACAGACAGACAGACTGACACACAGATATCCTCTGTTTTATATATAGAGATGTTCATTGTTTTTTATTGTTCCTAATTTTTCCAGATCCCTCTTTGTTGGACATTCCAGACAACATGATCCACATGTTGCCTGGATTTTGTAATCAAGATGGTAGATATAATCAGGACCTGATAGAAGCTGTTTTGCCAATTTATCTTCTTATGTCAAAAGTAGGTGAGTAAAATCTGTATGAAAGTTCAAACAGGTAAGTTGATATTATTTAATTTTATGAGATGAAACATTTTAGATTAGAATTTTTACTTTTTCTTTTACTTTTACCTTTTAATGATATTTTCCTAAAATAAGTTTAAATAATTTAGCCTCTGTGCTACAAGCAAAGGTGAATGTTTTTTATTCATTTTTTTCCAAAACTACAGGCTGTTAAATTAAATTGTTGGGAGAATATTCAAAAGTAGTTAAACAAATACTTAAAAATATATTTTTGAGCAAAAGTTTTAAAATGGGGTGATAAAAAAAATTGTCACTGAGTCTGTACCAGTTCCTATCGTCTGTGCTAAAAATCAGGGTGCATCATTACAGTCAGAGCATTCTCAATAGAATAGAAATATAGAATAGAAATATGGCAAATTAAAAATGCATGAATTTAGGAACAAATTTCTACAGTAGATTTTGAATAAGATTCAAATTCTTGATCCATACTATGGCAACTTACTATGTAACCTTTTGTTACATTAGTCATGAATGAGCTTGCTATTGTTTTCAAGTTCCAAACCAGGACAGTTTTCAAGTTTTATGATAGGTTTAGTTTCTTGTATAATAAAGTGTTTTGATAACACCCAGTATCCATTACTTGTTACACACACACACACACACACACACACACACACACACACACACACACACACACACACACACACACAACAAAAAAGCAAGGACACAGGAAATGAAAACAAAAAATGTTTTCAGCATCTTCTTTCTAAATGCTAATTTTTTTTCATATTAATGTCCTTATAAAAATGTTTAAATATGCAAAACTCCTGCCATTATAGACATCTGTACATATATGATATATGATTACAGTGTTTGGGACAAAATCTGTGAAATAAATCACAGAAATGGTTCCAGACAATTCTAACCTAAAGACAAACATTTATAATGTTTTGATTACTTTTTATTTTCATCTTATTTTGGTCAATGTTTTTATTGCATCATTCAACTTGCTTTTCATTTTCCATTCATTCAGCAAACAACAAGGATTGAGTTTTCATTGGATTTGTTCTTACATCTGTTATGATTGTGACCCCTTCTGACCTAATCATCACTGCCATGATGATTAGGTTATGAAAGTTAATCAGCTGTTGTTCAAATTTACATATATATATATATATATATATATATATATATATATGTAAATGTATACCAACATTTTTCATTATTTGATTTTTATATATATGTATATGTATATCAACATTTTTCATTATTTGATTTTTTATTCCAAATCATATTGTTTGTTTATACTTAATAATAGTAGTAGTGATAATAGTAGTAGTAGGCTTTAAGTTATACAATTCTTTTCAATTATTTGTTTACTAGTTTTTTTCTTAGCAACAAAAATAAACAAAAATTAATAAAAAATTGATAATAATTGACAATGTTTATTCAAAGAAATTCTAACAATTTAAGATTATTATATTCTCTTCTTGTGTATAATTATTTCCTTCCATACCTCTCTGCCCAGTACAGTGCTTATTTGATATGTCAACCTTAGTATTTTTAAAAAGATTTCCTAGCATGTTTACTAAACTTATATAAATATTAACTGCAGAACACTTATTTGAACTAGGATTCTTATTTTATAAATTGTAATTTGTATTCTAGGCAACACTTGTGTTTGGTACAAAAAGTACTCATCAAGAAATTAAAATGAAGTAAATTAAAGTGAAATACTCATTAAAAATGAATAATTAACAATGCTTTATCTGAGAAACAGGAACAACTTAACACTACTATGATACTGTATTGATTGAAATGGTTTTGGTGAGATAAAAATAATCTTTAATTAAAATTCTTTTTAAAATTTTCAGAAAAATATAGAAGCATGATAATAGCAAGTGATATTCCCAAACTTCTCCAAGATTTTGCTGTTGACAACATCACCTGTGAGAAAATACTGGATCTTATATTAAACATTTTTGTTAACATGATTCACAGAGGTAGGTTTTTAGTTTTGTTTTTAAACTAATACAGAAATTTGATTTTCTCATTTAATGTGTATTGAATTTTTTAAAAACAGTAGACAAGATAAAGGATTCTTTTCAAAGATCATCAGAGGCAAGAAATGCCTATAAAAAGTTGGAGTACCCATCAATTGTATGTAATAATAAAAGCAGAGATAAAGACATATCCTATTAAAGTTACTCAACATATATTTACATGATAACATTGTTTCATCTCAGATCTTTAGATAATGTGAATAAAGGACTGAATGGAACTGGTTGAAATAATGTCATTTGGTTTGGTTTGTTTTTTTATGGCTTATCAACCTCAATACATTATTTAATACTGACAACATTTTTATTGCTGGTAATATTTTTTTTTCAAAAATATATTGCTGGTTATTATTTTTTTTCCAAAAGGTATTGCTGGTAATAATAATAATTTTTCTTAAAAAATTTATTGCTGGCAAGAATTCTTTACAATTTATTTCTGTACACTATTTACATTATTCGGACTATTGTCCTCATCTTTGTCACCATATTTATTACAATGTTTCAGCTGTTGTACACTCCAGCCTTCTTTAGGTGGTTGGTATGTCGATCTGAACCCTTTATTTCACTGGCTGGGGTAGACTGTTCTAGTTCCATGTGCTATGTTTAATGGATGTCAGTTATCAGTTATCTCTTGTTAATTCCCCTCTCCAACTGACAACTGATATCCATTAAGCATGGCATGTGGAACTAGAACAGTTTACCCCAGCGAACAAAATAAAGGGTTCAGTTCAACATTCCAATCACCTGAAGAAGGCTGTAGCATACAATGGCCAAAATGTTGTAATAAATATGGCGACAAAGATGAGGACAATAGTCTGAATAATGTAAATAGTGTACATAATACCTCATCTCAAAAATATAGACAAATTGTTTCTGGTATTAAAACCTATTTTTACACTTTCATAGTGTTTTGACCCCAGGTTGGGGGTCAACTATTTGCCTATAGCTGGATACCCTAACAGGTGCTACCACCCCAAGTCAGGGTGGAGCTGGGAACACCAGCAATTAAGAGGTGATTCCACACTCCTCAAAACCTCCTGATCAGAGGCCTTGCTGTTGGACATAGTTTATCATTTTACCCAGGATGCAAATGTAGTTTAGCATCATACCCAAAATAGAATTAATGTTAGGTTACCAAATATATCTATTTATATTACAAAGGATATGCGGTCTATATAATCTCAGGACAACCTTCAAAAGCTGGACAACACTTCACAGATACCTCTCCCGAGTAAGACCCCCCCCCATAGAGGAGAACATGACTAAAGACTGTGTGTACGCCATCCAGTGCAGCTGTGGAAAGAAATGTAAAGGGAAAATAGGCAGCCCCCTTAAGGTAAGGCTTCAAGAACACCAAAAAGCTGTAACACAAGGGGAAGTGGAAAAATCAGGCATGGCTGACCACATATGGAGAGAAAAGGGAGATCACTGTTCTCTGTAGGATCAGGTTGAAATCATAGACAAAGAACATCATTGGAAAATTCATAAACTTAAGGAATCAGCACATATGCTAGGCCTCAAAAATCTCCTGAGTCGACCAAGCATAGAAATTAATACAATATGGGAACCAGTAATAAAGAGTGCCAGAGAAAAGCAATAATAACAATGAAAATTGCATTATGAGCTCTGGTAAAAAACATGCAATGATAACAGCAAAAAAAAATTCAATATGAGCACTGATAAAAATAGTTGCTGAAAACATTAGGTTTATAAGTCCCAGAAATTCATATACAAATGTCCTCAAGGATACATGACACAGTGGATAAATCCAGTGACAGGACCCAAAGAGTGTGAGTTCAATACCTGGTTAAGACGGTGGAGAACTTGGAGAGAGGAATTAACAGGAGATAACTGATAACTGACATCCATTAGACATGACATGTGGAACTAGAACAGTCTACCCCAGTGAGCAAAATAAATAAGTTCAACATTCCAACCACCTGAAGAAGGCCGGAACATTGTGATAAATATGGCAACAAAGATGAGGATGATAGTTTGAACAATGTAAATAGTTTACCAAATATATGTTGGGTAACTTTAGTAGTACCTGACCATAGTAAACAGATAATTACCCAAATAATCATAATCAAAATAAAACAATTAGAAAGAAGGTAGGAGAACATAAATGAAGATTTTATTTTCTAGAAAGAAAACATATTTACTTGCATGCCTTCTCTCCAACCTTGAAAAGGAAAGCTTGTCGATGTTACAAAATCTTTCTTTACTCACAAGTCTGGCCCTTTCATGTTAGGAGAGTCTGCGTCTACCAACAAATTCTGGAGTATATCTTGTCTTAATAGCATTTACTAGAACACTGTTGTCTTTGTCAAGAAGGTGGTCAGGTGATTGACCACTGGAGTCACATGACTGTCCAAGCACAATGCATACTAATTGGAGAAAAGGAAGGAAAGTTAATCAAATAAAAATAATAAAGATGATGATACTAGTTAATATAATTTTGGGAATGATAATGACAACAATACCTCATCCCAAAACTTCAAATAATATAAACAAATGTCTACACAAAGTAATACAATGTGTACATAATGCATTAATAATTTATTAATGTGTACATAACATGTTAATAAACTGTGTATTCTGCATCTGTAGATTCAACCAAACGCATATTAAAAATATTCAAATAAAAAAATTCTAAAAGGCATCACTTGAATTATATTGAACCCACCAAAATCAAGCAATGTGTAGATGTACCTGGTTATAGCCCTCCATCATTTCACAGATCCTCACTCTTTTTCCAATGTTTATTCACTTATATTTCGTTTGTAAATATTATTAGGTTGTTAAATCATTACTTAAATCATATATGGTTTCCTGATAGGTGTAAATTCTGTGACAGGTAATCTTTATAAGTCACATACTGTGTTTCATTCTAAGAAATTGACAAGCTAAACAAAAACTGAATAATGCCAACGAAAATTAATGAAATGAAATATTTCCTAAGCTCAGAAAACAGAATGAGAACTATCTACTCCAGTGGGTTTTATAAAGCTTTCAGAAAAAAATCTGGTAAGACATTTGAAGAAGGTCAAAGTGTACAACAACCAAAACAACTATATGAATTTAAGCACAATACTAGAATGGATGTTAGATCTCATCATTTTACAGTTGAAAATGCTAGATATAACCATAAATTCTATAGTAACTGTTGTGTAGTGTTACTGACTCAAGGGAAGTAGTATGCACTCAACAGCCTCATGGGTAATAGCTGTAGCTATTTATAGTCTTTGTGACTTCATATGTAAATGAGTCACCTCATCTCCCTGTACTGAAGAGGTTTTGTCCCCCTATTTCCCCTGGTACTTCTGGGAGTTTTTCTCTCCTCATTATCTTCCTCCTTCTCTCTAAGAGATTGTCTAGATATGGGAGATCATGATCTTTTTCATTTTTTCATATGAATTTTCCTCCTCTTTTTCACTTTCTAAAACACTCAATCTAGACAAAGCATCTACATGCAGAATGGTATTGCCTTTCACATATTCAATATCAAAATCAAACACCATTAATATTAAGGCTCATCTTAGAATTCTAGAAGACATTACCTTAGGAAGTTCCCTCCTGGGATTAAATATGAATTCTAAGGTCTATGGTCTATTTTTTTCTAATCAAAAACTGATGAGCTCTGTTTGTTATCCATATTATGGCAAATGCATCTTTCTCAATACTTGAGTAGTTAAATTCGGCTTTTGACAATTTTCTCAAAAGATACATAATAGGATGATCATCTTGAGCAAATATTCCCAAAATTGGCTGTTCACTTGCGTCAGTTGTTACTACTAATTCCTTTCTATGGTCAAATATTTTTACTACTGGCTTCTTTACCAGAATAGCTTTTAAATTTTCAAATACCACTCATTCTTTTGCCCAAATAAATTCCACATTCTTTTTTCATAAAGCAGCAAAAGGTTCCATCAATTTGAAGTATCACTCAACATATCATCTGTAGAAATTTAATAGGTCCTAAGATTCCAATTCTTTTTTGTTCTTAGGTACTTTGACTTTGACAATTGATCTGGTGATATGCCTTCGTTAGATATGGAATATCTCAAAAATTATTTTTTTTAGTGTTGGGCACACATTTTTTTATTAATTATTAATCCAGTATTTTCTAACTTATTCAAAACAATAATAGTTTTCCTTTTCACTTCTTTGTCATTAATAGCACCAGCACAAATATAATACTGGTAGCATATTATATTTTTTTATATCACTACCTATAACTTGTTCTATAGCCCCTTGAGAAACCACACTTGCAGTTTTAATTCCATATGGCATTTTTCCATCTTAACAAGCCTATTATAATATCTTCATATTTTTTTTTAGATGGCAGAAATTTGTTTTTCTCTTTGATGTTGATATTCACAAAAAGTAGATATTATTTTATCTTTTATTCTTAATCACATATGTGTCCATTTCCTCTGCTGGTTCCATTACTTTTTTCTACTAAATTTTCCAATTAATTCTTGTTACTGAACAAATTCAACACACTGTTCTAGTGACAACTTTCCCAGTTGTAAATTAGAGTCATTTGCCAATACTCCTCATTTTGCAGGCCATTTACTAATTTCATTTGGATCAAATCCTCTTCATTTGACTGGTTTCCACTCCCAATTTCTCAAATTCACAATATTTAGCAGCCTACATTATTTACATTATTCAAACTATTGTCCTCATCTTTGTTGCCATATTTATTACAACGTTTCAGCCATTGTACACTTCAGCCTTCTTCAGGTGGTTAGAATGTTGAACTGAACCCTTTATTTTGCTCACTGGGGTAGACTGTTCTATTTCCACGTGCCATGTTTAAAGGATGTCAGTTATCAGTTATCTCTTGTTAAATTCCCTCTGAAAGTTCTCCACTGCCTTAGCTGGGTATTGGAATCACACTCTTTGAGTCTTGTCACTGGATCTAACTAATGCCTTTATCCACTGTGCCATTTGAGGACATCTGTGTATAGACAATTTTATAATGGCCTCACAACCAGAAGTTGCAAAGAAGAGATCAATTAATTGGTTTTCTCATCCAATTGGTTTCAAATCCTTCAGCTTTTTTTGTTCTAGCTTTAGCTACTAATATCATAAGCCACACTTGTGCATATTCATAATTATCCAGTGATAATTGTTCTTTCAGTTCTTTAGATATCGGCGACACAATTGTAGTCTAGTGTTACTGACTCAAGGAAAGTAGTATGCACTCAACAGCCTCATGGGTAATAGCTGTAGCTATTTATAGTCGTTGTGACTTCCTTTGTAAAGGAATCACCTCAGTAACAGTTTTTTTTCTCACAATTATCACTTGCTGAACTCTTTTCCAGCTTCTTGGTTTTCTATCAACATTGATCTTCAAAATATTTAAATGCAATATCAATCATTATCATCAGTATCCTTAATTCCTGTTCTTTTATTGTTATTTGCCTCAATAATGTTTTTCCTTTTCTCATATTCTTTCACACTCAGTAACCCCTTGTGTTTTAGTGGCTTTATTATCTTGCTTGGTGTGAAATGATTAAAAAAAAAGTTTTTCTCTGCAGAATGATTTAAAAATCTTATCAGGGAAGATGTGTCAGTTCATATTGTTTGTATATTTACTATCCAGTTATTATATACATTGGTACATTATATATTATATGCATATACATTATATACATTGGTAGATTGTTACATTGTGTGATGTTATTATTTTTTCTACTTCTTTTTAGGGCTTATCCTGTACCTGATTGACTGTGGTTTCATCAGCAAAACACTCTTTAATGTGATGAGTACATATAATGAGAATGCTTCCATTTCCATTGCTGGATTCAAGCTTCTTAAAATGGCAGGTAAAAAGCATAAAATATATACCAAATTATACCAAACAAAATAAAGTCTTATGCTGGTTGAGTTCTGCAGAATTTACATGATTAATTCTAGAGATTTCTTCTTGCTTGTTGCTAATAGAGGTGTATATTTACAGGTACATCCTTGTTGAGGAATTCTGAGGGAGAGAAAGAGTGAAAGAGAGAATCAGTGATAAGGTGTGGCTTAATTTGTAGTTTTTGATTGGTTGATTTTATTCAACCTCTATGGATTATTTAATGCCGAAATCTAAATATTTTATATGCAATTTTATGGCTTCAACTACAGATATTTTGTATATAATTTAACATTTCCTGGTTAAAGGTATGTTTTTTTTAGATATATAGTTTTTAGATCATAAAATGTATTATTGGTAATTTACTATATATGTATTTTTGCTCTCATTTTATTATAAAAATGAGTTGTTTTTGTTTGGAAGTTCACTATTTGCCTACAGCTATGTCCCTAACAGGTACTACCACCCTGGATCAGGGTGGATCTTGGAACAACAGCAGCTAAGAGGTGGTTCCACACTCCTCAAAACCTCCAATTTCCTGATCATGTCCTTGCTGCTAGATGTCGTTTATCATCATACCCAGGACAACTTAATTTTTAGAAAACAGGTAATGTTATATTAGTAAAGTAGCATGTGGAACAATATTAAGCAAAGGCTAGTCTTTTCTTATAGTAAGCTACTTCTTTTTCAAGAATAAAGAATGTATCGATATGTTACTATATTGCATCTTTGTCATTATAAAACTGAAAAATTCTTGGCTACTTTAAGGAATATTAATAAAACAATTATTTTACAATTGTCCCTTGAAACAAAGAAACTTCTAGTCGATCTAAAAAGGTTGCGTGAATATTTAAAATTGTGCTTCAAATAAAATATGCAATATCCACAAACATAAATTATAAGAAATGGCTAAATGGTAACGATATTCAATCACGACAAAAAATACCTGTTTGAAACAACAGATTAAATTTTATATACACAATTTACAATTTCTTTGATTGTAATGATGTGTGCAAAGGTATAGTAGAATTGTTCGAGACCAGCGTTTCTCAACCTTTTTACCCTTGTGTAATCCTTAAAATAAATTACATGTCTCAAGTAACCCCTGTGCAAAAACAAAATTATATACCTATCTATCTTATTTTATTTTCATTGTAGTTCACATGGTAAATATCATAGTATATATTTTTGAATAACTGGTTTAAAGAAAAATTAACACTTCTTTGTCAAATTTTCCGGTAATGCTAAATAAAATTCATTCATTTTGCTTATCTTACCTGTTCTCACGAAACCCTTGGGGACCTTTTATGAAACCTTAAGGTTTCCAGTGAATCCAGGTTGAGAAATGCTGTTCTAGACAATATGTATCATTTATCAGTAAGCTTTAATGTAGCCGGTATTTATCTGAGTTCCCCACAGAGAAGGATGTGGCACATGGCCGGCTTAATGTGGGTCTTTCCAAGCCAATAGGCTCAGTCAAAAATTCCCTGTAGACCCTGCATACACCTTCCCAAACAAGACACACAAGACAATGCCCATTGGCATAGCGTAATTCAGAGGTTGACAAGCAGAGGTCGAAAAGCAGAGGCAGGCAGTAGACTGCCTGACTCCTTCAAGTTTTAATATACTCTGCATATCACCAGAGTTCTCCTGAATATACGTGTTCAAGACAGATCCATTAATGGTGGGGAGATGGATCATTCCACATAGTGGTCCCAAGATTAATATTTAGGATTACAACAAATACTCTATTAACTTTGTGTCCTTTAACAGAATTTGGAAGAAAGATTTTAGTTCCTCAAAATAATGTTAATAATTTTAGTTCCTCAAAATACTAAAATTGAACATGAAAGTGAAACTGTGTTATTTAGAGTTCACAATATTATGCTTCGATTTATGTAAATTAAAAGGTTTCTGTAAGTATGTATGCATGTGAAAGAGAGAGTATATTCTGTTAAGAAAGAGGAGGTTTTTTCATGTACATGCATCCAGAAACAAAGAGAGTCCAATTGTGACTGGTATCTCAGACATATGTATATCTCAGTTGTGATGTAGAAGGCTGATTGTGATTCTTTGAAGTAGCTGTGGTACCAAATGGGTCTTTTGACGCTAGTAAATCTGCTGTTGACTTTTGCAGTTGTTGACTTTCTTTTAATTTGTTTCCAGAAGAATCAATGGCTCATGGGCTTAAGAGTTTTGAAATCTAAATAGACCCATTTAATTGGTTAATCTAAATAGACACATTTAATTGGTTAATTATCCTGCCTGAATGAACATGTCATGTTTTCTCTACTACATCTGGTAATATGAGACACACACACACACTTAACAGAGAAACATCCCCTTTCCAGGAACCAATAAAACTGTCAAAATGACCAAGAGAATTCAGAGCAGCATGAATCCATCCAGTTCTTATCTCAAATAACAACAGATATATATATGTATAATTATACATTTTACCTGTTTTAAATATTTGTATCTATAAAAAAAAAAAGAATGTATAAACATAAAAATGTCTTAAAATATACATATATGTAATCAAGTTATTTTTAATTTATTCTATTACGATGTATTAAAAAAAGTATTTTGTTTTTCATGTTTCTTCAAAGCTTATTTCATTGAGTTTATCTAATATTCTTCATTGCTCTTCTAAAAATTTCCTTGTGCTTGCAATCATGGTTTTGCATTTTAAAGTATGATGACTGATGGTCATCCACTTGATTCAAGGGACAAGTGAGCACCATTGAAATGCTTAAACTAATTTTAGGCAGTATGATCAGACATTGTTTCATTTCTTTCCACTTTTTAAATTTTCTGAGCAGTTTCAGTATCCATATGGCCCAGTTTAAATATTACCAGAATCTTAATCTTTGTATTTGTCATTATAGTATCTGAAGCAAAATGTATGGATCAATTGTATTGATAATAATGTATGTATATATATATGTATAGCTGGCTACTTGTATTCAAAGATACCCGTCTATTAGGGTGGCTAGCCAATCCCTATTTCAGACGCTTGCTCAGGCACATTTGTGTTTGTTCAACACCCACAGAGCCCACCTGTGGTTTATATTGCAACTATACTGAGCAGACCTTAGTTACAGTTTCTGGGAAAGAGCGTATCATCTAGTGTGATCAACAATTTGAACAAGGCCAGCACACTCAAGCCCTTGGCCACAAAGATTTGTGACTTTGTGCTAGTGCAACTATCAACAGCACCCATGGGTTCCATCTACCCAATTTCACTCACAAGGCTTGGGTCAACCCGTAGTATGGTTTTCAGGCACTTTTCAAAGGTGTCGTATGCTGGGATCGACTCCTCCAGTCTGATAACATCAGAAATTCTCCTTTCTGACAAATCGACCATGGTGAGATTTGAACTTGGGTCTCATTGTCAGAATGCAAATGTTCTAGCCACTCGGCCATGTGTCCATAAAAATATACTAAATATAATAATAATAATAATAATCACAACAACAACAATAATTAGAAGAAGAAGAAGAAGAAGAAGAAGAAGAAGAAGAAGAAGAAGAAGAAGAAGAAGAGCTTTATCTATGTAAAATTTGCGTTAATTTTATTTTTTTTTTTTTGTCATGAAGTGATTATGTAGTACAGGATTAAAGGCTGAAACTGAAGATTTTATTCTTATTGCACAGGACCGACTTGATTGCTAACTAGAAATTACCAAGAACACATACTGAAAAATTGTGTTGACCCCAAATGCAGATTTTGTGATAAATATCCAGAAACAATTGACCATCTTGTATCAAGTTGCACAGTGTTAGCATGCACTGAATATAAAACTCGGCATGATAGAGTGGATCAATATCTGCACTGGAAAATATGCAACTTTTACAAGAAGGAAACTGCAAGAAACTGATATGAACATCACCCAAACCTGATTGTAGACAAAGGACTTGTAACAATTTTATGGGAGTTTACAATACAGACAGACAGAACAATCAAAACTAATCACTCAGACATTGTGATCAAAACCACAAAAACAGGATGTGCTTTCCATTGACATGGCAGTTCCTGCAGATTGTAATGTATATTTGAAGATCTTCAAAAACTATCAAAATACAAGGATCTTGAAGTAGAAATCTAAAAGAAATGTGGTACATGAGGACATCAATATTTCCAGTTGTAGTTGGGGATTGATTGGAAAAGGTTCCAATAGACTCATTGAAGGGATTCCTAGTAGCCCATGTTATACAAAAAAAGAAATACAAAAACTTGTACTCACAAGTACAGCTCACACATTATGAAGAGCTTTATGTAAAATGTGTGTGTGATCTTAGGTTTTTTTGTTTTCTTTTTGTTTTTTTTGACAAAAATGATCATAGGTCTGTAAAATGCAAATATTTTAATACAGGGTGTCCATAAAGTTCGTGTGCACTTTAAAAAATTTATAACTTTATTTGTATTTGCGATAGAAATAATTCGTAAAAAGGATTAGAAAGAAGTAAATCTATATTTTTTAAGGTTTTATTGAAATTTTATTTAAGTTTCCACATGTCCTCCATCATTAGCAATACAAAGGTAATACGATTTAGCTATACTTAAAACTAGGTACATTAAACTTTATAACAATTTTTACAGATTATTTCTATTGCAAATACAAATAAAGTTAATTTTTTAAAGTGCACACGAACTTTATGGACACCCTGTATATCTAAAAGGATACATTTTAGCTTATAACATTCTTGTGCATCAAAACTTTTTAATTTTAATTGCTTTTTTATAAAAAATAATTTTTAGTTTGTATTTTTGAATTAAAAATGCTTGTGCACTCATATTTTCTTGACACTGTATTTATTTCAGCACCTTTGTACTGTGAAAGAAGTTCAATGAAGGAATGGATGGCCATTTTGTACAAATCTGGTTTCAGTCATTTTACTTCAGCAGAAATACAAGTGAGATTTTTGTTTTATTTTAAAAACCTGTTACACTCCACTGCAAATGGATATCTTTCTGATTTGTATAACATGCCAGCCAGATGTAAGTGTTAAGAATGCAAAACACAAAATAAAACAGTAGTTTTCTTTGCAGTGGCTCCAAACATTACATCCAGTCCACAAAACAACTCCCTACAATAAAAATACAATAGTCACATTCCTGCCAGATAAGAATAACCCAGGGACCACCAGATATGCCTAAAAGAAAACCCCTCATAACGAATATCACAGTGGCAGGCCAAAAGGCTACCTGCTGACATGCAGGTATGTTGTGGTCACTGCCATGATCACTTCCCTTGTCACAACTGTAACCGTGAATAAGAGCATATGCCAAACTCCACAAATCAGCTTTAGACCTATCCTCTGACCCCAACTGTGACCTCAGCCAACCAACCCAAGAAATTGGTCAAGTAGTAACAATACCCTTACACCTAATCACTTCTCTTACCAACAGCAACTGAAGAACCACATATGAACAATTTTGCCACCTTTCAAACAACTATATATATATATATATATGTATATATATATATATACCAAAATTCAACAAATACATGCTGTTGAAGTTTTCATGCTTGTTCCTTTCCTTTGCAACCAAACACTTGTTATAACAAAACTTTAAATTCTAAGAAAGGATAAAGTCATTTGGACTGTAAGAAATTAAAAACTGCCATTTAACATATATTACAGCATTTCTTTTAAGTAACTGAAGAATGAAAATTGAACAGTTTCTTAATTGTTATGTCATGCAACAAAATTGGTCTTGATCAGCTTGTTAGGCTCCATTCTTGATGAACAACAGTAATGGAGCTAAGACACTTAGGATATGAAATTTAGGATCATCCTCCAGCATTACTTGGCCAACACTAAGTGATTTTCATTTTTATTTTAATTATTCATCTAAAATAAAATATTCAACAATCTGTAGTTTTCATTTGGAATCTCACAGAATTTCTAGCCTCTAATAGTAGAGAGTTTTATAAACTGGTTGGAAATCTTATGAAGTATTTTTTCTGCAGCAAACAGGAACTTAATGATGGTCCAGAGTTCAACACTTAAAATCCCACACTTTTTAATTGACTTGGTTAAGTCAATGATCAGAAAGAAAAAGATATTAATGAATTGAATCTTGCAAATTGGCATTTTACAACATAAAGAACATACTTTCTAGCTACAGTGACAAAATAACAGATATTTGGGAATGTGGGCTGGGCTGAGATCTTCTCATCCTCCTCTTCTCAATATGCATTTACTTCACTTTCAGAACACTATTCCTGTTATTTACTAAGTTTAGATTAGTATGATACAAGATTCTAGGCTTGAAGCACTGAGTACAACTCTTTACATTCAAGAATAGTCTATGAGCATGCTAACTATCACAACATCCTTAGAACAATATTATCTCTGTCCCAGTGGAAAAACTAAACTAATATTTATGTCCTATGTGATGATGTCAATGAATTTGCTATGATTTATGTTCAAAACAGTCCTTTTCTTTCCGTTAGTTTATCATAATATGTGGCATGTTCCAGCATAGCAAAAATATCCTCACAAGAAAAATACATTTGTAAATAATTTAACACCAGAAATATATAGAAAAATCAAGAAAAATGATTGTAATTGTCAGAAATTGAGAGTGAGTCATAGAATAGGACTATGTATATCATTTCAAAAGAATTGATTTTATTTTTGTTATTTGTTTTTCTTTTTTTAAGATTGCTCTGCATGAAGCTGCAAGTGCAATTTTGAAAAATGATCCAGAGTTCATTTCTCAAATTGGGGAAGATGTTCAAGATAACCAGTAAGTTTTTATTTTCTTATCTTCTTTTATACAAAATTAAATTGGCTCATAGAAGTCTGGATGCACGAGTTGTGTAATGGATAGCAGCTTGGAAGAAAAAAGTGGAGAAAGAAGTTCATATTCTAGTCTAATTTCATTATATTCACTTTTGCTCAAAAACCCTTGGCAAAGATATAATTTCCCCCAGCTATGGGTTAAATAAATCCACATACACTCCTGTTTAACATCTGTTGCTATCATTGATTTCAAACATATAGGTCAAGACCCATTTATGGAAAATAATTTCTTAATTTTTGCTTCTTCGCTTAGTTTAAATTTAATGTAGGTCATACTTGATCAGTTGATTGGTTAAGCAAAGCCCACAAATCTTATAACGACCCAACTCATTTCTTTTTCTCTTTTTTCATAAAAAAAGGCTGTATTTTGCTTTTAAATCTGATTAAATCGTTCATTTGCCAGTAATATATAATCACCTGATGAAATGTGTTGTATGCGCATCAAAACATGACTGCAACTGTGTAGCAATTTTGACATGTTTTTGATGTAATATCCTAAAATAAATAATATTCCTCTACTTTGTATTGAGCCCTCTTTTAAGTTAAATGTTACAAACATTGTAATTTTAATTTCATTCTCATCTTACCTGTATTTGTATATATATATATATATATATATATATATATATATGTACAGTGCTGTGCAAAAAATTGAATCAGTAAAATTTTGGGGGTAAAAAAAATCTTTTTTTCTTAATATTTTAGATGAAAAATAGAGTTTTAAAAAATAAAGAAAATAAGGGAAATGATACATTCATTTCTATTTTACAAAAAATTTCTTAAGAAACAAACCTAAGGCATGTCATTTTTTTGTCTTTAAGGTAAATATTTACTGTGTAAAAAAATTATTGACTTTTTATACTATAGTAATTAAGTACAAAGTTAATCTAACATTTTCTTAAAAAATAAAATTTAGTAAAATAAAAATGCCAAAGAAAAATTTCATTGGGAATTTATGCTTCCATCTTTGTTTCACAGAACTTTGTTGACTCTGTCCGCCATATTCTTATTGAGATTTTTGCAGATGTCATTTCCTAACAAACTGTTTCACTCCATAATAAAATTTTCAATCAAAGCTTCTTTGTTTTGAATGATTATCATCAAATGTCTCAATTTTATTATGCTGTATAAATTCTTGATTGGGTTTACGTCAGGAGACTGTGGTGGCCCTGCCATAACACTGACATTTTTTTCAGAAAAGTAATTTTTCATCTGCTTTGATGTGTGGCAGAGAGCATTGTCTTGCATAAAAGTAAGATTTAATTGATTCAAAGTTTTTTTGGCAGATGGCAACAAGCAGGTCTCCAATATTTTTGAGTATTGAGTGCTGTTCAGTGTTTTATCTACTGGTTTGAAAAATCCAGACCCAATGATTGAGAAACAACCCCAAACCATAAAACTGACAGGATGCTTCACAGTATTAACTGTCATTTTCAAAGGGTTTTCTTTGCTCCTCCATCTGATTTTCATTCTTTTGTCTTTTGAAAGAATTTCAAATTTGCTAAAATCGCTTTGTGTCAGTCTCACTGTCTTCCCAACTGAGCAATGGTGATAGGAAAAAGATCATTCAGGCCTTTAGCAATGGTACCAACATTCATACACTGGCTTCCATCATCGTCAAAGAATATTTAACATCGAAAAACATAAGAAAAATTAATTCTTTTTAATAATATGTGGAAATATCCACTCTTTGCCTGATGAGGGTCATGAGACTGGTAACGCATGTAGCAAAATTATAGAAAATAAAGCATAAAATATTGTTTTAAAAATCCACATTACAACCAAAGACATTTGTGGTTTCTCTCTTTTTTATATATATATATATATATATATATATAAAGCAATGTTGATTTTGATCTAAGAATATATTCTTTTTGCTATTGTTGGTTTCAGATGCTATTTTTGTCAGACAATATTTTTTACTTACACTTAATTTCTTGTTTTTCCAGATACCCTTTACAATCATTTTGCTTGGGTAGCTTCTTCCAGCATAAAAACAACATGGAGGTTTTTGTTGCTAACTGTGAGACCATATACTGGATGGCTTCTGGTAGTGGTAAGTATACAACCTTCTTTAAATTTACCACTTAGCAAAAGGTTTGTATCTTTGAAGGTTGCATAGTAAAAGGGATTTTAGCAGGAAAATAATTAACACAAAGACAATCAAAGATTAGAACAAAAGTATATGGTGAATTGAAAAAACTAATAAGACTGCAAATTAACTGATATTTTTTACCTCCAATTTTCACCTTTTTGCTGGTGTCATTTAAGATGATTCTTAAGTCATGGCACTGATTTGCACTTCACACCAAAAGATGCGCATGTCAGTCAGTTAGTGACCACTGGCTGGTCTGGATGTCTTGATCTAAAATGCCTTTTTAGGCCGCTAGAATTTCTGCATACCTGCTACAGATGGTACATACACACACACATACACATATATATAAACATACATATATATATATATATATATATATATATATATATATATGTATGTATGTATGTATGTATGTATGTATATATATTTATATATATATATATATATATATATATATATATATATATATATGTATGTTTATATATATAGTGGATGTTGACTCACAAATCAAGTATGACCATCACTGATATGTCCAGCCCTTCAGTTAAACTCCCCACACAACACTGCATTCATTGGTTGTATGAACAACAGTGGGTCATAAAAGCCAGCCATTAATCTGCATTTCTTGTCACATATACATATATATATATATATATATATATATATATATATATATATATATATATATAATAGCTGACCACTGGTATTCTACTAGGGCGGCTAGCCAATTCCTATTGCAGACTTTCACTCAGGCACATTTGTGTTTGTTCACCACCCAAAAAGCCAACCTGTGGTTTATACTGCAACGATGCTGAGCAGAACATAGTTACGTTTTCTGGGAGGGAGCATGTTATCTAGAATGATCAACAATCTGAAGAACATCAGCACACTCAAACCCTCGGTCATGATGACTTGTGACTTTGTGGTAGCACAGCTATCAACATCCCAAAGTGTTCCATCTACCCAATTTCACTCACAAAGCTTGAGTCAACCTGTGGTATGGTTTTCAGGCACTTTCCAAAGGTACCACAAACTGGGAATATATATATATACAGGTTATGATGAGCAAACTTTCACCATTTTATATTTTTAATTTCACACATGCACGTTGTTTGTTTTTGATTTTGTCAATTGCACAGTATAGTAGGGTCAGTTGGGCACCGTCCGTGAGAAAAAGAGCACCTGGATGCAATTTACTCTGCTAGAAATTTGGAAACAGCATCTTGTACTGCTTGGCTTTCATACTGGAAGCTTCAATACGGGTGTTTCAGAGTGTTTGAGTGTGAATCTGAGGACAGTGCAGAGGATTCAGAAAGAGTCGGATAAGTCCAATGGTGATTACAAAGGTATGGTAGCTTAGAAATCTTACTCTGATTGTTCGGATAAGAAATATCTTCAGAAATTTGTTGGTGAGAACCACAAACTCAACACAGAAGCCTATATCAAGTGCACTGAGGATGTAGTGTGTTTCTGGGTCAAGAGTGTGACTGCTGGTAGACCCTATGTCTGGCAACAGGACTCTTTACCATGTCACACAAGCAGGAGTGGTTTCTGTAGCAAGTAGTTTTGCATTGGATAGAGTTGCCACTACATCAACAATTACACCTTTTTAAAAAATTAAAACATTTTTAAATAATTTTTAAATTAAAAAACTGTATGTATGTATATATATATATATATATATATATATATATATATATATATATATATATATATTTGCATATGCTCTATCTCTGATATTGAGCACTTTATCCCATAAATATAGCACACTTTAAAATTATTTCTGTATATATATATATATATATATATATATACTGTCCCATCCAAAAGTATTGGAACAGCAAGGCCAATTCCTTTGTTTTTCTTGTTCTATGAAAACATTTGGGCTTAAGATTAGACCATTAATTAAGAGTTCAGAATTCCAGGTTTTATTTCCTGGCATTTACATTAGATGTGTTAAACAATTTAGGATATATCACCTTTTGTTTGAACCCACCCATTTTTCAAGTGAGCAAAAATATTTGGACAATTGACTGACAGGTGTTTCTTGTTGCCCAGGTGTTGCCTTTTAAATTGATTATTTGAACATTAAAAATCTGTGAATGACTACTCTTAGTTTTAAACTTGGATTTCACCTTTAAAAGGATAAACCAACATTAAGACAAGAGAGCTGCATATGGGAGAAAAGCAAGCCATTTTAAAGCTGAGAAAAAAAGGAAAAATTAATCAGAGCCATTTGACAAACAACACAATAATTTGGAATATCCAGAAAAAAAAAGAAACCACTGGTGTACTGAGCAACAGACATAAACCCAGGTTGACCAAGGAAAACAACAGCAGTTGATGACAGAAACATTGTGAGTGCTGTAAGGAAAATCCAAAAACAACAGTTAGTGACATTACCAATATTCATAGTGAAGGGTTGAATATTTCACAATTTAAAGAAGACATTGAGAGCAGAAATGTAGAGGCCATGTTACAAGATGCAAATCATTCATGAGCAGTAAGAATTGGAAAGCCGGGTTGGAATTTCTAAAGAAATACAGAGATGAGCTACATAAGTTCTGGAAGAAATTTTTATGGACTGATGGGACCAAGATTAATCTCTACCAAAATGATGGAAAGGTCAAAGTGTAGAGAAAGAAAGGATCTGTTTATGATCCAAAGCATACAGGCTCATCTGTGAACCATGGTGGAGACAGTGACTTGCCTGGGGCTTCCATGTCTGCTTCTGGAACAGGCTCATTCATGTTTATTGATGATGTAACCCATGATGGTAGCAGCAGAATGAATTCAGAAGTCTACAGAAATGTTTTGTTTGCCAATTTACAGAGAAATGCATCCAAACTAACTGAAAGGAAGTTTATCATGCAATTGTACAATGACCCAAAACATACTGCCAACACAACAGAGGACTTCATTAGGGGGAAAAAAGTGAAGACTGGCCAATTCAATCCCCAAGCCTTAACACAATAGAGTATGCATTTCATCTCCTGAAGAGGAGACTGAAGGAAGAAATCCCCAGAAACAAACAAGAATTGATAGAGTCTGCTTTAAAAGCCTGGAAAAGTATTACAAATGAAGAATGCAACAGTTTGGTGAACAACAAAAACAAAGAAATTGACCATGGCATTCCAATACTTTTGGCAGGAAATATATATATATATATATATATATATATATATATATATATATATTGATAATATCAGTGGTCAATATATATATATATATATATATATATATATATATATATATATATAAAATTCCCAAGAGGATGGAATCCAGGTAGAACTCAATGTCCTGGACACAGTAAGAATATAACATAAAGGCTCAAACACTAATATTCCATGGTTATAATTTATTACATTGGAATCATAATTACGATCCAATTCATTAGACCTACAAATTCAAAAAGAAATCAGCTTTTTGAATTTGTAGGTCTGATGAGTTGGATCGTGATTATGATTCTAATGTAATAAATTATAACCATGAAATATTAGAGTTTGAGCCTTTTATATTATATATATATATATATATATATATATATAATGTACTTTCCTATTGTGAATGATAAATGAGGATCAGCAGTGGATGGTGACTTTTGTTTTATACTTATGCATAATAGCAAGGGCTATTGTGGAGAAAATCAGGTAAGTGAAAGACATATTTCATTTATGCATTCTTAAGTGCAATAGTGGCCCAGCCTTCCTGCAGGCAACAAAGCCACATTGACAGATTTTTTGAAGCAGGATTTTGATGGCATCTCTGCTTCAGAGTTTGATGAATCTGATCACAGTGCTTCAGTATGCTGTCTTTAAAACCCTTTAACTTAATGAAACATGTCTTACACCACTCCTTTTGGTTTGATGCTTGGACTGCCAAGGTTTTCAGAACAAAATTGAGACATTTCAAGTTGTCATACAAATTGTCCCTGTAGCTTAAAAGTGGATGTCCAACTGAATGCTTGGAGTTTGGTAGTTGTCCATATAGCACAATTTTTGGAAGCTTTTGCTCATCCATTCTCACATGACCAGCCCACCTAAGTTGGATCTTTGCTAGAATGGTTTCAGTGCCTTTGATGTTGTTACATTTCTTCAGTATTGCACTATTCTTGACCCTGTCATCCCATTTTATATCATGTATGGCATAATTTAAATTTTAAGGTTGTGTGTTTTTGTACAAAAGAGAATTCTTTTTTACTGGTAGATTTTCCGTCTATGTGGCATGAACTATATTGTTCAATAATTACAGTAATGTCACACTTATTATCCGAAAGTTGTACGTTGGATCAGTTATTTTAATTTCAACTAAAGGTGCAAATTATAATTTATAAATTCATGAATCATTCACCTCCAAATTTAAATTCAAACTCAGCGTTGTGACCGCACGTTCCAAAACAATAACACATTTCTCATAGCATTTTTTCGGATTACATCTCTATTTTCATTGTCCTCTTATTACCGAGAAGTAAAAACAAGAACAAAATCTATTTCCATACCTGAGGATGTCTGTAGGAACAGACGAAAGCTTGTAAAAATTAAAAGACCTTATGCAACTGGAATTTATAAACAGGGATCATATCATTCATATACAGGTTCAGGGTTGATGTATCTTATTTATATTGTTTGCGAAGTATTCTCACCATTTAAATCATTAACCTCTATATTTGTTTTTTGTATGAATGATTCATGAATTTATAAATCTATATATATATATATATTCTGTAATAATGCTATCAAGACAGCTCACTCTGCACATGAATTATTCATCTTCCATTGCATGAAATCTGCCAAAACATTCACAATTTAGAAGTATATTAGTAGACAATACCTGTATAATTCACCAAGAATATAATAAGCAGAAACTACAAATTCTCAAAGCCATCTTTATTAAAAAATTAAAACCAACACTTAACAAAATTATAAATATAGTACAAATGTTCTTAAATACTTATAGAATATAATTCTTTAGAAATATATGCATTAAAACTAAACAGATTTTTAAAAACAAGCAAACTATAACCTACCGCCAGAATTCAATTCTGAACTAAGGTACTTCCCCTACATCATAATATTTACAATTTGGAAAAATTAAAAAATCACAGTTTGTTACTTTGCGCATGACCAGAAATTGTTAACAGTTTAACCACAAAGGCCAAAATTTATATGAGGCACACACAAATATTTGTCTTATTCATCATAACCCTGAAAGTGATATTGTGAATATATCAAAAGTATTCAGAAAAATAAAATGAATAAATACAACCATGGTACCTTCTTTGCTCTCTTTAATCGTGAAACAACAAATCACGAAGGGATCTTATTAAAAATAAACAAACATCATATCTCAAAATTGTTTAATCAGACATGCTTATATATATATATATATATATATATATATATGTGTGTGTGTGTGTGTGTGCGTGAAAGGGTGTATATATATATATATATATATATATATATATATATATATATATATATAGAGAGAGAGAGAGAGAGAGAGAAAGAGAGTGAGAGATCTGAAAGGGCATAAATAAATATATATATATATATATGTATATATATATATACACCACTGTTTCTTCTAAACATTAAGTGATAGGAAGTGATTATTGTCAAGTGATTTTTACTTTAAATGTTTTGCAGTTAATCTGGCTGATTTAATGATGCAAAAGAACACATTTGTTGAAATACTGGAAAAAGTACGAATATACAAAGAGAATGCAGCAGTTGTATTGTCTGGTTGCCGAGCTGTCAAGGGACTGTGTATATTCAGGTGAGTAGAATAAGCAGTGGGAGCCTTGACTGAGTGAAATTGCGAATAATAGGACTGTATTTTCTTTTTTAATAAAAGTGGGTGTAGAATAGAAATATTTAGCAAGCTTCATTTAGTTTGACATAAACCAAGGTGAGTGAATGAAAAATTTTCCTCTTACTCCTGCTCTTTAGTATTATTCCCTTGTGAAGAATAAGGCCACAGCCTCACCACAATAGGTGTTGCTGCTGTAGTTTCTGTAGCAGGTAGGTTTGTATGGTATAAAGTTGCCAGTTTCACACACAACTGATTTTGAATTCAGTTGTCCTGCTTCTAGACTGCTTGCCAAACAAAGCTTGAGATTTTCCATCTGCCTATCTATTTAACCCATAGCTGGAGTGAAAAAGAAATTACCTGTCTCAAAGGTATTTGTTTGAAAGTGAATGCAACAACCTTGGCTAGAATTTCAATTCACTATGCTGATTCCACTGTCTGCATGAATAGCTGTTCTGCTGTACACATATCCACAAATGAAGAAAAAAGATTGAATGAAAAATAGGAGGATTATTTTATCATGTTTATTTAAAAAAAAAAAAAAGAATATACCTACCTTGAAAATCAGCATCTGAAATTTTGTCTTTTTATTAAGCATTGACCAAAACAGAAGTAGCACATTCAGATAATACCAATTTTCTAAGTGAGAACGTCCAGCTGAAAATAAAAAAAAAATATTAACTTGAACACTGAACTCTAGCATCAGTGGGAAAAGCACAAATATTTCAGTCATGAGACAGGTTTTTTTTCATAAGCGAATATAAAGATTGTGTAGCGCCAATCTTCCAAATAAGAACTTTTCTGTATCAAAAATCAGCTGTAAAAAGCTTCGGTAAAATATCCAGGCACTTCATTTATTGAAATCAATTTCATACAGCAGGTGGCCAAATCAGAGTAGGAAGATAATATAGCACCAATTTTTCAAGTGAGGATAACTTGCCGATCATGAAAATAAAAAGGATTACTCACTTATTGTGCTAATGAAGAATATAAAACTATCTTAACTGTAAGAAAAGCTTAAATGTATGTTCATATAAATCACTTGATACTATAGCATTTATAATCAGTAGGACAAATGATATCTGTTATAGATCTTGCATACTGTGCAGATTTCTATATGGTTAGATATCAGGTACATATATCCCAGAATTCCAACTACCATCAGTTACATAACAGCAATGTTATTTTATTCCCGTCATCAAAATCATCTCCATTATTTATTACATGGATTTTTCCAGTCCTCCTGAAAGAAGATTGTGTGTTGGTAAACACAAATACCTTATGAACATCTTTTGTGAAATCTTCTCCAATTATCAACAGAATCCTGCAATTATTATGGAAGCCATTTGCTTAGTTGCATGTCTTGCAGATGTGGGTATGTTATTGTTGTTTCTTCTTTTTTATTTATAAAGGAAGCTGTTTATTATTTTTCCCTTTGGGAAGAGGCTTTTTAGATAACAGTAGCCAATTGATAGCAAGATAGCAAAAGATATAAATATTGGGACAAGTCACATTCATTGATATACATTCATTGTTTTAAACAAGTTCACATTAGCAAAGCTTAATATGAAATTTATTGACTTGAAATTATTGTTTTAATTCATTCTAAATAAAGTATCTGGGACTGACAGATTTTGATAACAATAACAGTTTGATAAAATTACCCATGATAATGATAAACAGCTTCCAATGTATTTTATTTTTTATTTAAAGGTGCATCATCACTTTCTCAGATTTATATTTTATCTACAAAGTTTTTTTTAATTGAATATGCACTGATAGAAAATAAAATTGCAAACTGCTGAAGAACAATGTTGATTCTGACCTGAGTACAGTAAAAGTGCTCAACTCTTATGTTATATCAATCCTCCTATATGACAGTGTCATATACCATATCTATGAACACTAACGGGTATGTCCCAATCCTCATAAATACATTGGATACTATTGTAAGTGGGGTAATATGTTGTCTAAGTAGTCCACCACTAGCAGTGGTTTACCTACTTCATGCTGCTGGTGAGTATTGTGTTTTGTTGATGTTATAAAGATTACCATTTCCAACATCCGTTTTGGTTATTCCTCATTCAATAACCCTTCCTAGGTTACAAAAGACAGTGAATGCTAAACAATTTCCTCACAGATAAAGGAAAAAATGAAGGCAACAGAAACATGAATGCTGAGAATAACATGACTTGAACATGTGAGCAATGATGAAGTCTTAGAGAAAATTGAAATAAAAAGAGACAGTTGAAATTTCTAGGACACATAATGAGGAAAGAGGGATTAGAAAATTTGACACTCTCAGAACATATTGAAGGCAAGAAGGATAGAGGAAAACAGTGTATAACCTACCTAACAAGCTTGTGCAAAGTTTATAAGAGCTACAAAAGACAGGAAATTGTGGCAAGCCATCATCACCAACATCCTCAATGACCATGGCACATAGAAGAAGAAAACGGTTTGAATAGGTGTTTGAAGACCAGGTTCTGGATGGTTACATACCATAGATACTTACCAAGATCATCACATTGTAAAGGCAGATGGTACACACTACACACAGATCAGAGTAAATTTGTGCAAACTGTTTGCACCATGACTAGATTATTTATAATCAAAAAGAGGGTTGGTCTGAGGAGTGACCCATAGGGGATACCTGCATTGACCACTAAGGCTCCAATGGACTGGCCATTAATGACTACCTTCAGGGAGCTACCTGTTAAGAAGGATTTTATGATCGAGAAGACCCTTCCAGTGATTCCATAACTAGAGAGCTTGTGTAGTAAACATTTGTGCCACACGTTATTGAAGACCTTTGAGATATCTAATGCTATGGTCCTCAATGTGTATTTGTAGTCAAGAGAGTCACTGATTCTGTGAGTGATTGTACTTAGGACATTGGCAGTGGATTGGGCTGATCGAAACCTATACTGCTCGTTACTAAAGAGGTTGTTCTTTTCTAGGTGCTCAATGACCTTCTTATTAATTATGGCTTCAAAAAGCTTGCTAATGATACTGAGGAAACTGGTGGGTCTGTACTGGGAGGAGGAAGATTGCACACCCATGTTCTTGAAAACTAGATATGTGTTTGACACTTTCCATAGGCTTGGAAAAGAAGCAGCTTTTACTTCGCTAGAGTTGGGGATAATTTCTGGTTGATATTCTGAAGGACCACCACTGGAATTTTATCTGGATCACTGGTTTTGTTAGGGCCAAGGCCTTTGATAAGCCTTTGATTGACTTCTCATGCTGTAATGGTAATATTACTGAAATTGGGATATGTAGGAAGTTAGGGAGGAGACGGCCTTTGTCGTCTAATGTTGAGTTAAAGGCAAAGATTGAAGTGAAGTGGTGCACCTTATCTGTCAAGGAAGATATGACCTTGGGGCAATTTATAATTGTGGGCACAGCTGCTTTACCTCTATTCATTGATTTGGTTGGTGATCTTTCAGAAATCAAAGGATTCACTTTGTTTCTTATCAACCTTGGTTTGGACTGCTCATGCATAGCTGCACTTGGCATTTTCTAGAATTTGTTTTGCAGTGATTACAGGCAGTTCTGAATGTAGTGAGGGCCAAACTACATCACTCTTTGCGATAGATACGGAAGTAGTGGTTTCACTGAGTTATAGCTGCAGCATATTCAGAAGTGAAACAAGGATGACTGTTTGTTTTTTGCTGGAATTTTGGTGTGGATATAAAACTCTCCATTCCAGAAAGGATCCCATCAATGACAAGGGCAGCAGTTTTTTAGGCAACATGCTTGAAGAAGGTTGTGAAGGGAGCTATTATCATGTATGATTGAAAGCTTCCCCAGTCTGCCTTCGCATAGCTGGAAAGTCTTCCATTAAATGTAAGGGCCTCAAGAACTAACAATAAATTAATGTGCAAGTAAATTATTAAAAAAAAATGAAAATTCAGAAAAGTGATCAAAATTGCCAACATACATTAAGACAGGCGAAGTTTTCTATTATATTTCAGAAACTTTGGACATAAAACAAACTGTCTTAAGGTTATAAACAAATAATATATATTTATTTATTTTATTTAGATTGGGGTGCGTTATTTGATATTCAGTGTAGCAAAAGTTCGTTTAGATCTTGGTAGCTGTCCACTTTGGCACAATAGTTGACAGTTTAGAAATCGAACCTTGGTAGTAGGTGTAATCTTAGGAATAAATATGGTGTCAATCTACTGTCCTTTCTCAGCTCTAAGAAGTGTGTAAAAAATGTCTTAAGCAGATGACTGTTTAACTCCTGCATGGCTGGATTCTCCGGCAGTCCCTTCCCCTCTTCTGCCTCAGGATTGTCAGTTTATATCCTTTTGACAAGGTTCCCAGACTACTGGTGCAAACCTTTGTTTTGGCTAACATCAAAAGTCTCTTTGTGTTAATTTTTTTGATTGGCCCAAATTATTTTATTTTCAGGTGTTCCTTTCATTTTCATTTTTTTTAATATAGCAGAAGTTATACGTGGATACTTGGTAGTTTTTAGTCAAAAATGGTTAGACTCTGGTCCAGCAAACTTCCACTGTTTTGTGGCTAGTCACAGTCTTTTGCTTCCTCTTTTTTGTTTGAGGGTCTCCTTCTTGTTAATTGAGAGAGAAATAGAGAGAGAGAGAGAGAGAGAGAAATAAAAGAATAAGGTTTCAAAGGAAAGCAAATGACATTTTTATTCTTTTTATTTTTGTTTATATATTTTATTTTTATCAGGGCTCACTACATATGCATGTGTGAGTACAGTCTTGTGTTGATGCTGAAATAGGATAGACAGTATATTAAATGGGATCTGAATACTATTGATATATCCCTTATTTTAGAATGTGTGCATGTATTGATCTGTATATGAGATTATTTACTGCAATCCAGCTATATTATTTGTACATTTAATTTTGAGTAAATTGAAACACATGTTCAGGGTTTTACAATTTTATTTTCTGTCAGTGCATTAATGATAAAAGTTTGATTTTACATGTCTGTAAGCTCTAAATATCCAAAATACTGCACTGTAGCTTCAGTTAAAAGTGCTTACTTAATGTTAAAATAAAAAAAAAACTGTGATTTGCAACTGAATAATATAAACAACAAACAAAATGTCATTAGCAACATAACAATAACATAACAACATAGTAACAATACAAACATCATTTCTAAATGTGAAAATATTCTCTTCAAAAAATATTCTCTTCAAACATAATTGATGTAATTTTTCAGGTAAGCATATGAATATACAATAGCATTTCTAAATTCTAGTTGCTAACAACATTTTGTTTGTTGTTTATAGATACTTTGTTTCATTAAATTCATTTTGTTTTTGCCTTGAAAAGTCCACATTGGGTAAAACATGTCAGCTAAAACAACAGTTTTCCTATGCTTTTTTTTCTTTATATATATATATATATATATATATATATATATATATATATATATATACACCTCATAACACACTCGAGCACTTAGTGGGTAGAATGGAGATCAACAGGTTTTAATAGACTCAGCAGTTTTCAATCTGCTTGTCTGAATCATCTTCAAGAAGCAAGAGCAAGATCTAAAAGGTCAGCCAATCTAACAGTGGTCTCCTCCCACAGTCCTCACTCTTGCTCCATATACGGCCTCCTTTGTAAATCACTAGTGGGTCTTAAGTGCCACTTAAGATTATCACACAAAATTTCATAACTGAATCAGTTGGTTAAGTTTTCAGATTCTCATATGTCAAAAACCAACCGGGAGAGTCCATTATATATATATATATATATATATATATATATATAAAAATATATATATATATATATATATGTATTGATGCATGTGTTATTGAAGACTACAGAACTTTTCCTTTCTTTTGATTTTTATTGCTTTCTCACAAGTTTCTTTGTATTTGTATAAATAATCTTAAGAAAGGTAAGAGTTGTTTTCTCTCTGCATTCTGTGCCATGCATAGAATTCTTAGCAAAATATCTTATTATTGGTATATTATGATGGTTAATAGAAAAGTGAGTGGACAAGTGAGCAATTATGAAACCACTCTCCCATTAATTATCTACAAAAAGGTGTTACCCTTATTGTCAACCTTGACATGTGCTAGTCATATATTATATGTATGTGTATGAGTAAGTGAATGTGTCTGTGATTTGGACATAATCATTCATGACATTACAGTGTTGAAAATATAGGGCTAAGGAAATATGGTATACTTTTAGGAAATTTCTATAATTAAAGAAGTTATTAATTAGTAGTGCCTTGTGAAAATACATCTGCAATTGAGTAATCAGGTATGTTCAAAGTTCATTGTAGCTATTATTGGGTTGGTGCATAATTATCAGGTGTTTTTGTAGGCAAGTTAATTGTTAATAAGAATTGCTGTTTTGTTTACTTTTTTAATAAAAATATTATTTTATTTTCAGGTTATAAAAATGTGAGTCGATAATCATACGCTCCAGAATAATCAATTAAAAATGTTAGTCAAATTGTTATGTTTCTTTTTTCCATAATAAATAGTGTTTAAAAAACGCCTGATAATTATGCACCAACCCAATAGTATATTTTATATATAAATAACTTTGTTTAAAGCAGCATGTGTTCAGTAAAAGGAGGAAATACATATTTTTCGTTTAATATTTTAGAATTCCTTCTTTCTCAATTTGAGACAATCATCCATCATCATAACAGCACAAAGACATTACCAATTATAAGAATATCCAGTTCAATGGATTTTATATATATATTTATAAACAAAACTAGCTTAGGAATGGAGAGAAAATCCTTTCCTCAATGAACTACTGTCTACTGTAAATGAGAACATGACTGATAGTATGTTTTTTTGTGAGAAACTTACAACAGCATTAGGTTGCCAGTTTGTACAGGAGTCCAGTTTTTAGTGGGATTATCTTGTTTTTTGAACTGGGATATTTTATTGTGGTCACATGAAGTCTTTCTGCACAGGGGGTAGTGTGGTGTGTTCTATATATGATATAATATGATATGACTAGAAATTAAGAAAATCCCCGTGATATCTTGTCATCCTGTGGTTGACGAGAGAAAGGAAAAAAGTTCCCGAGCAGACAAGGTGGGGTAATCCCTCAAACTTAATTATTTTTATTTATTTATTTTTATTTTTTTAAGGCAGATATTTATTATTAAAATGAATTTATTCTTTTCCTTCAAGACATTCTTCACAACCCCAGTTTAATCTGGAAAGCTGTTTCAAATGCCATTGTAACACACCCTGACTATGTTTTAGTTCAAGAATCAGCCCTTGAAGTACTTGCAGTGACAATTCACAAAGGTGAGCATAGCACCGATTAAGGTTTCAGTAATTCTTTCTTTCGTTCTTTATTTTTCTTTCTTTCTTCTACCTTTCTTTACACAGTTTTCAGCAAAAAAAAAATAATAAGTTAATTTTCTGTATATATATATATATATATATATATATATATATATATATATATATAATCCAAATAAATCAGGAAAATTACAAAGCATTTAATTTAAAATTTATTTAAAATTTTAATTTATAAATTAACAATTGATACAACTTATGAGTTTGTTTAAATCTCTACACATAAACTTTGAACCCCTGCTCCATTATTTTTGTCATAAAATTCAAATAATGTCTTAAAATTTGAGAAAGCATGACAAAGAGTTATGTTTAAAGCCTTCATAAACATAAAAAATAACAAAAATAAAATAAATACTTCTATTTAGAAACACAATCCTTTACGTAACAATTTAAAACTCTCAAGAGTATTTTATTATCCAAAATAAATTTTGGAGGATTCTTTTTAATCTTTCAGGTATCCCAAAGATCACACACACACACACACACACACACACACACACACACATACACACACATACGTGTGTATGTATGTGTATATGTGTATGTGTGTTTGTGTATATATATATATATATATATATATATATATATATATAATAGATTGTGCCGTATGTATATTATAAAGAGGTAATCATACAAAGAATTAATCAGTAATGTTGATGTAATTAATGGTGAAATCTCTTCGCTAACAATACTTAATAAGGCATTAACTTACTAACAATTCATTGAATACCCTGATCCTTATGTTTAAATTATTGTCAGATGGAATTGCTGATGCAGGGCCAAGTACTTTTGATAATTTCACATTCTCATCCTCAGGGCATTATTCAATGAATTGTCAATAAGTTAATGCCTTATTAAATATTGTTAGCGAAGACATTTCACCATTAATTTGCGACTGATAAGTCCAATATATATATGCTCACCATAACATGACTGATCACACTTTTGACATAAAAAATGCTGCTCTAATTAAGAGAAAGTAATTCAGTAAAACAAAAATGTTTAGAAAGTGAATTAATCACTAGTTCAGCCACAGTAAATTTGTGGTTCAGGTTCTTACTACATTTCACCATTTTTGGCAGATTTAATTTTATCTCAATGTCGGATATTTAATGACAAAGGTGATGGAAACAAAAGAAAAAAAAAGAATTTAGATGAAATTGGTGAGATTGTATGCCCCAAAATGAATTTTTTCTAAATTTAAAATTCCTAGCATCTCTCACCCATGTACATGCTTAGTTGCATCAGTGTAAACAAATCCAATCCAATGAAGTACTAAGGGATGTAACATATCACATGGATATTTTTTCCACTTTGTCACACATCTTTCCTCCAAAACTGTTCTTGATATATAAAAATTTATATATTGTTATCCCATATATATATATATATATATATATATATATATATATAATACCAATTGGTAATTGGTAGGAATAATTCCAAGGAGATATTAATCCAAAGTGAGCTCAATGTAAGTAACAGAGCAATATAATAATAAGTCAAGGAAATCCTTAAAAATCCATCTCAGTTATAATTTATTTCATGAATAATATAATTATAAATTCATCTCCTCAGACTGAAGGTTTTTTAGTAATATAGAAATTTAGGTTTTTATATATATATATATATATATATATATATAATTTTGATTTCAATTATTAAAACACGTAAGTTTTAAATTTCATCAAAATATATATATATATATATATATATATATATATATATATATATATATATATATATATAGTCAATTTGAAATGTTGTTTTTGAAGTGAAAATTGCTGGTTTTTCAGTGGTTTGCTGATAAAGAGGCATTTAAGGCAAGCAGGCTTTGTCGTAGAGTGCTCAATATCAAAGACAGAGATAGAGCATTAATAGAATTAATATGAGAAAGTTTTCTTCACTTATGTTTACTCCAGAGTTTTGAGGCTATATAGATATAACCACTCATCAGAACAGAGCAGGTTTTGTGGTAGAGTGCTCAATATTGAAGATAGAGATAGAGCATTAATAGAATTAATATATATATATATATATATATATATATATATATAATTATTTATTTAAAAATATGATTCCAACTTGCGACATAAGAGGTCTTATGTTTCAAAACAAGAGCCGAAAACTTCAATATAATTATTTGAATTAAATTGAGTTAAAGTAAGCTCTGTTCCATCTTCAAGCGAAATTTTTTTGGAATAACGTATTTCTGAAATTTACGTGTTTTAATAATTGAAATCAAAATTTCCATGGTAACAGCTAGGGCGAATTGTTTAAATTGGGTAGGCGTGTGTTGGGTGTTAATAATAAGTATCAGTATAGAGTTACTTTCATGGATGTCAAGTCAGGGAAAGGTGGAGGTGTCTAAATTTGAAACGGAAGATGTATTAACCCTAGTCTAGTTTGCTTATATATATATATATATAGTTAACACAAATACACCATTAGACGCACAATACAGTTAGCACAAACACAAGCACAATGTTAGATGCACATACACGAACACACAATTATACAGATTCAGGTGAGTGTGTGCATGCATATTTGTATGTATGTTTATGTGCATGTGTGCACATGCATGAACATGCACATAAACACACACCTGCACAAACATACATACATACACAAAAAACAACCATAACCTAAATTAACACAATAACAATAAACTAGAGATCAATGGTGAAGTCGAGGAAGGAATAAAAGGAAAAAAAGAAAAGAGAAAAAATAGAAAAGGAGAGGAAGTGTAGACAACAATTAATCAATAGCCATCATGCAAAAAGGAAATAATGCACTCATACCACAATAAATGTACAAGAAAAATTGAGAAATGTCAGCAGTTTAGCTCTGTTCTGACAAATGGTTACATCTACATAGCTATGAAACTCCAAAGTAAACATGAGTTAAGGGAAAAAGATTTTTTCATATTCTCTCTCACTCTCTCTCTCTCTCTCTCTATATATATATATATATATATATATATATATATATATATATATATATATATATATATCATTATCCCATATCATATTCATTATATATATATAAATACTTTTTTATCCCATATTCATTATATATATATATATATATATATATATATATATGAAGTGAGATCAAATATGACAATGATATGATAAGGAACAAATAAGAAGCATTTATAAATCTAAAATGTTTCACTTTTATTAAACCCTCATCAGAGTATAAGATATGGAGGAAAAGAAAGAAGCAGAAAAATTTCTGATATTTTAATTTTTGTGTTCTTTGATTGTCATTGGTTAAGCAGACTTCATGCACATCGTAATACTTTATGCAAGAAATATTTCAAGGGAATTCTGATAAATATTTTACCATCTATATGTCAAGCACACTATATTACATCAACTAAAAATTCATACTTAAAGAATCTAAGATATGTCTACATACTACAACTTTTTTTGAACCTCACACAAAATAATCCCCTAATCAAGATGCAGACAAACACCAAATATAAATAAAAATACCTACTAGAAACAAACACAGCCACACACAAAGGAATATACATTAACATTTCAATCCCAAATCAACAAGCTTTAACTATGATACACTAACACATATATATTATACACACAAATGCAAGACAAATGCATGTGAAGTCTGCTTAACCAATGAAAAACGCAATACAAAAATGAAAGATACCAGAATTTTATCTCCTTTCTCTTTATCTCATTCTCTGATGAAGCTTTCATAAAACAAAAATCTGTTAGATTTATAAACATTTCCTATTTGTTCCTTACCCTATTATACACACACACACATATATATATATATATATATATACAGGATTAATACAAATATAAAATATGTCACTTCTTAGCTGATTGATGTTATACTCAACACCTCTATTCCAGAGTTACATAGGAGAACCTTTATGCATGGTCCACTTATCAGGAGGTATCATATATATATATATATATATATATATATATATATATATGTGTGTGTGTGTGTGTGTGTGTGTGTGTATGTGTGTGTGTGTCTGTGTGTGATGATTTCATGGGCATGAAACCCAGAGCCATAAACTCACATCAATACAACTAGGTTAGCTGTCACTGATATTGAGCACTTTTCAATATGTACCGCACATGTATAATATATAAATAATATATATAGAAATTGCATATATTTATACATATATATCTATATATATATATTATTATTATCTGATTGTGTATGTATTGTCTTTTACAAGATTTCATCCCCACTTCCTGCCCAGGTTCTTGCTTCAGATGTATCTACGTTGTCATGAAGTTCAGAGCAGCATTGGATCTTAACGTTTATTCCAACTTAATTTCAATAAAAACAAAATAAATAGAAAAACATATGTATTTTTTCCTCGGTTCCTTCTTTAAATAACTTTATAATTTTAAACTTAATATAGATTAAATTTAAAATTTAAAATTGGTAATTTTTAATTTTAAATTTTATAGTAAATTTAATATTTATTAGTTAGAATGAATTCTATTTTAGTCTAACCACAACATTAAAGCATTAAATAATTATTATAACCTTAAAGTCCATTGTCAAGTTTTTTGAATTCTCATATACTTGTATTTTGATTGGTCATTCCAGCTTATGTAACAGCGTTTCCCCTTGCGAGGGATGTTTGATTGATTTGAACCTTTTAAAGCCCTTTATTGTACATTCAACACCATCACTTGATAAGACACCAGAAGTGTTGAAACTAAATGGTTATTTTTGTCGTGATTTTATAACATGTTTATGTTATCATTTTTGAATAAATAATTATATATATATATATATATATATATATATATAAACACACTAACATACACACACAGGTAGCATGTACTTTTTTCAGTTTTCTAATATTTTTTCCATTTTCTAGAATGTACAAGCAGCTATCAACTGGACAAGAAATACTTGAATCAGATTTTGGATATACTGAAGAAATTTCCTGAAAATTTGTGTAAGTAAATCAAAGTTGTCAAAGACTGTAACAGCTTTTTGCCTATCACTGTTTGGTCAGGTAAGATAGCTACTGTAGCATAGGAAAAAAGAGGATCAGACTTTGGAACCCTTTTCTTATTTACTGCTTTGTCAATGCCATATAGCTGTCATTAGAAGAACTTCTTTAGCAAACATGTGGTGTAATCCCACAACTGAATAGAATGGACCAAGAATATCTGTTAAGCCTTTTGCTGAGTTTCTCTTGGTGTTGAATAAATCATTTCACATAAGTTCATAGACTGTCTATATTTCTGAGATGAGGTATTATGTACATTATTTACATTATTCGGACTATTGTCTTTGGGAATCACATGGATCAACAGCTGCAGTAGGTAAAGCCCTTTCCTTTATACACAGATGTCCTCAAGGACACATAACACAGTTATGGTGTTAGTTAGATCCAGTGACAGGACCCAAAGAGTGTGAGTTCAATACCCAATTAAGGCAGTGGAGAACTTGGAGAGGGGAATTAACAGGAGATAACTGACATCCAGTAAACATGGCATGTGGAACTAGAACAGTGAGTGAAATAAAGGGTTCAATTTGACATTCCAATCACCTGAAGAAGGCTGGAGCGTACAACAGCCAAAACGTTGTAATAAATATGGCAACAAAGACGAGGACAATAGTCCGAATAATGTAAATAATGCAGTTAATAGATATTTTTTGTTTGTTCTATTCAATAAAAGATGTTTAAATCTACATATGTAAGTATGTTTGAGTTTGTGTTTATATATGCCTTAGTATGAGATCAAAATATCTGATGGTAGATGACTGACAAAACAAAAGCTATGGATTTTTTTTGTCTAGAAAATGAATCTGAAGTGCTAACACTGACATACGTCCTTTGTTCTTACAGGTATTCAAAGAAAAGGGCTTTATTTGCTGCAGCTGTTGACCCATGTGATTCCTGAAGACTTCAAGATAGATGAAATGGCTAAAATGATTGTTGATCTCATGAAGAAAAATCCATATGCACCCAGCATACAAGTGGAAGTGAGAAAATTCTTTGGAAGTTGCTTTTAATTTCAAAATTAAATGTTGCAAGCAAACTGGCCAGACATTACACTTATTACAATGCCTTTTAAGGATCATCATTCAATTTTTGGAAAATTTTATGTTTTAAGATCCACTTTTTACAATGTCTGATAATGCAAACACATAAAAGAAGCAAATTAATAATATAGGTTAAGATTGAATTTTAATATAACCTTAGCCGCAGAGAAAATATTACAAATTTTGTTAGCTGTAAAAAAAGAAAAAAAAAGTATTTCATGAATAATTTTAAAAGCAAAAAGAAACATTTATCAAAAAAATTTAAATAATACTTTTTTTTACATGCATTAAAACTCAAAATACATATCTAAAATGTACTATCAAAAAGCAGGGAGTGAAACCTGAAGGAGATTGGTAGAAGACATGGTCAGCAGGAGTCATTTGGTAGTTAGTGATCACTAGTTGCTAGTGATCATAGGTCACTGGTGGTTACTGATGATTGAAGATGATGACAGGTCACTGGTGGCTGCTGATAATTGCAGGTCACTGATGACTGCTGATGATTACAGGTCACTGTTGGTCGCTGATGATCACAGCTCACTGGTGGTCGCTGATGATCGCAGGTCACTGATGATCACAGGTCACTGGGGGTCACTGATGATCACAGGTCACTGGTGATTGCTGATGACCACAGGTCACTGGTGGTCGCTGATTATTGCAGATCACTGATGTCTGCTGATGATCACAGGTCACTGGTTGTTGCTGATAATCACAGGTTGCTGGTGGTCACTGCTGGTGGTTGCCGCTGGTGGTCACCAGAGGCTGCTGGTCATTACTTGTCATAAAAATAACTCTAGGTTATGAAGAACAATGTAATTGGTCATAATAAAACTATGAACAGGAAAGAAATATGATTAGTTTTGCATAACCAGTGAAAATGTCTCTGAAACTATGTACACAATTAATGCACAAACTATTCAAGGTTAAATTAAAAGTGTCCAGTTGCTGAAACAAAAATAACTCAATAGCATATTGCTACGATAATTTCTTTTTGAAGCAAAGAACTTCATTCTTTGTTCTGGTTGAGCAGCAAAGGCCCCAAAACATTGAAATCCACACTGCTATGCATTTTGTCGACAAATTTATATTTGCTGATTCTTTCAATTTTCTCATTTTTTAGCTGCATTTTCTACTATTTGTGGTTTACCCTAGATAGGGTAATTTATTACATTAGTTTATTAAGAATTTATTATATTATTTTCAAAATTTTTCTCCAGTTGTACTTTATCAGGATTATCAAGAAAAATGCTTTACAATGTTTCTTGTGGATTTAATATTTCATGAATAATTTTTTAACTAAAATGAGGCATGAAATTGAAAAAAGTCTAAACTGAACCAATAAAGTGATGCCAAAATGGTATTTTATAAAATAAATATAAATTCACTATACTCTTTAATTGACCTAAATATAATTATGAATGATAAGCAAATCGATTTAATTGCATTTTTATTTTCCAGAGTTGCATCTTAATTGTTCTTTTGGGAGATCATTCAAAGACAGAATCTTTTATCAGACATGACTGCCAAACTCCTGTTTTTGCAATTTTTATGAATTACAGTGACTTTCCAGGTATGGAATCCTATATTTACTTTTAACTTCTTCATTACTAATATATTTTTTGTTGATGTGAATAGAAAAAATGATGATTCCACAAAGACTAAATTACATTGCTAGAAAGCAAGTATTATTACAGTACTGTGCAGAGAACAAAAGGGAAAAAAGTCATGAATTTCAGAAGGGGAATATTACATAACTCATATCATCTTATATATAAAGTACAGTGTATGTATGTGTTTGTGCATGTGTGTGTCCAAGCAACTCATCTGCTCCCACTGGTCCAATTTCAATGATTTATAGCTCATTCAAAAGTTAGTCTATTATTTTCCTTTTGTATTTATTTGCAGCATTTGATATAGAATTTTACATCCAATTGCAGCTAGCTTAAAATTTTAATCTAGTTAAAATTTTAAGCTAGCTTAAAAGCCACCCTATTGGGCATCATTTAAGCTAGTTTACATGGTGGATTCTTGGTTTGGCCATCATCGCAATAGCTAGGGAAGAGTAGATGTGATAGGCATCAATAAACTACAGAAGAACTCAAAATTGATGGCTGAATTTAAGTATTGAATTAATGTTTAATTTTACCTTTTAAAAGTTCAATGATAATTCTTCTGCTGCCACTTAATTTAAAGACATTTTTTTGTACATAGATCCTTATTTTCCATACAAACAATTATTTTTATTTCATGGGTGACAGAACAGGGGACAATTTATAAGATAAAATTAATATAGTGTAAAGATGGGAAAATTAGAATTTGTTATACATTCAACATTTGAAAAGTTAGAAAAGCATAATAGCTAATTAAGTAAAACCTATATTATATAATCTATATGAATAAATACAAAATTGGAGCTCAATTCTCTCATGAATTCTGAGATTAAAAAGCCCCAGCTCTACTTTACAGTAATTTGGTATTTACTCGACCAAACCCCCAACAAAGTCGCAGCCACAAAGTCTCATTGTGACACAAGGTCAATATAATGTGGGGAGCCGAACACATACACCCAGGCTAGGAACAAAAATTCCCCAAGCCCCCACAACTGTTGGTTGCACTGGCCTCAGTGCAAGCACTGATCCCTCCCTCTGGTGCAGTGGGAGGGTGCAGTCTCCTGCAGCTGTTCCCCAGGGCTGGGTACCTCTCAGTATAATTTTCCTCAGTTGCAACTCTGTCTTTTGACAGTGCTGCCCCTGAGTGCACTCTGCCCAAAGACAGAGATGCAACTGAGAGATGATGAATAAACATGCTACAAACTACTTTACAGTAATTTGTATTTATTCAAGCACCCCACAAGATCAGGTTGTGACACAAGGTCAGTTTAATGTGGGGAGCTCAAGCATGTACACTCAGGCTAGGAACAAAAATTCCCCAAGCCCCCACAACTGTTGCTTGCACTGGTCTCGGTTGAAGCATCAATCCCTCTCTCTGGTGCAATGAGATGGCACAGCCTTGGGCAGCTGTTCCCCAGAGCTGGGCACCTCTCAGTATAATTTTCCTCAGTTTTGATGCCGTCCTTTGACGGAGTTGCCCCTGAGAGCACTCTGCCCAAAGACAGAGATGCAACTGAAAGATGATGAATAAACGTGTTACAAACTACTTTATAGTAATTTGTATTTACTCAATCTCCTAAGGTTTGTTTTAATTTTCATATCAAAAATAGTTCTGTTTAGGAATATTGTCTTATATAGAGCAGGAAAGTGTTTGAAATTTGCATTTTACTTGGACTTCCCTAAGTTGGCATCTATTTGTAAAACTTTCCTTAACTATAACAAGCCTTTTTCCACACCCAACCAGTTAATTTCTTCTTTCTTTACAGTCATATTCTTTGAATAAATATATTGAATATCCACAACCCCTTCAACATTTCATAAATAGTAAAAAACAAGTAATTTTTCCTATAAAAATTACCAGGTAGAGAGTGGGCAAAGCCTACTAGTTAGGTATAAAGTAGTAAAAATGTTTAACATCCTCTGGCATTGTAACTCTCGTTTTATGAGAAACAAAAACAAAAAGGATATCTACAAAGGTATCTGTCATTCAATACTAAAACAAGTAAACACGTACTATGAATTCATATAAAATTCTGGTTAATGTTCAACTGTTAATAATGTCATTCCATGGGGTAGCAAACCAAATTCCAACTTCATTTGGGACAGTTTGCATTTGTAGTATTTGATTCACACCAAGAAATAACAGATAGTCTGAATCAAATTTAGTATCAATGTCACTACAATTTTCTTGTTTTCTTTACTTTTCTTTGCTTCCTTTATTTTATTTCTTTGCTTTTTATCTTCTTTTTTTATCATCTTCCATTTTTTGTTCTCTTTATCCTCTTTTTTCTTTTTCTTTATTGTCTTTATTTCTTTACTTTATCTTTCTTTATTTTATCATCTTTCTTTCTTTCATTCTTTTTTCTTTGTATTATTTTTTTCTTTCCTTTCTTTCTTTATCATCTTTCATTCTTTGTTTTCTTTATTGTCTTTTTTCTTTTCTTTCTTTCTTTCTTTCTTTCTTTCTTTATCTTCTTTTGTTCTTTACTTTATCTTCTTTCTTTCTTTCTCTCACTGATCTTTTGACCTGCTTTCAAGATTAAAAGCAAAAGATAGCATTCCTCTTAAATACATTTCAACTTATTTTTTTCCTTTTTTTCAGAAATTCTAGATATTGCCTACCAGTGCTTATTTGTGTTGAGTCATGAGAATAAAAAGTCTATCATGTTGCTAAGAGCTTGTGCTGCCAAAAGCTTCATTGTAAGATAGTTTAATGTTTATAATTGTTTTGTTCTTTTTTGTCTCATCCCCTCCCTCTATATATCTCAGTCTGTTCATATTTATCTATGTATCATTATTTTTGTGTTTATGCACATTAACATTTCATATTTCTGTAGCTTTATTAAGCCTTTGAGCCCTAACCACCACTTTACTAGTAGTAGAGAAAAATGACATAATGCTCAGCCACCGGTTGAACAGTGATAGAGAAAAATGACGTAATATCTACCATGAAACATTACATACCAATTATTTGTGAATTTTGACTCAGGAGCTCAGGTAGAATGGTTAAAACTGTTCAGAAACACAGAGCTCAAAGGTTAAGTATCATATGCAAAAAGATCATTAAAATTTTTCCCAGGGATTTTTGTTCCATTAATTTTGTTTATACTTTATTAAATATATTCTAGATTAACTTTTTTTTTGTTATTTACTAAGAAAATCCTTGTTAATATGTTACTGTTTTTTATTTTCATATTTCCCTAAAGGTGTAATTAAATAAGGTGCTTATCAGACACAATAAACCAGAAATAGCTGAGCTTGCTACCCATAATGCCCCATTCACCAGCATATATAAATAGTCAGGCTACAACTAACACAGACCTGAAGATTGTGTTCAAACATGAAACAGATTGTTGGCACTTGGTTTACACACTATCCCTGATATTGAGTATTTTTATATATAAATATATCTTACCTTAATCTGTATTTTTTACCATATATATATATATATATATATATATATATGTGTGTGTGTGTGTGTGTGTGTGTGTGTGTGTGTGTATAGATATATATTGAGGTCTATTGTCTGCTTCGTCTGTGGCATTTATTTGCACCAACTGAGTGTATCAATAGTTCCAAAAAGTGTGGATGGTTCTGTACAAGCCGTCACCACTTTAATCAAGTCACTTGTGTGGGTTTTCTGGCGGTTTACCTTGATTCATTCATTCTTATCCACACAGCAGTTTTCAGTCAGCTTGTCTGAATTGTCTTCAAGAAGCAAGAGCAAGATCTAAAAGGTCAGCCAATCTAACAGTGATTTCATCCCACAATCATTACTCTTGCTCCATATGCGGCCTCCTGAGTAAATCACTAGTGGTTCTTAAGTAACACCTAAGATTATCACACAAAACTTCCTAACTAAATCAATTAAGTCGTCAGATCCTCATATGTCAAAACCGACGGGAGAGTCTATTATATATATATATATATATATATATATATATATATATATATATATATATATATATATATATATATATATTTCTACCATAATAAATTATTTACTTGCAAATTTTACATCTTTTAGATGTAGCCAATTTGATGCCTTTTTCTAAGAAGCTTTGACATTATATATTACATTTTTTAATATATATATATATATATATATATATATATATATATACATTGAGGAGGCACGGTGAAGTAATGGATAGCAGCTTGGATTGAGGAATCGGAGAGCCAAGTTCGAATTCCAGTCAAATCCATTACATTCACTTACGTGATAATACCCTTGGGAAAGGTGAGAATCCTCTTCTTCTCCATCCAGCTATGGGTAAATAGCAGGACAGACTCGGTTCTATAGGCTTGGATGGCAACTGGTCTAGGAGAAGGACAACTCTGAATTCAAAACCTGCGGAGGGTCGTTTGGGGATCTTGTGACATGTAGTGTACCAGGTCTCTGTATTCGGCCCCTCAAAAAGTGTGGATGGTTCTGCACGAAACCTTCACCACTATAATCAAATCTCATGTGCTGTTGTCAGGCTGTTGGTTTCCTAGGAGTCGATCTGCTTGACCCTCATATGTTGAATTCGACAGGAGAGTCAACTATATATATATATAGGTTTGACTTTGTTAAACTCTGCAATTTTGTTCTTAATAATTGCTTGAACAATGCCTAATGATTCTTTTTGTCCCTGGAAGCACAAAATTAATTTAATTAAGACCCTTACCCATAGGGCTCTTATGATCTGTTGATGAACTCAGGTTTATTACTTCTACTCTCTGCAACAATGCCTACCCATTAGGCATTGTTCAAGCAATTATTAAGAACAAAATTGCTGAATTTAACAGTCAAACCTACTATAGTAAAAAGATGTCCTGTGTACCTCCTTCTTCCTTGGCTAAGTAGTATCAGTGATAGGTATGCTAAGCAGGTTTCTACTGCAGTTCGACATTATTACTTTGCCGCTAACACTCGTGTTGTTTTCTCTGCCAGGCCTGTCCTTCCGTCTATGCGTAAGGATATTCTCCCTCCACATCATAATACTTCATTAATTTATTCTTTTAAATTTAGTTGCAGTTCGCACTACATAAGGAGAACAACACAAAGACTGGATGTTCGAATAAAACAACACGTTCCAGCGAAAATCCGAAACCTTAAGTACACTCCCTCAGACATTTTGATCAATACATATGGGTCTTCCATTGCAGAACACCTTATAAATAGCCATAATTGTGCTGTTAGTTTTAGTGGCGACGCTTTTACCATCCTTAGCAAGTCCTACTCAAATTACCACCTGAAAGTGTTGGAGGCCATCTACATTCTATCATTAAAGCCTTCTCTTTGTAAACAAAAGGACATTGTATTAGGCCTCCAACTAATTACCATTTAAATATTTTTTTCTCCCACCAATACACTTTGTCTATTGTTTTTTTTTTTGTATTATATAATTTACTCTATTTACCCCAATTTACCTCTATTGAGTGAGGTACAAAACCAGTTAGCTATCCTGTTTTTCATTTTTACTTTTTATTATCATGAGTGGTAATAATAAAACTAATTTTGTCTGTTCATGGCAGTGATAAAATTTTGTACCACTAAACATATCTATCTATCTATCTATCTATCTATATATATATATATATATATATATATATATATATATATATATACACACACACTACAGTTGAAAAGTTTGAAGCCACACCCAAAATTAGCATGGAATGAACTTGACAGAAGAGTGAAAAAAAAATATCAAAAGAACTGTTAGAGTCATTGAAGATAGAATGGAATCAATTATCAAACTTATACTTTGAGAAACTTTTGCAATGAATGTCAAAAATTTGTGCTGCAGCAATCAAGGCTAAAGGAGGATATTTTGACAAGAGCAAAATTTAATAATAATGTGCTTTTTTCTTTTTGTCATTGTCATAATAAAATTTTTAATAAAAAATAATGTCCCACTTTTTTTAACCATGTATAATAATTTTCTCTTATTTAATGTACAAAACAACTATTTTTGTGCCAATTTAAACAATTTCCAGGGGTAGTCTCAAACTTTTGACCTGTAGTGTATATGTGTGTGTTTATGTATGTATGTATGTATGTATGTATGTATAAACATTTAATAATCATATTCTGTAATCTCTTGAGTTTGTATTTATAATAAAAGGGGATATATGTCCACTTAAAATAATAAATAAAATTTTACTTTTTGAAATTTGAAAATGCAAATATATAAATAAACAGAATTTACAGTTTGAGGTGCTTGCTTTCCATTTTCAGCTTGTTAAAGTTTTAAAACCTTTCAATAAATTTCACATTGAAGATTTTTTCTTTTATTTTGAATTTTAGGAAGTTGAATGCTTGGTGCATTTGGATGCTGATGTCAACTACAAGGAAAATGGTTACACACCTTTACTATATGCTTGTGAGAATGGTGATGAAAAAATTGTCAGTTGTCTTCTTACAAAGGTAGTTTAATGATGTAATGGACTTTTAAGTTATTTAATACAATTTTCTCAGTGTACTGACTAATAATATTTAAACAATTTAAAGATTAAAAGTTGATTGGTTCATTTTGTTTGGCAGTGTTTCAACCTCAGTGGGTTGTTTAATGCCAAAATCTAAATATTTTGCATGTAATTTTATGGCTTCAACTACAGATATTTTGTACATAATTTTATACTTTCATTTAAAGTTATGTTTTTTAGATATAGATCATAAAATGTATTGTTGGTAATTTTACTATAAAAATGGACTGTTGATTTTTTTTTGTGGGGTGGGGTCACTATTTACCCAGAGCTGCTACCACTCTAGGTGAGGGTAGACCTGGGAGCAATAGTAATTAAGAGGTGGTTCCATGCTCCCCAAAACCTCCTATGTTCCAATCAGGGGTCTTGCTACCAGTTGCAATTTATTGTCATACCCAGCAGGAAAGACTAAAAGTAATGATTCTTTTCTCTGTGACTGTAGCTATAGAAATTTTATATAGAAAGCTTACAAGCATATATTAAATTTTAGTACAATAGGCAAAATAATTAGAAATGTTGAGGTGTCTACAAATTTTTCTCTAAGTTTTAGCAATAAAATGAAGTGCTAAAGATTTTCATCTCTTACTTTGTTTCACTGTCAGTAGCATGTAGTCATTTCACTATGTAAGAGGTTAAGTTAGTGAAATTATATTTCCATCAGGAAGTAATTTAGAAAATCATCTTTTTTAAATTTTATTCATAACAAGTGAGCTAATTCAAATATCTTGGCACAATTATCAGTGTAGTGAATAGAAATAATTTCAAGAGCAGCCCAAACAATGGCAGCTGTCACAAAACTAAAACCTATTCAGAAAGACTAAAACATTTGTCCAAAATCAAAGATCAGATTGTTGTGATAGTTTTTCTAAGTTTAGTTCCTAGAAACAGCCCATCATCATTCACTTGTGAAAGCCAAAACCCTTCAGGTCCTTAGACCAACCAAACTTCTTAAATAGCCACAAATTGGTTCCAAAATTGAAAACTATGGGACTTAATTTGCTTTCCCTTTTGGTTAAATAAATCTATTCACTCTTTCTGTGTATCTGTGAGTCTTGGACATTAACAGCAGAACTATATCTGAGAATCCAAGCAATAGAAATGAGATGCTATGGAACCATCTTGCTTACCTAGAAATGACACAGTACAAGGCATCATTAGACAAGAAATTAAAGTGACTCTTCTGCACACCTGCTCTAAAGAAAGAGTTAGAGAGAGAGATACATAAGCGAGAGATAAAGAGTGATACATAAGAGGAAGACCTCATAATGTCTGTCAAGAGAAGAAAATCAAAATGGTATGGCCACATCACAAGAGCCAACAATCTTACTGTTATTATCTGATAAGACAAAAGAAGCAGAAAGAGGAGAAAATGAGCTGACAATGTTACTGAGTAAACTGAAATATACTTCATCATCTCAGACATTGGCATACAACTGAGACATAAGGAGCAAACTGGTCAGCTTCTCAATTGCACATCAATCCTATGACCACACCTAGTCATGGGACTAATGATGATAACTTTTAATTAAACTGAACAACTCAAAATTGCTAAATAGCAGTGGATATTATGTGCATTTCCTGAGTTTGAGGGTTGCTCCATTCGATAATACTGAGTATTTAAAAGAAGTTTAGTAAACCTGATATGTTGAAATCTGCATAGACAAAGAAAAGAAAATTGTTACAAAAACAGATTTGTACAATTTGTTCTGAAATTACATGTAAATAGATATTATCAACTCTGAAAGCATTGGTTTGGTTTGATTTGTTTTGTTTTAAGGCATATCAACATCTCAGTGGGTTATTTAATGCCAACAAGATTTTTATTGCTGGTAATATTTTTTTCCAAAAATGTATTGCTGGTAATATATTTTTTTCCTCAAAAATGTATTGCTGGTAATATTTTTTTTCTTCAAAAATGTATTGCTGGTAATAATTATTTCCAAAAATGTATTGCTGGTAATATTTTTCCTTCAAAAATGTATTGCTGGTAATATTTTTTTTCTTCAAAAATGTATTGCTGGTAATAATTATTTCCAAAAATGTATTGCTGGTAATATTTTTCCTTCAAAAATGTATTGCTGGTAATATTTTTCCTTCAAAAATGTATTGCTGGTAATATTTTTTTCTTCAAAAATATATTGCTGCTAATAATTTTTCCTCTAAAAATTTATTGCTGGTATTAAAACCTATTTTTACACTTTCATAGTGTTTTGACACTAGTTTGGGGGGTTAACTATTTGCCCATAGTTGGGACTCTAACAAGTGCTACCACCCCTGGTCAGGGTGGACCTGAAAACACCAGCAATTAAGAGTTGATTCCATGCTCCTCAAAACCTCCCGAACAGAGGACTTGCTGTCAGATTTAGTTTGTCATTTTACCCAGGATGTGGATGTAGTTTATCATCATACCCAGGATGGCAACTCTGAAAAGGATTATCAACAGAAAGAATTTCCATCTTCCAAAATCAAAAGTACAAAATTAAACATTCAAATGTTATTTTTCTGTCATTTATAATCAATGTCTGGAGAATAAAAAACTAAGCAGAAAATATTTTTGTATTGATTAAACTTCTTTTTTTTTACTTATTATACAACTTGTAGTATGTTTGCAAAACAAAAAAATAATTTGATTGAAACAGTTTCTTATATATTTAAATCATTTGAAATCATTCTATTCAAGGATTCATTTTATATTGAATCAATAAGTACATATCCTGACATGTAATTAGCTGGATGTTGATCAGAAATTTTCACTACATGCTTTATGTAACTAATACTTGCCATTGAATTAAGTACAGTTACCTAGAAGTGTTGAAAAATAAATATCTATAGTATAAAATAATCAGGCTATATACTCGTTTATCTACAAATACAGTTCTCATAAACTCATTTGCAGCAAAACTACCTCTTGCCTTTAAGGTTTCAGTTTTTTTTTTTACTGAACTAGATTTTGATGTCTATCTTTGACACAACACAATGTCAGTTTAACAATTGGCATTACAGAGACATTAAATTATTCTAAAGAAAGAAGGCTTTTTTTTTTATAAAAGATGTTTCAAAATGAAAGAAATGGATATAAAGTGAAAAATATCACTTACCTCAAATGCTTTTGAAAGACTGAAGAAAAAGATCCGGGAGAGAAAAAATGTTCCATACTGCATTAAGACCTGGCTCTATTATACTCTGATAATCCCCATAACCTGTAAATGATGGAAACTGAGACATAAAAAGAAAATATTAAAATTTTCTCAGTCTTTGAAAACTGAGGTAACTTAGAATTTCATTTTAAACAGTTGCCCCAATTTTCAAAGTTATAGCTTGGAAAAATATCAGGGATGGAACCAGAATGTCTACCATAAAGAAACACCAGATGTAAAGAATGATATATTTACCTGATTTGGTTTGGCCATGGAATCAGAAGAGGAGAACAAAGCTTTGTATCTACATCCTAAAATGAGAAGTTGCCTGGCAAAAGACCATGCACGACTGTTGTGTACTACTCCCAAACCTTTGCAATCCTCACTATCTTATCAGCATTTGCTTTTTTGTACCTACATTTATATGCATTACAAATTAAACTAAGCATAAGTGACTATTAAAAGATGAAAGATTTTCCCAGATTTTGATGTCATTCTGGGGTCTTTTTTTGTTTTTTCCAAATGCGTAAATTTGTTTTGCTCATGCTAAATATCAAAAAATACTCTATAAAATTCACTATTTTTTCTCCATGATGTTGAATGTTTTAAAATTCTTCCATTTTTTAACAAGAAAAATCTCAAGTTGATGTTAAAAATTGCTTGATTTATTTAAGATGGAATGATCTATTATGACATGTCTCTAATTTGTATTTAGATCCATTGTATTTATTTTCAATTTTTCTAGTTGAATTGTTCCCCTATATTGCATATGATCTATTATTGTACATAATTAAGTTACAATAAAATTTGTGCTTCATGTGAATACTATCTTATGAAAATTGAGATGGGGCACCCTGTATCATAGATTGGTGGGGATGAGACTCTTGCCCTAAGACTATCTAAGAGATGGAAGACTAAATCAGACAGGATACCAGAATGCTACTTCTGAATCTTGAAATGATTGCCTTGGACAGGAAGAAATAGTTGTGAGGACAAGAAATCCATAAGAATCTTTTTGGGATTAAGCAACTAACTAAACTAATTTTAAAGCTTCATGTACTTTCTATAAATTAAAAATTTTAAACTCACTTTTGTTATCATTTAAGACTTAAAAGGAATTCAAGATATCTGTGGCTAAATAACTGTCTAGTAATCAAACAGTGAGCAACAAAAAATCTTGGGTTGTCTTTCAATCATTTTGATATTTAGAATTTTATTTTACAGGAGATTTATGATCTTCTCACTCCACTGAAAGTTGCCTGCGAAAAAAATTACAACAATATTGTTGGACTTTTACTTAAACATATTGGACAGGAACCAGAGAGTAAGTAAAGAATTTAGTTTTTGTATCAGTTTTTTTTATGTGGAATTAAAACATGCAAATATTTTTCATTATATTTTTTTCTATATTATATTATTATACAAGCATGCATTGACCTTTGTTCTGAAAATATGGACATTAGTCAAACATTATGGAGTGAAATGAAAATATATGCTACACAATAATTGAAGTATATATGCTACACAATATAAGATACTATAAGATAGATGCATTATTTTTTTTTAGTTAATTCACTCCAAGCAAGACAATAATGCCACTAAAACGTAAAGGGTGACTGAGAGTAAAAGAGAAGGAAAAGGCTTTAGAAGGAAATAGAAACCCAATCCTAAACAGGAAACAAGGGATAAACCTCTACTCCTTTTCAAAAGACCATCTAAACCTCTATGTTGTATATATACATATCTCAATACTATAGTTCAGGGTCACAAGTCCCATAACCCATTAAGGTCATAAGGGCACTACACGTACCTAGTCATAGCAGTAGTAATGTGTCTTGGGCATGCTAGCCCCTGATGGAACCCAATTCTTGCCAGGCTAGTTTGAATTCAGAATTTTCTTTCTAGACTGATTGCCAACCAAGCCTACAGCCTTGCTATTTAGCCATAGCTGCTTGGAGAAGAAATGGATTCATACCTTTCCCAAGGGTATTTGTGTGTAAATGAATGCAACAAACTTGACTGCAATTTGAAATCAGTGCTCTAATTTCTCATTCCAAGCCACTACTTATTAAAACCACCCGTACATCCACAAACTATAGTTAATTAAATGTAAATTATTTACTGTTTTATATTTTTATGTGGTGTACAGTACTGAACCGTATGCATGAAAATATACACATGCAAGTAACAATAGTCATAAGACTGTGTGCATTTTTTCAGGGCCATGATATACTATTTTTTTTGTATAGGGGCCATGATAAGCTACATGTTAATATATGCTACATTATGATATGTTACATGTTTTTGTGTAGAAGTCATAATATACTGTGGATTTTTGTTTAAGGAACACAATATACTGTATATTTTTTGCATATAACCTATAATATACTGTATATTTTTTGCATATAACCTATAATATACTGTATATATTTTTAAAGCGTAGGGGCCCTTATACACTGTATAATTTGTATAATATATTTAAAATCTTAGACAACTTAATACACGCAAACAAAAGACCCCATGGAATTATATAATGCTTAATTCTATCAAGACTAGAGAAACATTACATAGTTCATATTTGTATTAAATAGAAAGAGTCAGCATTAATGTAATAACAATAAAAAGTACATGCATATACACCTTTGTGCAAATTAATTTAAACAACCACTTTAGTTTCCTTTCATTCATAATCCAGTCAGTTTTAATCCCACTAGAGTGGCAGGGTGTAATCAATTTCTATTTTTTTTCTCTCAGATTAGGTCATTTGTAGTGGTGTGCAGTAATATGAATTTGTTTTCTGGTTGTATGATGAAATTTGTTTAGCCTTGAAAAATATTGCATCATCCATGATTGCATCAGATTTTTATCACGTCCAACCACTATTGTCTCAATTGTCGATTAGTTGTCCTACAGCCATTGTCTGTAATGGATGTTACTCCGAGGTCTGACAATCGCAAAAGCGTGAAACCCAGGGTCAAAAACTCACATCAATCCAACCAAATATATATATATATATATATATATATATATATATATAAACCTAAAGAGCCAGGTAAACCTACCTAGGCTTCAACTAAACAGATCATCAGGATCAAACTGGCCAGTTTGACCTTGATGGTCTGTTTAGGTGAAACCTAGGTAGGTTTACCTGGCTCTTTAGGTTTATATTAGGTTTGCTCTACTTCGTGTATTAAGCACTTTATGTAGTTACTCTTACTCGTTTTTTGGATGTTTTTTTTTTCTTTGGACTCTGAGCTTGAATTCTGGACAATTGTTTTCACCTCAATTTCATTTTCTTAGTTCTTTCTTTTTTTATTCCTCACTTTTCCTTGGGTACTGGTTTGTTCAACTACAAGCCAAAATACCTAAGGTTTTTCCAAGCGAGTACCACTATATATATATATATATATATATATATATATAATCTGTACTATAAATATTGGGTGCATACTTTGTACCATTATATGGCTGGTAGTGCAATCAGTATGTTTTGGCTTTTGTGCTTACATATTAAATACTCAAGATGAGATTAATTGTTAGCAAATATACACTCCAGTTTCAGAAGAATATATGGCAATGACTTTAACTGTTTATGAAGTTTCTGTTTATTTTGTAGCTCAGAGTATCTGCTGGAACAATCTTGGTTTAGGCAACCTTAACAAAGATTGGCTTTTACCAACATTTGTTAAAAACACCTCAAGACATCATTCATTGACAGGTAAAAGAATTTTCTTGATATTTTTTTAGCATTCTCACTTTTAAATAAGAAAGAAATTGATTTTTGATGTTAAAACTTTGTAGGGGGGTTATACCACTGTAGCAGAAATGAAATGCAGACATAGCAGCTTATTGTAGTGGAAACAAAATGCAGATACAGCAGCTAAATTGCTACCTGCCCAGTTGTTTAAAGAGACATCCCTTAGTGTGCTGTTTACAGAAAGAGAGCAAATGGCTGCCCTGCCAGAACAGAGCTGGTGTGAATCCCAAAATCCAGTTCTGAAGAAAGTGTTAACCATTTTCCCAATGAGATAGTTGGGACAATGAGCTGAGTAATGTTAGTTATGCAAATGACACCTTTGCTAGCCAACCGCTAAAATTTTAGATTCCATAGAAACAGGCACATTTTCTGGAAAGAGAGAGTTTCTGGCAGTATGCTGTGTTGACCACACGGCAGACTTGCTATGTGTTACTAAGGATTGCTGTGCATATTACCCAGTGTTATTTCAAATTTGTACATCCTTGTTTGTATTTTCAGTGTCTCAGTGTTTCATCCTATATGCATGGTGTTCTGTGTGGAAATCTTGTCCATGCCCTGCTCATCATCTCTAAATCTGGTGCTGCTGAGTTTTCCATCCCTTTTCATTGGCTGATACCCAACCAATAAGAAGAAAATCACTTCATATATTTTTTGTGTAGGGACTCATGTTACACTCTATGTTTTTTGTGTAAAGTCAATGATAGACTATATATTTTTTAGTGCAGGGGCCTATGATACACTGTATTTTTTTGTGTAGGGTCCATTATACACTGTGCTAGAGAGTGTTGAAGAAAGACATCAAAAGTTTGATGGCTATTAAACAATTCCATATGTCGAATTTCACTTACAAGGCTTGGGTCAACCCATGAGACGGTTCTGAGTCACTTTCCAATGGTGCCACATGCTTGGATCATCTCCTCAGGCTGATAATATCAGAAAGTCATCTTCCTGACAAATCAAGTCATTGTTGAGATATGAACTTGGTTCTTATGGTCAGAAAACAAATATTGTAACCACTCAATCATGTGATCATATATATATATATATATATATATAGTTAGGTAATGAAATGTTTGGTAATACATATAGATAATCCCAAGGAGGATGTAATCCAAAGAGCTCAATGTAAAACCAGAGCAAATATTAATTTAATTTTATTAAAAAACAGACAACCTTAAGGGTCCATTGATTATATTTTATTTCTCCAGGAAAGTGATTTTTTCCTGGTTCCTCAGATCATATTTCCAAGCATAAAAAATATATATATATTGAGATCATAGAGCCCATAAACATGCAGAATAGTTAATTTTCAATGTCTGTATAGTGTAAACTTTGCCAGGCTATATAACTAGTCAGAGTTTTATTTTTCCTATACTGGGTACCAACCATGGCTAGTCAGCAATTTAACCCATGGCTGGGAGAAGGATAGATAGGCTCATACTTTTCATAAACATATTTGTACAAAGGAAATGCAATGAATTCATTCAGAATTCAAACTCAACTCATCACTTTCTCTTTCTGAACCACTAAACATTTACCATATATATATATATATATATATATATATATATATATATATATATATATATATATATATATATAAGATAAAATAAGGTATGCTATATTTATGGGTTAAAGGGCTCAATGTCAGGAATAGAGTGTATGTAAATATAAAAGTGGGTATTAAGTAAATAATAAAGAAATTAACAAATTACATATGCACAGATAAACACACAAAAAAGCAGTAATAACAACCAACAATAACATAATAAATAATAGATAAAAAAGTTAACTACCAACACTATAAATGGCCCAAAAAACTGCATTCAGATCCACAATTATTGCCACTCAATAGCCCCTAGAATAATTAAAAACCATTACCACTTTGTAAAATAACCAATAGAATGATATAATAGACTACCTACAATGCAGATACAATAGATACACAATGCATCACTGACCTGTATATATAGTCATGCAAAAACACAATACACATGGCTTGACAACTGCGTTTAGCATGAAACAAACTGTCACCAATGGGTGTTGACTTCAATGTCCACTTTTTTATATATATATATATATATATATATATAAGAAAAGGCTAAAAAGCCAACCAACCGTGCAACCCATGTTTTTTTTTTGTTATCTATACCTTTTAGGCACGATTGTTTGCAGTCTTCCTTTTACATTTCTATCAGTATATATATATATATATATATATATATATATATATATATATATATATATATATATATATATATATATATAAAAGGCTCAAAATATTCTTACTCTATCCTGGACATTGAGTTCTACCTGGATTCTATCTTCTTGGCAATTTATTTATGAATATATATATATATATATATATATATATATATATATATAATGTCTTCAATATCTGTCTATATTTCTCAGATGATATATTGTAATTATTTACATTATTTACATTGTTCAGTGGATAAAAGCATTAGTTGAATTCAGTTACTTGACCCAAAGAGTTGTGAGTTCAATGCCTGGCTACTGCAGTGGTGCACAAAAACTTGGAGAATTGAGTTAATGGGTGATAACTGAGACATTTGTGGAGCTAGAACAATCTACGCCATTGGGTGAAATAAAGGGTTCAGTTCGAAATTGAAATCACCTGAAGAAGGCCAGATCATACAATGGCCAAAACGTTATAAATATGACAATAAAGATGAAGACAATACTCCAATGTAAATAATGTAAACAAAATGTCTTGTATCTAAAAATAAGTTTGTCTTGACCCCATCTTATTAAATAATCTTTTAATTTTGACTTCTAGGGATTGGTAAGAAAATTGCACGCCAAATACAGGCATTTTGCATGAAGTACTTTGACCCAAATGAGAGTTTTATCAGCTACTCCAGCAATAATAGCAGCAATTCTGATTCGTGTTCTTCAGGTGAGCTCTTGCAAAAAAATTCAAAATAAAGATTAACAAAAAATGTCATTAATGAGTCTTTTTAAAAAAGCCATTATTCCTTATTTTTGATCCATTCTTCTTAGATTGGTAGTCTGTATAATTGCAAAGAAAAATGAAATTTAGATGAAAGAAATCTTCTATTTAATGACATGGCTCTCCACATTTTCCTGTCCTTTGTAGCTCTTAATAAATTTTGTCTGTTTGTTATTCTCTCAAACATTGTTCCACTATTCTTATTCCACTCAAGCTTGCTATGTATTATTTTCCTCTGACATTCTTGCTTTCAATCTGTCCTATGAGTATTAGATTTTCCATGCCCTCTTTCCTCATTATGTGACCTAGAAATTTCTTCAGGATGTTAAGTATAAACTTCTTTTTTGTTTCCATTTTCTCTAAAATTTTGTTATTGGTCACATGTTTGATCCATGGTATTCTCAGCATCATTATGTGGAACAATATTTCTGTTGATTCATCTGTGAGGAAATTGTCCAGCATTCACCGTCATGTAGGAGAACTGATATTACATAATTTCTCAATACTCTTATATTTGTTTCTAACAAAATCTTTCTGTTTCTTCATACTTTTCTTACCTTTTGGAAGGCATCATTCGCTATCCTTTAAAAATTAATTTCCATATATTTTCATCCTTGGTTTCATCAATAATAAGAATACTGTTCAAAATAACTTGTGAAATTATCCTATTTTCTCAAACAATAATATTTTGAGAGATTTCTTAATTTTTGTATTTTTGCAAGCAGAGCTGACAAATACGAAAATTTTGGTAGAAATTGAACTGAGGGAATGGCAACAAACGACTCTTACTGGTGCTGTCATCCCTTTTCATATCCATGATCCTCGGATATACAGAAGAGACTTGCAAATAATAGATGCACACTGTCGAGGTCAAACAACTGGGTCATCACTAAAAAATATGGAAGGTATGTGTATTGTAATACTTGTAAAAGCATCAACTCCAAATCATTGCACTTCAATGAAAATCTATTTGTGTTGTGTGTGTGGGGGGGTATCCAGATACATCAATACAGCAATAAGTCTGCAGAATAATAATCACAAATCCTTCATTTTACACAACAAATAGATAATTTTTCAGCATAATATCCTTTCTTGTCAATGCACTTAATACAATGCTTTCCCATTAATCACACATTACACAGTGAAAATTTCAGATCCCAATGTACATAATACCTTTGCCAGGCTGTAAAATTATTGATCCACATTTGGAGATATAAATATATGGCCCCTACTGACAATTTGGGAATTAAGGAGCTAACTCTGACAACATATAAACTTTATTTGGCAGTGACCCAACACAAAAAAAATCTTCCTGTCTTTTTAATTTTTCAAATTTTAAATTTTCAATGTCCTGATATATATATATATATATATATATATATATATGGGGGTCACTAACTGTTATGGCCTATTTAGGGGCCAGAAAGAAAGACACGGAGGACGAAGGTAGGTTGAAAAATTATATTGAAGATATATAAAAATCAATAGTGTTAGTAATAAGTAGATTAGCACTGCGTTTACTACTCCACTTCCCACTCTACACTCTACTATCCGACGTTCGCAGTTTGTATTTATGAGAAGAGGAAGAGTTCATTCTACTTTAGGAGGGTTTACCACACCACTAACACAAAACTGCTGGTGAGTATCACTTCTCACAAATATGTCTTATTTTAAAAAAAAGTCTGATAATCTTATCAAAAGATAGATAGTATGTTGAAAAATGCAAATATGTCAATTATCAGACTCATGTCGTCACTTTTTTTGTGGGGCGGGGGGCAGTTATTTAAGAGGAGCACACGCATAGCCAGTTTGAATCATTGTGTTGTCTTACTTTAACTGTTCTTTTTAAAGCTATATTTTTCCAAACTGTAAATGTATTTGTATTTAGTGATGTAAGTAGTGGACTTCCCCAGGCGTTTACCCAGTAACCCTGATGAACACGCTTCTCTTTTAGATATTTTTGTTTACCACTCTCCAAAATCTACAAATATTGCCTCACTGCTTCCTGCTTTCTTGCTTGTTGGAAGTCCTCCACTGTACTTCCTGTTTTTAAGAACCCTAGAGAACCTTCTGGCCTCTCTAACTATCGCCCTTAGTCTCTTACTGCTTTTCGGCAAACCATTCGAGGCTTTAATCAATGCTGACGGGATTAATCATCTTACATCTCACGACCTACTCTCTGACAAACAATATGGCTTCCATTTTGCCAGATCTAACACTGACGTGCTAACGACCATCACCGAATATGTATATCAAGCACTTGATAATAATGGCGAAGCACGAGCTGTGCTTCTAGATATCTCGAAGGCATTTGACAAGGTTTGGCATACTGGTCTTCTACGTAATATCCAGAGCTACGGTATTAGTGGACATGTGTTTGATTTAATTCAACCACTCCTATCAACGCAGGTGTTCCCTAAGGATCTATCCTGGGTCCTATGCTGTTTCTGATCTTCATCAATGATGTCTCTGATGTCATCAGTTCCCAAGTAAGTATTTATGCTGATGACACTACCATTTACTTCTGTCTCAATAGGAAATCCGACAGAGTTGACAAAGACAACCTGGCCGCGGCTCTTGAAAAGGACTTCCAATCAGTGGTTAACTGGAGCTGTGGTTAAATGGCTCATAAATTTTAATGCCTCCTAAAATGAAACTGCCCTCATTTAACCACCTTAGAGAAACTTTCCTGTCCACCATCAACATAGCTGATGCTAGACTGACTCATGGACAGTAACACACTATGCCTTCTTGGCCTCACATTCTCATCTGACTTGAAGTGGAACGCCTACATCAAATCAATAGCTGCATCTACTGCAAGGAAAGTTGGGTGTCGTGCCAGAAGGTTTTTCTCATCAAAGTCCATTTACAAATCTACCATTCGTTTGTGCATTGAAAACTGATGCCATATCTGGTCTAGTGCTCCTGCTACTTCACTCCAGGTTGACAAAATCCAAAGAAGGATCTGTAATGTATTTGATCCTGACTTGGCATCTCGACTTTAGTCACTTTCTCACCAATGTGACGTGGTTTCTCTCTGTCTTTTCTACAAATATTTTCATGGCTACAGTGCTGATGAGCATTTTTCCTTTGTGCTTGGACTACGTGTGTTTAACCGTGCTACTAGATTGGCATGTAGGTCCCACCATTTTACTGTTGAATTAGGTAAATGTAACCGCCACTTCTACTCCAATAGTTTCTTTTCTCGCATTTCCCACCTGTGGAAATACCTTCCATTTCTTTGCTTCCCTGATAACTACAATCTTCAAAAATTTAAATGCAACGTCAATCGTCATCTTCATTTTTCCGGAACCCCATTCATCTTTTTTCCTTTTCCTCTATACACAGTCTTCTTTCACCTTCATGCTATGTAACCCCCCCCCTGCACCCCCGGCATACTAGTTGCATTGCTGCTTCGCTTGGGGTGAAATGATTAAAAAAAAATAGCTATTTGCAATTCTAGAGAATTGTAAATAGCTACATTTTTTTCTTAATCATTTTCTTAATTAAGTGAATGCCATTTTATTGAATGCTAAACTTTATAGTCATAAACACATCTACCAAACACACATACGCACACCACTACATTCACCCACATAAACACACCACTATACACACACATACATAAGCACACCTCTACACACAAACACATACATACACACACCACTACACACATGCACCACTACACACATGCACCACTACACACATGCACACACACACATATATGTACTTAAAATTGCAGATTTTCGTTGGAACATGTACACTCCTTCAGAAATTCTGACCACTATATATGGGTCTTCCATCACAGAGCACCTAATAAATAGCCATTATTGTGCTACTAGTTTCAATGTGGACTCATTTACCATACTTAGCAAGTCCCACTCGAATTACCTTGAAAGTGTTGGAGGCCATTTATATTTTATCATTGAACCCCTCTCTGTTTAAACAGAAGGACTTTGTACTGGGCCTCCAACTAATTTCCATCTAAGCAATATTCCAACCCCAAATCAATACATATTGTCCATCTCTTTTTAGTGATAATTCTATTATAATTTGTTAACCTCAATTTAGTTCTGTTGAGCAAGGTTCAAAACTGGTTATCTAACCTGTTTTTCAGTTTTACTTTTTATCTATTATCATCATGAATGGTAATAAAAATAAATTTTGTCTTTTCATAACGGTCATGAAATTTTATACCACAAATCATATCTTTATATATATATAATTTTTATTTTTTGGATAAATGCAGAATGTAATAAGAAAAACAGTATTTTTATTCCATTTGATTCTTCATTTCAGAATTCTGGCTTCGGAAAAAATGTTTTCTGTCTGATAATTCTCCACCAGAAACAGGAACTTTATCTTTTGGTGAATGTGCAATAATTTATATTGAATCTCAGAATACAAATCAGGTATTTTATTTTGTTCAATATAATATCATTTTTTGCTTTTCTTCTTCCATGTCATATGATATTATTTTTTGCATTTTTTTGTTCTTTACAGGAATGTCTTAAGTTCTTTCAAGCTGTTCATGGTGTGGCATTTACACAGTCTCTCAAAGAAAAAATGACTCCCTCAAAAAATGAGGCTATGTCTTCAGACAATTTTGTCAGAAGAAATAAGTATTCTAATTTGGAATCTATACAAAGTAATTTCTTTTCTTGCTAAGAAAGTACAGAGGAAATCAATTATTATTATTATTATTATTATTATTATTATTATAGATAATGCTATCAATTGGTTATTGTTATATAAATCAATCAGTTCCAGATCAATCTAAAATCAATTAAAAATTATCCACATATTATAATTAAAGTTTCAGTTATTTTTTTATAATATAAAATTGTTTATCACAATGTTCTTTTCCTTAATGTTATCAGGTGGTTATTGTTAACACAAAAAACTGTCCTGAAGGTATTATAATAAGTGGCTTCCTCTTTGGTGCTTTCATTTGTGTATTTGTGAGTATACATATAAACTTTTAGCTGAAAGCTCATTTCTGACAACTTTTAACTAGGTACCTCCACTAATTTGGCATACATAAGGTTTAAAATGAATTTATAAAAATAAAAAAGCTTTCTTGAAGTTTTCATTTTATCTTTAATGGAAAACTAAATGATTTAAAATTTACTATTTCCAGTAAGTAAAATACTCTGTGGTGTATTTTAAACAGAAATTTTATTGATTGGAATCGATTTTTTTTCAGTAAAATCGATAAAATCAACCATTTTGACACATTTGTAAACAAAAGTTAATTTTTGGTTTTGAAACTTTGCAAAAATAAAATATCTATTTCAGAAACATTATTTAAGGAAAATTAATTAATTTAAAGTTAAATTAATTTGATTTAAACAAATATTATTTACTTACAGCATAAAATATTGTATACAAGAATTTCGTAACCATAGGGTCTTGTTTTCCTGACATCTTAATCAATTTATATTGACAACCCAACCAGTTAACAGTTATGCATGGTAAAGCAGAATTGCTAGCAGATGATAAATTTTATATGAAGGTTTTTTTTCGTAAGTGTCGGCCAAACCTTATAATTTGTGTCCTTTTAATGTCATGTATGAACGAACAAACTTAGAAAAGATAGGATGTTTAAACACCAAAAAAATTGGAATTCTTTTTAAAAATATTCAGGGGTATCATATTGTAATAAGTTTTACAATATGTGATTAGTAACTATAGTTTTACTTAATAACAATATTTCCTAAGAGTTACACCACTGAAACTGACATTTAAAAGATTTAAAATCTTTATAAATTAGTTAATTTAAAATTGTTAAAAAATGAAAACAAATCTTGTAAAAATCATTTTTCATCAAAAAAATTTTATTTTCTTCAGACAATATTGTCTTTAATATATATTATTTATAAAAACAAATTAGAAGCTTTTCTAATTAAATAATGTCTTAGCTTTTATTTTTCAGTTCAAAACAGATTTTCAGTAAGACGGGTACAATTTTGCAAAAAAAATATTTGGTGATTTAAATTCTTCAAAGAATTTTACTTTTAACTAATATAGTCATTAAAAATTATCACTATTATTAAGTAAGGGGGTGAAACACATGTAAAAAAAATATTTTTCTAATAAAATAATTTCATTCATTTGTGAATAAGTCCTGAAGGTTTCATTAAAATCTGACAATTATTTGATTTTTGCAAGAATTTCCAAATTAATGTCTGTCACCACAAAAAAGAGGTTAAATTTTACTATGCTAAAAGTTAGTACATTCGTTGATGCAAGAAAAGCAAGTTATTTAATTAAAATTTAGAATGTTCTAAAAAGAAGTAAAAACTTTCATTAAATCTTCAAAAAATATTTTGATCCTTCCTCTTAATAATAAGATAAAGATTTTGACAATAAAACTTTTGTTTTCATTACGTTTGGAGAATGTTTTCATCACAGTAAGCTATTTTAACAATTTTGTGGTGGTGCCTACTATTAACTGATATAAATTCTTAGAATGGAGGTATGATATGAAAAAAGTTATTTAAAATCTCTTACTATTGGTAGATCTTTTTTACTTGATGAAGATGTGACAAATATCAGGAAACCATACACCATCTAATCTCAGGATGTTCTGTATTGGCACCAAATGAATATAAAAATCATCATGATAGAGTGGGGCAATATTTACACTGAACAATGTGCAAACACTTTAGAAATGATGGCAATAAACACTGTTATGTACATCACCCAGCACCAGTTACAGAAATAGAAGACATGACAATTCTATGAGATTGCACCATATTTACAGAAAGGAAGATTGAAGTAAATAGGCTGGACATAATTTTCAAAAACTGAAAAGAAAAAGCATAATTGATATAGCTTGCCCAGCAGACTGTAACATAGATACCAGGGAATTTGAAAAACCATCAGTGTATAAAGAGTGATTTTCCAACTGTAGCTCAGATGTGGCATGAGGTCGAAAGTATGGGGCACCCAGTGAGGATCAAACTCACTAATAAGTCGCAATTGTTCTAGCGAGACAAGCTTGCTAATCATTACACAACATTGAGGTGCCCTATCAGTGTATAAAGACCTGGAAATCAAAATAGAAAAAATTATTAAACTCAACCCAGATCTCAAGTGGATCTGATACGTATGATTTATCACTGATGATGCTAGAAAAATAGTCAGTTCTCTGTCACTCTCCAGTAAGTAACTGATGCCTCCTGTTATTATCTACCTTTACAAGAGCCAAATCAAGCTGAAAATGGAGTACTGCTACCATATATGGGGACAAGTTGCCCAGTCTTCACTTTCCACTCTCTATTAGAGTCCAACAGCATTTTCACATCCTTGTGGGTGATGAATTATTTTCCACTATACAATCCCTTTCTCAAAGACAAAACATTGCAAACCTCTCTCTGCTTTATTGCTATTTCCATCGAAAGTGTTCACATGAATTATATTCCTTAGTTCTACCAGTTCTAACCTTCACAACTGAGACCAACCATGCCACACCCATTGTAGTGAACCACTCTCATTCCCTTTGTATTCCATTGGGTGAGATGCAAGTTTCACTTGAACAGTTTCTTCCCACAAACTGTTGCTTTGTGGAACTGACTCCCAAGTGGATGTTTTACCAATCACTACAATCTTAGCCTGTTCAAGTCTAGAGTTAACTATTATCTTCTCCAAAATTGACATGTAACAGAGTGTAGCCATGTATCATAGATTTGAGGGAGATGCCTCTGGGATCCTAGCACCTACCCTGAAGCTTAATAAGGCACTAGGCTACATTATCTGTCTATAATTCTGAGATGAGGTATTATGTACACTATTTACAGCAACGACACATGGCACAGTGGATAAAGGTGTTAGTTAGATCCAGTGACAGGACCCAACGAGTGCAAGTTCAATACCTGGTAAAGGCAGTGGAGAACTTTCAGAGGAGATAACTGATAACTGACATCCATTAGACATGGCACGTGGAACTAGAACAGTCTACCCCAGTGAGCGAAATAAAGGGTTCAGTTCAACATTCCAACCACCTGAAGAAGGCTGGAGCGTACAACGGCACAAACATTGTAATAAATATGGTGACAAAGATGAGGACAATAGTCCAAATAATGTAAATAGTGTACTAGGCTACATGTTGAGAGAAAGGGTGTCAGAAGAGTGTGTTGTACCAAGTGAGGAGTACCTTTAAAATCAGTATTTGAAATCCGGATTTTTTTATATTTAGTAATTGTTGCTTAGTATGACACAAGGACAAATATTTTGTGGAAAGAGAGAGGTATAAAGATTGTGTTGCAATAATCTTCCAAACAGAGAATGTCTGCTTACCTTCAAATCATCATTATTGTCTGATTATAAATGGGTAAGCGGGTAAGAAATAATCAAATAGCTAAACCCCTAAATTGACTACAGCTTCTATTTTCCATTGTGGTATTATGTCAGAATAGACATTGCACTCAAATTTCACACTGGACTGTCAAAAGAAGTCAGGTGTAGGTGTGGCTAAGGTTTACTTCTGGCCACCAAATGCAGAAGTACATGACCTCATACTAGCATCCAGTATTGAAAGAATAATAAGAATGTTGTATAGATGGATATATAAACTATGCTCCAGGCAGTCTCAGGTAGTCTCTCACACATCAAAGACAGATTGTAAAGTTCACATATTGGACTAAGGCTCTGCGTATAGGCCTCGTCATGCTCATACTGTCTGAAAGTAACTGATAAAATATTGGAGTGATGAAGATTCAAGTTTTGTGTTATCTTTTAATTGGCAAACCTACTTCATTAGATCATGTTGGTACTTCTCTGAATTTCTACCCACAAAAATATCCAAAACTAAATCCAGGGCCTACTTACTCCTGTTGGAGAAATCCCTTCCTGATTGACCATGTCTTCACGGATTATAGCTGTACTCACCACACTTGGCTAATTGTAGGCTAGTGAGGCTATTTAACTCATAGTTGAGGGTTTTGAATTCCTAAACCAGTTGCCATATAAAGCCATAGAACCCAGTCTGTCCTGTTATTTAACCATAGCTGGGGGGACAAGAGATGGATTCATACCTTTCCCAAGGGTATTTGCATGTAAGTGAATGTAATGAACTCAGTTCTCCAGTTTCTCAATCTAAGCTTGTATCTGTTATTCAACTGCACACCCACAAAAATATACTGAAGTAAAATGAATTCAAAATTGGAATTAAATTGGTTATTTGTTTTTAAAGTTGTTGTTGTTGTTGTTTTTAAATTAAAAGAATACATTCTCTTTTCCTTTTTCAGGTATGTCTCTTATAAGAACAAAGAGCTGTTCATTTCCTGTAAGCATATTGTATGATGATCAATCACAAGACAATATACAAACTGTTGACATATCACACAACAACTGTGCCAATCTTAACGGACTTACAATCCTGCAGCTCACCGATCCGCTATGTTTCATTAGCCTGCAAGAACTCAATATTTCGCATAACCAACTAACCTCCCTTCCAGATTATGCTTTTAATGTGAGATTCCATTCTTATATTATAAACATGGTATTTCTATCACTAATTTGAATAATTTATAACTTGGGATTTTAATAGTATATTTAGGTTAAAGAAGAATTGCACCAAATTATAATGTAATTCAGATCTTTGAAAAGCTTCCCATAATGGTGGATAACAATGACTTACAGTTGTAAGGAAGTCACTCATGTTAGAAGAGTTATTCATCCTTATCTCCACATGATGGTTTTGTTGTATATTTAGTTTAGTCTTGCACAAGGGCCAAAAAATTGGGTGGGAGCAAATTCTTGCTGTCCTTGTGAACCCTTTAAAATTATTTTACCTTGAGAATTGATGTCTGAAGAAATGAAGTGACAAGAATTAAGTTAATTAATAGTGGATATTACTGAAAGCCAAAAAGTTTAATTTTAATTTACAAGATGTAAATTCATTTGAAATGAAAACCAGTTTCAAATTGAAAAGATTTGTTCTATTCACAATATTTGGAAATTATTTTGCATCAAATAATATGACAAATATTGTAATATGATTTCTTTTACTTAAAAAGTTTATAAAATTTTACATTACCGACCCTAGCTTAATGATTAACAAAATCATCTTGTAAACCAACTTGATAATGATAGAATGTTTGATTCTCTTTGGGTACCTCACTATCTTGACCTTGTACCAGACTAAGCTATACTTGTCTTAGATTAGCAAGCTCATTTTGCAAGTTATAGCTACAGTAGTGAGATGAATCCAGATTCGGGATTCTATGGCTGTGACCTTGTACTAGGCTAAACATTAAATATATACATGCCTATTTGCTGAAGCTAAATTTGTAAAATGCCTGAGAAAATAGTCAAATTAGTGAATAAAGTTATATAATAGACCAGAGATTGTATTTAAAGTAAAATATCTCATTTGAAATAAAAAGCAATACAATAAAATCAATCAAGTACAAAGGAAATTCCTTAGGAAATCAAAGTCAAAACGTTTCTCACCTTGTATCCTGGAAATATTCAGTTATTTAGTTAGAACAGTTTGAATAATCAAATGATATCATTTGTAAGACTAAGATATCTACCAGTGAAAAAACAAACTTTAATAATGTTTATTTTTTTTGTTTCCAGAACCTTCTATCACTACAAAAACTTGATCTTTCATCAAACCAATTCCAGCTTTTTCCTAGTGCCATTTTAAAATGCCCACAACTTGAGATTCTGAAACTTGGATATAATAAGGTATGATTTCTCAGATCAAAAATTTTATTTTAAAATGAAACAGTTTTATAATAATAATATTTGATGTCAGATGTATCTAAATTTTAAATATAACCTAACACATTCACCATTTTATTATTTTTATTTTTATTGTTTCTGATTATCTCATTAATATTAATTTTGTGAGGAAAGGAACACAACGTTCTTCACTTTACAAGTGAAAAATTTTAACTTTCAGATGTCTTTTTTCTAGAAATAAACAACACCCTGATGATGACATTTTGCTATGTCGAAAGTACTTGCAATAAAATATGTATCAAGATGGTAATTTTCTCTCTACCTTTAATAATGACACCAAAAAGCTTGTCTGTGAATATTAATGGATTCAATTGAAAATAAGTAGAAAAAAAAAAAAAATATATATATATATATATATATATATATATATAAACAGGGTTGATCTATGTAAATCAGACTGTGTTACATGTAGTAATAGTTGATAGAGGATTCCTTTTCTCTATTTTTATATTGAAAATGAAATGAATACAATGTACAACAGTAACATAAAACAATAAAACTTTGAGACACGTGTTGAAATAAACGACAAAAATGTGTATTTTTCTTTTTGTGATGTTATTTCTAATATTGGTTTTGTGTATGTTAAATGTTCTCAGGGTTATTGTCTATTTTCATTTCTTTAAAGTTTGGGCTTACTAATGTATAATTTGGGCTTACTAATGTATAATTTGGGCTTACTAATGTATAATTTTTCCTAGAATTTCATGGTTAAGGGAAGCTTTTGAAAGCATCAACTCTTGATTTTCACAGCACAAAAAAGATACATCTTGTCCAGTCTGTGTTATTCTTTTTACTACTGTTACTCTTGCTTGTGGTGGAAATGTTGTTTTTAAAATGATGAAATTGCTGATCTTTATTTCTAGAATGATTAAATATCATCATCATCATCATCATCATGAATTATCACTGGTGGAAAGGTTATTTTTATAATGTTGAAATTTCAGATCAGACCTTTATTTTTAGAATGATGAAATATTATCATCATCAGGAAGCATGACATATATAAAGAATTAATGGATTTATTTTTTATCCCTAATTTTTATTACTTAAAATAGACCTGCCATTTTTATTTTTATGTTAAATAGTGTGTATAACTTCTATCAATCTGCACATTTGAGAAATGTTAATAAAGATATGTTCCCCAGTAGGGATCATATCTATCTCTCCCTTTTCTTTTTACTGCATCATGGTCCAGTAAGGCTCTATTTTCCCTTTTAAGAGCCTTGCTGAATAAGTGACTATGCGACACAGGTTGAATGAGAGTTTATTTAAAATGTTTTAAGTGCGCAGCCTAATAGATATAGTGCACACTGATTTTAAGTAAAAATAAAAATTGGGCATCTATTTCAAACACAAGTAACCACTATAATAACATTCAAATATATATATATATATATATATATATATATATATATATATATATATATATATATATATTAAAAATACATATACCTACATTTGTAGTGCAACTTAAAGTTTCATGGTTTTACCAACTCATCAGGCATGAACTATATTTATTAGTATATACTTCTTAGCTCTGTCTAACCACATTGAACACAGTTTTGTTTACACCTTATATTAAATTAAGTAAATATTTATTCGCTGTGTATGCACACTAATGCACATCTATACAGCTGCTAATATCTACTTACTTGGTTTATATCCACATGTATACCTATATATATATATATATATATATATATATATATATGATATTGCAAGGATTACTTGCCTTAAATGTTTTTTTTCTCAGTATTCCACTGACTGACAGCATTTTTGTCTTCACACTGTCTTTGTTATATCTATCTATCTATCTTTCTATCTTTCTATATATATATATATGTTGTATTATGTTATACTTTTTATATGATGCTATATTAAGATTTCATGAAATATTGTAACTTGTTTCTGATAAAAATATGTAAATTCTGTTTCAGCTCGAGGACACAATGGAATCCAAACTACCAATCAGTTTCAGCCTGAAAAAATTAGATTTGTCTGGCAACCATTTCAAAGTCTTTCCTATATGGATATCAGATTTTATGCCAGGTCTGGAAAAACTTTATTTAAAAAGGCAAGTAGCATTATCAAAAAAAGGAAAAATGGAATTGACTACGAGGACTATTAACATTATCAAATGAATTGATATCACCTTTATGTTTGACATTATCAAAGTTGAAAATATCAAACATTGGTTGCTGTGACAGGTAAGACAGAAAAGGAAAAGGTAAGACAGAAAAGAGAAGAGTAAGGTAAAAAATGGAAAAGTAAGGTTGAAAAGGGAAAGGTAAGGTAAAAAATGGAAAGGTAAGATAGAAAAGGGAAAGGTAAGGCAGAAAAGGCAGAGTAGACCAAACACCAACAACCATGATGGCATCTGAGTAATGGTGTATTTTGTTAAAGACACCTATTGATGTACTCAAAAGCAAGTAGAAATAGATTCATGCTTTTCCTCAAAGAACATAAAAGTAAGAACTTAATTATATTTCACTGATTCCATTTTTTATGGAATTTTTCATTACATCCTTATACGCTTCCATACTTCAATACATTGAAAATAAATTTCAACACACACATTGGAGATACACCATTTAGAGTGTGGATATAAGGATCAACACTGCATGGCAACTATCAGTTTCAAGAATTTTTTTTATTTAAAAAGCAAAAGCATTGAATATTTTTCTGCATATGATACCCATTTTATTCTGTGTAAATTTATGTGAAAGATTCTCTTGTTATTAAAATGATTTTAAAAGCATATTTAAATCCTGGATTTGGATATTTTTTAAAACTTTTACATATATATATATATATATATATATATATATATATATATATATATATATATATATATATATATATATTTGTATGTATGTATTTCACTGATGTAATTTCCTATTTATTAAATATTTATTTTTTTTTCATGGTTTTCCTTTTACTTCTCTTTCCTTCAATGTTTTGAAGTCAATGACCCATCTTTTGAGTCATCAACTTTCCTCAGGTTTGTCTTTTAATACTTTCCCTTTAAAATGTTGCTTCTAAATAATACTTCTTTTGTCTACAATAGTTGTTATATATATATATATATATATATATATATATATATATATATATATATATATATCATAGAATAAATATAACAATTATTTTGGGGAGAGCTAGTATTTTTAATTCTTTCCTTCATTTATATTCCTCTTCCTTTTCTTTTTTCTTCTTTCATTACCTTTTGTCTCATCCAGTGGCTGACTTAAATTTTGTGGACTGAAGCTTGAACTGTATTGGGGGCCCCTTTACAACATCCAACAATAGGTCATCATCCAAAAATGTCTTAAGGAATTTGTAAGGGCCTTCAGGCTAAAATATTGGAGGGCAGGGTGATAGTGTAGAGTCCTTGGAAATATGCCATATAGATTGAGAGAATGGTAATGGTAACATTAACTGTTTCCTTATAAGGAAACATTTGGCATTCATTGATCAAGCAGCTTGTACTACTGTTGGCTAAAATTCATAAAATCTTTCTCTTAAAATAATTTTTCAGGAAAATAGGTTTCTCAAATCCAGTAGCTGTAAGGGCCTTTTTAGTATTGATAACAGTTTCCTTCCTAGTCTTTTATTTGAAGTAGTGTGGAATTTCAACATGATGATTATCAGTGTTGTTCCATAAAATCTTTTCTTGACAGAATCCATCTTGCACATTTACAAATCTACCATTCCTCTGTGCATTGAATACTGTTGCCACATCTGGTCTGGTGCTTCTGCTGTAAATCTCGAGGTTCTTGACAAAATCCAAAGAAGGATCTGCAATGTAATCAATCCTGACAAGAAATCTTGCATTCAGTCACTTTCTAACAACATGACATGGCTTCCCATTGTCTTTTTTATAAATATTTTTGATGGCAACTGCTCTGACAAACTTTTTTTCCTGGTGATCCAAATACATGAATTTAAGTGTGCTACTAGATTGGCAATCATGTCCCACCATTTTACTGTTGAAATAGTTAAATGTAACCTCCACTTCTACTCCAACAGATTCTTTTCTCGCACTTCTCACCTGTGGAACTGTTTCACTGCTTCCCCAATAACTACATCTTCAAAAATTTAAATACAATGTTGATTGCCATCTTCTATCTTCTTGAACCCTGTTCATCTTTTGTCCTTTCCTCAATCCTCCCTATTCCCAGTTTTCTTTTTCACTTTCACTCACTTTTCACTTTTACTCCACCTGTGTACTTGTGGCATTGCTGCCTTGCTTGGGGTGAAATGATTAAAAAAATATCATTATTTTCTCTTTGGCTGTTGCTGTTGAAAGTTCTCAAGTGATGTGCTGTCTGTTATTTGGTACAGTTTTTTGTGATTGTGTAATGTCATTCTACAAGATTTGAAGAAGTGTGGCCTTCATGAATACCAATAGGCATCACTCACTCAAAACTATTTTTAATCCTTGATTTTAGAAAGCTGTTGTCTTGGTCAGAAATTTCTGAACACGTTTGGTGCTATACTGGATATCCATATGAGATTCTCAATCTGTCAAGGCTATTTAAAAATGTGACTCAAGTTTTCATGTTAACATTTTGGTTTTGAGTTTTCATATATGTTAATGTTTGTAATGGGCACATGGCCAAGTGGTTAGAATGTTTGCATTCTGACCATGAAACCTAGGTTTGAATCTCACCATGGTAGATATGTAAGGAAGGAGACTGTTATTGGACTGGAGGGGTTGATTTCAGCATGCAGCACCTTTGGAAAGTGCCTAGACAGAATCCTTAGGTGCCATCGATAGCTGTTCTAGCACAAAGTCACAAGTCATTGGGCTTGAGCATGCTGGCCTTGTACAAATTGTTGATCACACTACATATCATGCTCTTTCCCAAAAACTGTAACTAAGGTCTGCTCAGCATAGTTGCAGTATAAACCACAGGTTGGCTCTGTGGGTGTTGAATAAACACAAATGCCCCTGAGCAATCGTCTGCAATAGGGATTGGCTAGCTGCCCTAGTAGACAGGTATCCTCAAATATGAGTGGCCAGCTATACTATACTAATTTTTTAAAAGAGTGCTTGCAGCCCTTTTAGATGCATTATCATAGGACTAGCAACAGATATTTTCAAGTGAAAGATTATGTTTACCCAGAACTATTAAAAATCTCTCACATGGTTTTCCATCAAAGCAGTACTGAACTATAATTACTAGTTATTCCAGATCAGGTCTGGAATAGAATTAGCAATAATCATGTAGTATTTAATGTCAAGCTTGATTTGATTCAAAATTTTATCTTGAACATATTTTCATATGGTTTTTATCAATTATCAATCAGTGCTGCTGGAATTGAGAGTACAGATGTCCTTTTATCATTCTGATAAAGGCTAAAAATATTGAACTATTAATCAATGAAGGATTTTATGATCTAGCTATCAAATAGTTGGCTATAAATAGATTTTGGAGGTCTCCAAGAAAATTTTGATTTTTTAGTAACAAACACTTAAAAGCTCCATTGATTTTACTGAAAAATGCACTCAACTAAAAAAAAAAATGATTCAGAGCCCCACCAAAATTAGTGACTCTTAAAGAAATTCATTTCATAGTAGATCTGCCACAGGCCCTAATAGTTTTTTCCTTTTTTCCATACCCCCAAAATTATATAATATACCCAACAATGAGAATTACAAACTCAACAACAACTTGCATTAATAAATCTTTTTCTTCCTTGCAAGTCAAATAATGAAATTTTATTGTTTTCTTCTTCAGCACTAAAATGGAGAGAATCAATAATAAACCTTTGCAACTGAAAAGACTTTTAAAATTAGATTTATCCAACAATTCAATTCAGATATTACCTGATAATTTCTTTATTGGTTGTAACAATTTGATGATTTTGAAGGCCATTAACAACAAACTAGGTAAGAACAAGTTTTTTTTTTGTTGTTGTTATTCATTGTAATAATTTTTATGTTTATATTAATAATTGTTGTGAATTATCTTACTAGTGTTGTCCATCATATGATGTTTAAATACTTTTTAACATTTATCACTCTATGTAACTTCATATTCTGTACAAAAATTTTATCCTGCCACTGAACATGACTGATCCCTGAACAATAGTGCATTTGATTTTTATAGATGTGCTGTCATATCCTGCTATGGCAACAGAAAACAACTTTGGGTGAAATTAACAAGGATAATGCAATTAAGGTCTTGAAAAAGAATGCAGTAGAAAGGGAAGTAATATTAATAATGCAGTGTGCTAAAGGTTAATGTATTAATTTATTGTCATGTAATCATGTAGTATCATGTAATCCTGTTATCTTCCAGCCTATTGTTATCTGTGCTCTGAATTCAGTAAGGCAAAATTTGCATATTAAAATAATAGTACTAAGTAGAAATTAACAAAAAAATGTAAAATCTAAACCTTTTAAAAATTATTGAGCAAATATGATCATAAAATCAATTCACAAGACAAAGGTTTGAACAGAGCACATGGGAAATAAAACATTTTATCCAATAAAGTGTTTCAGAAGGTAGAGAATTTATTGTGTTTATCTCATCACTTAATGTCTTTTTGGGGCTTCTAGCCCCCTTTATTTGTTTAAGCTACACATCACTTAGGATAAGATCCTTATCTAGTAATCTACATCCAACATCAAGGCCTTCGATCAGGAGATTGGAGGCTTTAAGAAACGTTTAACGACCTCTTAATTGTTGTTGTTCCCAGGTCCACCCTGACCAGGTGTGGTAGCACCTGTTAGGGTCCTAGCTATGAACAAATAGTTGTTATATTAAGCGTTAGTGGTAGTGAGAGACAGGAATAATGAGGATTAGATTTGCAACCTTTATTGTTGGCATGTCATACAGAAATGTTGATGGATGGGTGGAAAGTCCATTTGAGTGGCCTGTTGTCAGGATAGTGGTCAGGTGTAAGGGTAGCACTAAGAGTTGACCTAATTCTTGTGTGGGTTTTGTTTGTTCTAGTTCCACGTGCCATGTTTAATTGATGTCAGTTATCAAACATGGCACATGGAACTAGAACAGTCTACCCCAGTGAGCAAAATAAAGGGTTCAGTTCGACATTCCACTCACCTGAAGAAGGCCAGAGCATACAACAGCCAAAACGTTGTAATAAATATGGCGACAGAGATGAGGACAATAGACCTAATAATGTAAATAGTGTACATAATACCTCATCTCAGAAATATAAACAGATACTAAAATACTCATGTTTTCACATCTATTCATTTTTGTCTCTACCAACAGTACAGCTTCCCAGTGAAGAACTCAGCTTAGAATTACCTCAACTCCAAGAACTTCATCTAAGCAACAATAAGTTAACAGAAAGAAAACCTTTCTTCATATCAAAATTTATAATGAACTTACCATGGTAAGTCAACTATTTTTATGCTCTTTTTAATATGTACCTATGATCTGGATGAAAACAAAAATTCTTACATAAAAATTTATTGCATTATGAAGAATAAAATATTTAAGGGAAAAACAAAAACAAAGCCATTGTTCACATCTTCCTGTCCCTTGTAGATCTTAAGAAGTTTTCTCTTTTTGTTATTTCTCCCAAACCTTCTGCTACCATCCATTTACTCAACCTCATCAAATATGTTACACGCTGCTTTCCTCTGGCCTGCTTTCCTTCAACCTGTCCTCTGAGTATCACATTTTCCAATCTCTCCTCCCTTATTACATGCCCCAGAAATTTCAACTACCTCTTTCTGACGTTAAATATAAGTTTCCTTTTTGTTTCCATTTTCTCTAAAACTTTGTCGTTGATTACAAGTTCGGTCTATGGTATCCTCAGCATCTTTCTGCAAAACAACATTTCTGTTGCTTCAAGTCTCTTCTTCATATCTGAGGAGATTGTCCAGCATTCACTGCCATATAGGAGGACAGATATCATGTAAAAGTTCAGTATTCTTTTCTTCATTTCTAATAAAATTTTTCTGTCTCTTAATACTCTGCTTAACTTTTGGAAGGCATCTTTGGCCATCCCAACATGTCTTCAGATTCCAGTGTCACACTTTCTGTCCTCTGTTGGAACACTCACCAGATATTTAAATTTTTGTACTTGTTTGATTTTAATAACCCCGATTTGTAATTTTCATTTTGGGCACAATTTTTTCATTTTTTAAATTTGAGATAAGAAGTAAAATTACAATGAGTTTAATTCTGAAATTATTGAGGTTCTATAATTTTGTAAGTTCTTTTTCTTTAAATTCTAATGTATCTGTTCAATAAGCTTTTAGCATCCCGCTAGCACTTTCTTATCAATGTTGAATTTTATTCAGCTTCATACAGATTTTCAGGAAATATCAGCTTCTAACTGGTCAATACACACAAGTGGGCATTGCAATCCACCCACATAGAAATATTTTTCCAGTGTGTGAACAAGTCAAGTTTTCCCGCCAATTTTCCGTGATCCTGTCACATGATTACATTAATTATAAATAGCAGACACAAGCTTGCTCATTCTCTCTCTTCTCTTGTCTTTTCCTGCGAAGATGTGACCTTAAGGATTTCCATCTTGACCATGTGCAGTCAAATGTTAAAAGCATATTCACGCATGCACATACATACAAAATTTTCCAAACTACATTACAAACATACAAGCATTTCTAAACAAGCAACAAGAACTTTTCTCTTTGAAATACTTTTCTAAAGCTACAGTTATTTCAGCATTTCTCAGCTTTATAATTCATTCAACTTTTGTGAGCTCAGATAAAAATATTAATTCAGTCAAAGGGACCTAACACCAACAAGTAACCTATATGCATGTACATCATTACACAAAAATAAATATAAATGATGATGTTATAAAAATCGTTTTTATTCCTTCTTGCTGTTTCATATTTTGTGATATTTTATGTTAAATACAAATCGTGTGGTCATGTTTAATAAACAGACATCTACAAATGGTCCATTCTTATTAACATACCACAATAAGCCCAAATTGGCTGCTGATCTCAAAAATGACCTACAGTCTGTTGTTAATGAATGGCTTCTTAATTTTAACACCTCCAAAATGAAAGAGCTCTCTATTAATTATCTGAGAGACCCCTTTCTACCTTCCATCAGCATGGCTGAAGCTAACCTCCAGGAGAGTCACTCCTTGCACCTTCTCAGGCTAACATTCCTGGCTGACATGATGCAGAAAGACTATATTGAATTCATTACTAGGTCAACTGCTAAGAAAGTTGGTTCACTGTGTCATGCTAGACAATTTTTCTCTCCAGAATCTATCTTACCTATCTATAAGTCTAACTTTCATCCATGCTTTGAATATTGTTGCCATATACGGTCTGGTGTTCCTGCTATATATTTATAGATTCTTGATCCAAAAAAGCATCAGCAATATTATTGGTCCTGACCTGGCATCTTGGCTTCAGTCATTTTCTCACTGCCACAATATAGCTTCCATGTGCTTTTTTCTGTAAATACTTTTCTGGTAATTGTTCTGATGAGCTCTTCACTGTTGTATCTAGACTTTATGAATTTAAGTGCAGTATCAGATTAGCAACAAAATTCATAATTGAAATAGCGAGAGATGTAATCATAAGTTTTATGCTCACACTTTCTATTCTCCCACTTTTTGCTTGTGGAATTCTCTTTTCCGGTTTATGCATTTCAGGCAACTTTAATCCCCCAAAATTTAAATCCAATTTCAATCATTATCTTCCTTATTACTCTTCTATAGTTTTCACTACTTTATAATGTTTTTCTTTTGTGGAAGCCCGGTAATAATATCAATGAAGTTTATGGCAATGATGCAATAGTTGTTAGCATATGTTGGAAATGGTTTGCTAAGTTTAAATTGGGACAGCAAATTCCTTAAAAGTTCTCATAACTTGAAAAGTGAGAAAATGAAGGAAGTTTTCAAGGAAAGTGCAGCACAAACAACATATGAACTTGTCAAATAAATAGAGACAATCAAATGAATTATTTGAAAGATACATTCAAATAGAAAATATATTTGCAGGCCAAGAAAGTCAACCAGTGATTTTGTTAATATGCTAGGCATTGCAACTTTGTGTTTTAAATGCAATAAACAATAAGAAGCTAGGAGAGGAAATTCTTCTTTCATGATAATCCTTTTATCCAGGCACGTTCTGTTCAGACTATCACTACACAAACACTATTTGGTCAGTAGTTTCAGAATATCAATGAATTCTATAAAGGAATACATCATTTTACTTTAAGAAGAATCATCAATATTATTGGTCCTGATATGGCATCTCAGCTTCAGTCACTTTCCCACCACTATAAGGTTGCCTCTCTATACTTTTTCTATAAATACTTTCATGGTAATTGTTCAGATGAGCTCTTTGCTATGGTACCTAGACTTTTTTTAATTTAAGTGTGGTACTAGACTGGTGTCAGGATCTCATCAATTTACAGCTGAGCTCACTAGATGTAGCCGTAAGTTCTATGCTAACAGTTCCTTTTCTCACACTTCTTGCTTATGCAACACTCTTTATGTTTTCCAGCCAACTTTAATCTGCAAAAATTTAATAGCAATGTCAATAACGATCTACTATCCTCCTGGTTATTCTTTCCTCTTACCACTCATTATTAATGTTTCTGTTCCTAATTCTTCCACACCCTGTAGCCTCTTGCATCTTATTAGCTTTACTGCATTGTATGGGGTCATACCAATTAAAAAAAGAAAGTAAAGTCATATTGTTACGGAACACCCAAGAAAATATTTTGATGACTAAATAACAACGCCATGAATTTGTAAGAAATTTTTGTTAAAAAGATGTAGAAAATTTTGTAAGCTTAATGTTTCATTTTCATAATTCATAATTTTAAACATTATAATTATAGGAATTATATTATAAACATGATTATATTAATTATATATTAATATAAATTATTAATAATTTATAAATAATATATTAATAAAACTAAATTTCAAATGCAATACTTTAATTTTCTATTCATAATTGACCAGTTTATATGGGACAACCTCAATTATTTCCTATCCTCTTAAGAGCTTTTTAACTGATTTTGAATAACAAAAATTGGAAAGCCAGTTAAATAGAAATTTCAGTTAATTTTCCATGTCTAAACATTTTCTTTCACTGCTCAACTTGAGTTAATATTTGAATATCTAAGGAAAATTCTCTTTTTAGTTTGATAATTTTTCTGTTATTTAAGTACTTTAATTATTTCTTCTCTTTTCTTGGTTAGCCTTACATTTGTGGATTTGTGTAACAACAAACTAAAAGGCATCTGCCCACCAATAATGTGGATGAGTAAGGATTTGAAAAAAGTAATGCTTTCAAAGAACCAAATATCCTATGTAAGTGATTTTGATTTTAATTTTTTACTAACAGATTTTGTTAAAATCAAAGATTTTTAATTATACTTCTCATTTTAAGACTGAAATTACTTGTCTAACAATTGGCATTCATTACTTCAGACATCAGCTTTATTATGTTATATAGGGTGGTGCAAAGAAAAAATGACCATCTAGTCAAAATATTAGTTTGCTTAATTTTGACTAAGAAGTTTTAAATATTCAATAATGTATTTTAGGAGTAGTATTTGTGGTTATTCAGGATTTGTATTAATATGAACCCAGTATGAGGAAAGATACAGATCTGAGTGAAATTGTGATACTGAAAAGAAGTAATGCAAAAATTATGGACCATAAGAGGAAATATAGAATTAGTTGTTTTTATTGTGGGAAGAAATATTAAAATTGCACTAAATAGCTTTATTTATATATTTAGAGTAATTAAAAATTGTAATCCGTAGTTAATATGGCTCTGATATATTTCCATGGCATGTGTTTCAAATTGCACTAAATAGCTTTATTTATACATTTAGGGACATTAAAAATTGTAATCCGTATTTATTATGGTTCCTATATACTTCCATGGTATGTGTTTCAAATAGCTTCTGGCAACTAAGTCCAACTCCAAGCTGGAGAATGTGCAAAAGCAGAAAACTGGTGCTTCATAATCAGCTGCTTTGGCTAGATGGAGCATGACAGCCCAGGAAAGCAGTTCATTTAGGGGAAGGAAAACCCTGATGGTAAATCTTTGTTGCCATATGGTCATACCCAAACATGGAAAAGGCTATGGAATTTTTTTTTTTTTTTTTTTTTTAAGCATTGTGCCCCAAGCAAGGCGTGAAGCCACTAGGATGCAGGGGGTTTGGAGCGAGAGCAGATAAGAGTGATAGGAGAAAGGAAGAGGAGAAGGATAGTGGGTAGATCAAGGTAATTGGAGATGTCGATTGACATTACATTTGAATAGTTGGAGATTATAGCTTTCAGGGAAACAGTAATTGGGGAGGTGTTCCACTGGCGAGAGGTGCGAGGCATGAAGCTATTGGAGTAGAAGAGACGGCTACATTTGAAGGTTTCTGATGTGTAAGGGTGAGAGCGGGATGCCAGCCTCAGAGGGCGCTTTGAATTCATGGAGTCTGGGAACCAGAGAGAGCAGCTCATCAGAGCAGTTACCATGGAAGTATTTGTAGAAAAGACAGAGAGCGGCGACGGCGCATCTGTGAGAGAGTGACTGCAAGCAAGACGCTAGATCAGGGCCAATTAGATTACATATCCTTCTCTGGATCTTGTTGAGAACTCCGAGGTAAGCAGAAGGTGCTCCAGCCCATATATGGCAGCAATACTCCATGCAAGGGCGAATGGTTGTTTTATATATTTGAAGTATCGATTCAGGGGAAAAAATTTCCTGGCGCGGCACAGAGAGCCAACTTTCCTCGCGGTGGAAGAAGCAATTGACTCAATGTATGTGTTCCATCTCAGGTCAGCACGGCCAGGTTAGTTTTGTCGCCGACACTAGACTTGTTTTTGAGGCAGGAGTAAATTGTAGTGTCGTCTGCATAGATGCCGACCTGGGAATCTATAGCTTCAGGAAGGTCGTTGATGAAAATGAGGAAAAGAGTGGGGCCAAGGATGGAGCCTTGGGGCACACCTGCGTTAATGGGATAGGAACTGGAGGAGAATCCGTTGAGAACGACCTTCAATTCTCGGTTAGACAGGAATGATTGTATTAGATCAAACAGTTGACCAGTAACACCATACCCCTGGAGCTTACGAAGAAGGCCAGCGTGCCAAACCCTATCGAATGCTTTGGTTGATGTCGAAGGCCACAGCACGAGCCTCACCGTTATTTTGAAGGGCTTGGTAGACGGTTTCAGTGATGGCCGTAAGCACATCAGCTGTAGATCTGGCGTAGCGGAAACCATATTGCTTGTCTGAGAGCAGATTATGGGATGTGAGGTGATTAACCACTTCGGCATTGATTAGGGCTTCTTCAGGACAATGGCTGGTATGCCGTCTCCACCACTAGCCTTGTGGGGGTCTAAGGTGGAGATAATGCCCAGTACCAATGACGGGGTTATGTGTAAGCCACTCAGTAAGGCCTCAGTTCTAAGAGGGAAGTCTGATATGGGAACACCGGTGGAATCGAGCATAGAATTAAATGAGAATTTCCGAGCAAAGCATTCAGCCTTGTCGGTAGGAGAGGTCAAGACCTCGAACTAGTTGAATAAAGGAGGTATGGAGGGTTTTCGATTAAAATCTGGAGTAGAACCCCAAAGATGATGGGCTGTGAATGACAATTTCAGGCAACTTCTGCAGCCAAGCCATCCCCAAATGTAATGCCCTGTATCCTTGTCAGTGTGACTGAGACGTGAGGGGCATGTAAACTGGGCAGGGCACAGCCTCCATATCTCATCACCCAGACCTGTGCCCTGGAGATGTCACTCTAGTTTCACCATCAAAGGACTGAATCTTGACCAAACATGGTGCTACCTTTATCTTGAGAGAGAAACAGATGTCTACAACTACTATGGCTTCCACTGACATGAACAACAGCCCCAACTCAATGTGGGATAGAGAAATACAAGTTAAAAACATTGTTTTACTAAGAACATTCTACAATTCATCTTTATAGTAAACCCAAAGCATTTGCAAGCTTTCTGTTATACACCTAACACTCATTACATACTTTTGATCATTTTAAGATCAGGGCTTTATGCAGGACACTTTTCTCATGTTACAATTTCTTCAGCAGTGAGAAACTTTTGTTCCCCACAATGTATGACAAGGTGATCTATCATGTTGGAATATTTCATTTTCCATCCAAAATGTTTCAAATATCAGTATCCTTCTTCAGAATAGTATACCTTGATATTTCAAGCTCCTTAGCAATTTTATGTTGACTCATTCTTTGTGACACTTTGATAATTTTCATCTCACTCTGAAGCATGAATCAACGACAATAAAAGACAATTTCAAGGCTCCAGACTTTATGCAAACTGTGTTTGATCATTGAACCTGTGAAATTTTCAAATATGTCTTAATCTGGGATGATGTTAATCTTGAAGGGTGACAAGTAGCATGCATTATTTTCAATATTACGATGTATTCAGGTTTGTGTCTGTGGTGAGTACAAAATAATCATAACTCCCTTTACTTCAAATTTGGGTGAGCTGAGGAAAAAAAAACAAAAGAAATTCATGAGCCTGTGTGAGATTTTCTTTGGACCAATGAAAACTTTGACTTCACAGAGACTGACCGGTGAGCTGAGGAAAAGATGAAAATAAATTTGCAAATCTATGTGAGATTTTCTTTGGACCAATGAAAACCTTACTTTCACAGGAATTAGCCGTTGAGCCTAGAAAAAGAAAGAAAAAAAAATGGTGAGCATATCCAAAATACTTTGAATCAATGTGAAAATTTTAATTTCTGTTCATGTGTCCAACATTCAGATTTTCACCAACAGCAAATCACTCGCTAATTATATTATTGGCCTTAATGAAGCACTTGACACTTCAAAGAACTTTATTTCAACAATCCAAGAAAGCTTAATGTTTCAAACTATCTCTCTTCATCTATTTTTGAACATATGCAAACCATATATTCCTTCTGTAAACAATCTTCTTCTTCACTTGATCATTCCTTGAGACTGCCAAACAATGCCATATTATCAGTAGAGTCATAACACTTTGAGTCCTCACGTTGTTCACTTGAATTTGTTGCCTTTTGTAATTGCAAAAAGAAAAAAAATATAACTCAATTTTCTGCGTTAATCCACTCTACTCATCACCACTTTTCATTGCTGCAGCACGATAAGTAGTTGTCAACTTTCTTCCACTAGAACAATAAGTAGTCACTACTTGCTAGCACCCCTGATTAGCCCAAGTGTTCATCTTTTATAACTGACCAGGAGTGAACCACCACTCCCCTGGCCAAATGAGTCTGTCCAAAATAATTAGGCTTTTCCTAAATGTACACATACATAAATTTCACTAAATAAAATGTTACAATAAATATTATGATTCACAATAGTTTATTTTCCTGAAATGAGCTACTGACACTACTTCAAGCTAGTAAATTCATAAATAAATTCCTTATCTTGTTTGCTAAAAATAACCCATGTGTTTCCATGTCATTACCAACCTCCATTAATCTTCTTGGTGTGGGTAAAACAACTGTTCATTTTAACCATGAAGTCCCACATCATTATAATCTGGGGACCCTTGATGTGCCACAATATGTCTCTCCTTGAAATGTGTTCACATAAATATGATAATCGGAATTATCCTTTAATACTTAATATGATAACCTCAGCAAAAGTTTGAAAACCTCTGAACAAAGTAGACAGTTTTATAAATGTAGAATAATTTTATTATAGTAAAATCCCCAGGACAATTCTGTGGATAAGACAAACTTTAAAATTTTGGATTCAATGTAACTATAAAGACAAAAAAATTTCACTTCAATTTTGCATTGATAAAGTCAGATGAAATGCATTGGCAAAAAACTAAGATTTTTTTCCTATTGTTATTCTTATACCAATAATTTCATTGCAAATCTACCTGGAAAAATTCATTGAATCAAATGAAGTAGATTTGATCAAAAGACATAACAAGTTCAAAAATAAAATATTTTAATTTTCTATTCATGAGTCTTCAGTGTTCATGAAATAATATTACAGCACTGAATCTCCAGAATATATTCTGAATACATTCTTTTATTTGCTTAAAATTAAACAGTTTAGTTATATTAAAACATAAATATTTTTGACATTGCAGTTGAATTTGTCTGAAGGTGCTATAAAATGGAAAAATCTGCAGGTGTTAGATATTTCATACAACAAATTGAAAAGCGTAAGTAGCATTCATTATTGTTTAAGGAATTGCATTCCATTGCTATTTCAAAAAAAAATACTGTACATGTGCCACCACAAATGACAGCAATTGTTAGAAAGTTTTAATTATGAGGTACGATAAAACAAAAATCTTTGAAACAATGTATTGAGATTCAATAAAGCAGAGATAAGGAATGTGAAACTAAAATAAAGCTCAGTGAATCATTTAATTAATCCATTCCCTTTATATTGTTTAGATGTTCAATGAGATCTATGATTTATTGATTACTCTTGGTATTATATAATTCGTTTTTTGCTCAATGTCTTTTCCTGTTGAAAATTTTATGTGTTTAATATAACAGTGAAATGGAAATATCCCTTGGGAGAAAAATATTAGCAACAAAATAACAAAAACAGCAACAATAAAGTCTTTTTCAAGAATAAGGTGTAGCAAGATGATCATTTAATAGACAAATGTATCTGAGTGCTTCACATGAAAGGCTTGAACAAATAAGATCGCAATCTAAGAAACGTAAGAGTAAACGAACTGATTAATTAAACAGTTCATTTTGCTCAGGAAGCAATTTTTGTCTAAATGCAGATAAGTATTTTATTTGCATAGATTATTAAAATGACTAAGAGAGTAATCACTCATAAATTTACTAAATTAAGTTGATTTATATCCCTTCCACTACAGGTAGGACAGGAAATATATAAATAAATACACCTGACATATATAATTAAATAGACATTGATAATTATTATGCGGTTTGATTATATAAAATAATGAGGCTGAAAAAAAATAAACTGTATCATTCATTATGTTTGCATAAGAAAATATTTGGCACTATAATATCTATATTCACCATTGTTTTAAGACTAAGTGGAATGGGCTGAAGGGGTTTGTTAAGCAAGAAAGAATATTTCCAGTTTACATCTCTCCATTCTAGGTGTTATTATATCTGTGATATAATAACACATTAATACATAGACAGAAAAGAATACCTGAAAGAAAGGAATGACAAACACATCATTCTCAAAAAGATTTTACATGTACAAGAAATTATAAACAAATATATAAATACTTGTCACTAATTTGTCCCACACGGAGGAGTTGTAAGATATGAGTAAAAAAAGCAGAGTGAAAAGACAAGAAGTGAGAGAGTCTTACTTGTAATGTTTCCTGATTGGAAAATGGCTAAGCTGTTGGTATGTTCTGTGAACTTTCAGGTACCATTTGGACTCTTCTGTTTTCTCTACCGCTGTGGACATCTTAGCAATCTATCATCAGCAACTAGTGTGGGTAGACATGTTTTGCTCCTACAAATGCTAAATAGAAACCTTTCAATGCTTATGTATTCATATAATATGATATATTATTTTATTGGACAGACAAACAAATGAACTCTTCTAAACTGATCATATCTCTACATCTTAATTTTACTCCTTAATCCTTCAGCTTCCTCCAGAAATTGGTTACCTGACATCTTTACGTTGTCTGAACTTCAGTTACAATCCAGAGATCCGATATCTGCCAGATGAGCTTGGTTACTGTGAAAAAATATGGGAGGTTTGTTGTTTTTGTTTTTATTTTCTTTTTCTCTTTACAATCAAATATTGAGTTACAAAGTTAATATTATTTCTAATTTTGCTATATGATACACGAAGCTTATTTGTAAGTTCTTTTTTGTTCATAGTAGCTGTATCTGCCATGCTAGAGTTATCCCCCTTGCACTGGCATTGCCAACTACAAGTGTCTTTGTCATTACAATAGTGGACTACTCCAAAGCATTTTGGAAAGTCAAGAGTTAAAAAGACTGACTCCACTAAAGAAGACATTATAATAATAATTGAAAAAATATTTTTAAAGACTCACTTGTAAAAGGTTTCTGATACTAGAAAGGATTTAGAAAAATATATCATCAGTTGTATGAAGGGGTGCTGAAAATTTCTCAGTACAACAAATGGATTTAAAAAAAAGAATTATGCTGTTTGGCTAGACTTCAGGAAGTGCAAAGGACAAAACAACCTTTCATTACCCTCTAATAAATAACATCTCATGATTTCATATCACAAATTGTTTCAATATTTTCCCTTAATCATTATTAAATACTAGCACAGTATCTTTAAAAACTGACAGGATTATTTATATAGGCAGCAGAACTTCTACCTGGGATTAGATTATCCTTTCCCACTTCCTAAGATCAAAGTATCCTGTCTGTACACTCTTGTATCAATGTATCACCCTGCAACATTTCTGCCTAAGATCAGAGTATAGTATCTGTAAAGCATATGTATGGAAAGTGTAATACACAAAGCATATGTATGGATGCATATTACCTTTTAGATAGTTTGATAATTATCATTTCAAAAGTTTTGACCATTTGAAAGATGAATTATTAAATGATTTAAAAATAATATTTCAAATTTAATCTTTTAAAATATTTACTATGAAGAAATTTGCATGTTTGTTCATTGTAATATAATAATGTCATTTAATCTATTACAAATAAATAAATTATTTCCTTAAAATATTCAAATATTTAAATATTTCATAATTTTATAATATGTTGAAGTTTAAAATTTGAACTATGTTATTAAGAAAAATTAAAGTATGATTTAATCTTTTTAAACTTTTAAAATATTTTAAAATTAAATTATAGCCTAACCTTTTTTTGTACTGAAAGTAATTAACATTTTGCTATTTCACAACAATTTTAAAATATTTATAAATGGAATTAATATAAAATTATTGTAATCAGGGGTATATAAGACACTCCGCATTTACATTTAATTATTATGTATGATGAAGTTAAGCTAAGAAATAGTTAAACATTAGCCTATTAAATGCCTCAGTTTTGTATATAAGACTTGGAAGATATTTGGGAAGTGGAAAAATAAGTCTTGTCTAACACTAAACATGGCATATCAAATGAATGTTATTATTCTTTTTAAAAATCATTTTGATTGGAACATTTTATAATGTAATAAGCTTTAAAACAGAGTTATTTGTTATTATAATCACAATTTTAACTATTTCCACAATTATAGATGCCGTTGGATGGACTGGAAAGTTTACTTAACATTCATTTATTAAAAGGAAAAGTCTGTGATCTTATTTTGTACCTTAATCACAAACTGAAAAAGGTAGGAATTCTTTTATATATAATTTTAGTTTTTATTAGATTTTTCATCACTTTTTGTTACCATTTTATTACAATATTTTAGCTTATCTAGTCTTTTTCAGTTGTTAAATTTCTTTTAGTAGTCTTGAGTTGTTTAAAATTACTGAAAAAAGTATTTTCATTAATGCATTATCAATTCTGAATAAATTTGTTATGGTCCAGAATGAAAATATTTCATCATTCTAAAAATAACCTTGTCATCCATAATGATAGAAAAGAAGGATATTTCATCATCCTTACCCTTGTGATTATAAAAACAACCTTTCCATCATGAAGAGAGACCAGTAGACAAGTAGTAGTAGCCAGTAAAAATATATGTTTGCCGGCACTATAGAAGATCAAAAACAGATTATGTCAAACACCATCCTCACAAACAAAATTCTTGGAACCAAACCATGTTAAATGCCATCCTCACAAATGAAATTCTCTGGACCAAACTAAGTAAGCACTGACTTTTAAACAAAAGAGACAATGAGAACATTTTTACTCACACCATATTAATATTCTGTAATTCACATCACAAAATGAAAAAAATACAAATTCTTGCTATTTATGTCAACATGTGTCTCGAGTTTATTGTTATTGTTGTACATTTTAATTCATTTCGTTTTTAATATAAAAAGGAGGAAAAGATTCCTCCTATACTACAAATACATATAGTAATAGGTAATTACTTTAACAACACTCAAATAATATCAAGTTGGAATTACTACTACATCCACCCTAACTTACCTACCCTGTTACAACTTCCTTATTTTCTTGCTACTTTTTTATCATGAGTTTTTTTTTTTAACTGTTTAACTCTTCTTTGGCTGTTAAAGTTATTTTTGTTATTGCACATAAAATAAAATGCAATCTGTAATTCAAACTTCTCTGAAAATTTAATCAATTATTCATTTTTTTTCCCCTGCTTTTTGTTCAGGTTCAGAGATATTATCAGATGAAAATGATGGTGGTTGGTTTTGGTGGTCATGGGAAGACAACTCTGCTTCAAAGTTTGATGCAAGAGAAAAAACCAATTGTCACAACTGCCACAGTAGGCATTCATGTCAAAGACTGGAAGTAAGAGATAATTTTATACAGAATGATATTTGTGAGATATTATTTTATCTAGTAATTACTTCTTTAAAAGTAGAATAAAAGATAAAAGATAAAATATTAATTTGAACAGTTTTCATTGTTATATATTTGCTAATACATGATAACTTAAAAAATATAAAACTGATACCATTTGGATGATTGAATTCATTGTTTTCATTGCTTTTGTTGTTACGACAATGTTCCAAATGATCCATTCTATGGCTTTCTTTGTATGTAAAATCCACATGGAAAGGAGGATTTTTATTTTTTTAATGTTTTAAAAACCAGAAAATGATAAACAGTAGAAAAGAAATGATGGCCAATACACTGTTTGGACCTATCCATATATGGTATTGCATGTAACTCAGGCCATTTCATATATTTATATTCAGGGTTGTTATTCTTTGTTAAGTAAAGGATTAATCTTGGAATGATAATGATAATTATAGGAAATAAAAAAAATATATTATCTATATTTATAGTGGAGTTAGTAGTTAATCAGAGTAAGTCCTTTGGTATTTGGAGTAGCAAAAAGTTTGTTAATAAAGCAGATATTTGTAATAGTTGTGTTTTGGAGTAAGACCATGATAGGGGTAGTAGTAATATCAGAAATTAGGTCAATATCAATCTATTGCATTTTTCTTGGCCCTGAACAGGGTGAAAATGTCAGTAGCAGATGGCATCTTAACTGCTTCTTCACATGTCACACATGGCTGCCTTCTACATGGTAGTGTTCTTTTGTTCCATCCTATCCTACCATCCCTTCTGTCACTAGACCAGAGGTGTTGGTTTATATCCTTTTGAATAGGTCCAGTGTTTGTGGTGGGAACTTTGTTTTCAGCTAACATTAAAAAGTCTCTTTGTGTCAATTTTTTTGATTGTCCAAATTATTTTATTTTCTGGTGTTCCTTTCTTTTTTTCTCTTTATTTTTAGTGAAGCCTCCCTGATTTTTGGTATTTTTCTGTCGCAAAATTCAACTGTTTTAAGTCAGGTTCAGTCTTTTCTTCTTTGTCTAATAATTTGAGAGTGGCCTTCTCATAGGTTAAGAGAAGTATAGAAAGATAAGTTCAGAGAGAAAGAGAAAGAAAAGAGAAAGAGAGAGAGAAAGAAAGAGAGGGAAAGAGAAAGAGAGAGAGAGAGAAAGAGAAAGAAAGAGATAAGGGTTTTAAAGGAAAGCACAAATGCCTTATTTTAATTTCAATTCTTTTTATTTTTGTTTATATATTTTATTTTTATATTTTATTTTTATTGGGACTCACTCAATAGTAAATAATTGTGGTAACATTTAAAGCTACAATATATTGACATTTTTAGAACAAAATTTTATAAGTAAAGATGAAAGAATCACTTTTATGGTTGTGTAAACAAGCCTTATTATTTTAAACTTTTGTTAAAATGGACATCTGATATAGAAAAATTTTACACATTTTTAGTAAAGGACATTACTCAGGAGAGATGGAAGTATGAATGTATTGAATTCTAGAAGCAATCATATAACTTCAATCATAAGTAAGTCTTTTGATCATAAGACATTTTACTTAAGTGATATTGAGTTAGTGTAGACTTGTAAAGATTAAGTGGTATTTTTCAATTGACTGACCACTATCTGTTGCAAAGTTTCATATTTATCTATTTTCAGGAAATACAAATTCAGAGGTTTTTAAATTTACTCAAACTAACAGTGAATTGTCAAAACTTCTCTTTATATCTTGTGATTTGTTTTCTAATATGTCAGCAATTTTTTTTATCTTATTTTAGAGTTTCTTTTTGGTATCCTGATCTAACATGCATTTATAAGTCTACCATTCATCTATGCATTGAATATTGCTGTTACATCTGGTCTAAGGCTTCTGGCATGTATTCAGAGATTCTTGATAAAATACGAAGAAGAATCTGCAAGTTTATTGGTCCTGACCTGGCATCTTGGCTTTAGTCACTTTCCCACTGCTGTAATATACCTTCCCAGTGCCTTTTCTATGAATATTTTCATCGTAATTGTTCTAATGAGCTTTCCTCTTTAGTACCAAGACTTTATGAATTTAAGCATAGTACTAGATTGGTAGCAAGGTCTCATCCTTTTACAGTTGCAATGGCCGCTAGATGCAACCATAAGTTCTATGCTAACAGTTTCTTCTCTTGCACTTCTTGCAATTAAATCTCCTTGTTTTTCTTTCATATTTTTTTGCATTGCAGATTCAACCACAAACGGGAAAACCATTCAGTTGAATACACAATTAGTACATGGGACTTTGCTGGACAGGAGGAATTCTATAGCATTCATCAATGCTTTTTATCAACCCAAGGCATCTACCTGGTCGGTTGTTTAAATTAATTAAAAATGTTCTTATATAAAACAGAAGATTACTGGAACTCATAAGATTTAGATTTTATTATAATTCTATATAAATTATGTATAATTTGTAAATAAAAATAAGCCAAGAAAATCATTTTTTAATAGAACTGAAAATTTTGCAAATATCATTTTGACTACAAATCAAAAAAGCTTAATTTGCACCGACTTCACAATTATAAAATTGACAATTATAAAATTGCCATATTTGATGGCATATAAAACTCTCTTTTTCTATCTAAAAAAGTATTAAGGTATATGACAAACTAATCTTTCACTATCTGTCTATATTTCTGAGATGATTTATTATGTACACTATTTACATTATTCGGACTTGTCCTCATCTTTGTCGCCATATTTATTACAACGTTTCAGCCTTTTAGTATCTGTCTATATTTCTGAAATGAGGTATTATATACACTATTTACACTATTCGGACTATTGTCCTCATCTTTGTCGCCATATTTATCATGTTTCAGCCCTTCAGTATCTGTCTATATTTCTGAGATGTGGTATTATGTACACTATTTACATTATTCAGACTATTGTCCTCATCTTTGTCACCATATTTATCACAACATTTTTGCCTTTCAGTATCCGTCTATATTTCTGAGATGTAGCATTATGTACATTATTTACATTATTCGGACTATTATCCTCATCTTTGTCACCATATTTATTACAACATTTCAGCTATTGTATGCTTCAGCCTACTTCAATACCTGAGTGGAGAACCTGGATAGGGGAATTAACAGGAGATAACTGACAACTGACAACTGACAACTGACATCCATTAAACATGGCACATGGAACTAGAACAGTCTACCCCAGTGAGCAAAATAAAGGGTTTGACATTCCAACCACCTGAAGATGGCCGGAGCATACAACGGCCAAAACATTGTAATAATAATCTGAATAATGTAAATAGTGTAGACTAATTTTTATCCAGATGCCATAGACTATCAGTATTTGTATTTAGCTGATATCCATAATACTGTAATATGAAATATTAATGATGGGGCTCTTTTATGCCATCAAATGTAGTTAAAATACTTCAGTGAGACATGAAAATTCATATTGAAATTTTAAGGGAAGGTCTGTAAAATGTACTTGCAAAAATAAACTTGTATGTGTCACCAGACCATTATGATGTTTCAAACATTAAACAATTTCTAGATTCTGAAAGATCATCTTCATCATTGCCACCACCACCACCATAATTATCATCATCATCATCACCACCATCATCATCATCATCATCATCATCATCATCATCATCATCCTGTCTCTCCCATTCTGCATTATATTGTTTTCTTTTACTTTCAAATGGACTTTTTTGACAGGTTGTGTATGATGTTCGATGCAAAGATATTGAAATCCTCAAATGTTGGTTGGCCAATATACATGCACAGGCTCCAGACTGCCCCATCCTTGTAGTTGGCACTCATAAAGATCTCATTTCTGAGGGTACTACATGATTTTCTTTTTCCCTATTCATTTGAAAGATAAAGTCATTTTCTACTATTAATTGCATTGAATGCAGATTAAGTTTATTTGTTGGGAAATAGCAGGCAGGCATGGTTAGCTTGAATGGAGACAAAACACTAAGAGAAAATCTAAAAACATAAATTGAAGAAAAAGTTGGGTGTAGTTTTGCCCAGCCACTTGAATTTATTTTTCAAAAATAATCAGTACAAGTTAAGTAATGTGGTCCCTCTTACAAAATTATTCATAGTGTTGAATAATTATTGAATTATTGCAGTATTGATTGACTTTCACATCTTATGCAGTTATAACAATAAGTTGAACAGCTTAACAACATTGTCAGCATTCCTGTTTGTATTCTAACAATTGATGTACCTGAAGTCATCAATTATTCAATTAACCTTGTAGGCATTGACTCAGTTAATTATATTGACCTATCATCATCTGTAGTATAACAATAAACTACACCCAGCAGCATGGTCTCTGATTGAGAGGTTTTGAGGAGCATGGAACCACCTCTTAGTTGCTGTTGTTCCCAGGTCTACCCTGGCCCAGGGTGGGTCCCAACTATGGGCAAATAGTTAGCCCCCAAATTGGGTTCAAAACATAATGAAAGTATAAAAACACATTTTTTTAGTATAAAAACACATTTTTATCATAAAATTACCAGGAATACATTTTCATAGTAAAAAATATTATCAGCGATACATTTTTGTAAAAGAAATTACTAATGTTCCCAAGAAAATTATATTTCAGCATTAAATGACCCATGAGGAGTTGATATGCCACTAAACAAATGTAATGATCTAGTTCATTGTACCCTAACCCAGTGCTGATTTTGACAATATATTGTTGTGCCTTTCTTTATGAGTAAGGGGAATATGATGTCTTAAATACATGAATAATTTCTGCTTGGAAGTTTGAGACTACAATCAGCATGAGATATAAAGATAAAAACAATATGACTCACTCTGTAGGAAGAATTGCAGCTCTTAACTTGTAGCAAGATTTTCCATTTTAAAATTTTCTGAGGGGGTAAAAATTAGACATTGACTTTGTGTATTGGAAAGAAGTCTAATTAACAAAAAGAAAGAAAGAAAGTAGCTTGAATAAGAATAAATTGATAAATGAAACAAAATCACTCCCCCTTTAAAGTTAGATTGTTTCCATCATTGTCCTAAAAAGGAATTTTGATGCATTTATTTATTGCAATGATTTTTGTTTCAATTTCTCTTGAATCAATGTGTGCACATATTTAAAAATAACTATTTGAATTGAATTGATTGATTAGCACAAATAAAAACTTTTATGTGTTATTTTGTATATAACATGTTTTCTCAAGTGTTATCCTAAAACAGTTCCTGACAAATGATGTAATAAAACAGTTCCTGGCAAAAGATATCATAAAACACTTCCTGAGAAATCATATCATAAAACAGTTCCTGAGAAATCATATCAGAAAACAGTTCCTGAGAAATCATATCAGAATCAGTTCCTGAGAAATCATATCAGAAAAAAAAGTTGCTGACAAATATCATAAAACAGTTCCTGACAAAAGATATCATAAAATATTGCTTGATAAAAGATATCATAAAACAGTTCCTGATAAGTGATATCATAAAACAGTTCTTTAATATTTTTTTTATTTTTTTTTTCACTTTTTAATTTTTTTTTTTAACTTTGGGCTGTAGAATCAATCTTTCATATTTATTTTTTTAGTCATTGATGTTGGAGAGACTTTCTTCATTCATTATGGCACAAAGGAACACAAAAGGACAACAGAAAATTGATTAATGCTGATCTTGGGATCTTTCAGCCAAAAGCACTTTTGCAAATCGTCCCTTTGTTACATAAACAAACAATATAGAAGTACCACAATCTTTGCTTTCTTGTGCCAACACTAAAAAAAGCAACTGTTTAAATGTACTGAGTTAAAAGGTTTTAGAGAAAGAAGAGGGAAGTAGGCATCAGTGATCAAAGACTTCATTGCTTGCACATCTTGTTTAACTGAGCTTTTTATGAATCTGGTACACATTATATATATATGCCTGGATGAGTGGGTAGAATATTAGTGTTCCAACCATGAAACCAGGGTTCAAATCTCACCATGGTCAATTGGTCAAGGCTATTTTTTTGAGAATATAAGCCTGAGTTAATTTTCCCATTGTAACTAGTAAAAAAATTATTAAAAAATTATAAGCAAAATTATGTGATTATTCAAAACAAAGTCACATGTATAATTGTTTTTCAGATGGAAATACTTTGAAGAAGATAAAGAGTGATATTAAAGCTCTCCAAATAAAACCAGGTAAAAGAGTTTATAACTTCACTGTCTTCTAATTCGGCCAATCACATTTATATATATCCAGTTTAAATTTTCTGAATATTTGTTGGGTTACACTGACTTTTATGAACTACTTTTTAACTTGCTTTGAATATCACAGAAACTAGTTGTGCAACTTGATGTAACTTAGAATATTACTGGGCCTGCATGAACAGTACTCACTAAATCAGTAGTGAAATGCGATTGAATGAGTTTATGTACAATGTAACAGTCTCATTCACAATGACCTTGTAAGTATCAGGTTATGATAAGCATTCTGTCCTATTTTATTGTGTATATTAAAAATGAAGATACTAATGTTTATAGAAATATTTAATCATCAATATAACCTCCATTGCTTCCTAGAACTTCATTCCACCTGTCAACAAGTTTAAAGTGACACATTTGTAAACGTTACTGATAAGGTGTTAATCAGAAAGAGCAAGATCGATGAACCTGTTTAGGTTTTGATGTAAAATACAACACCAACTCATGTTCAACCTGTTCTCTTGATGTCAAACATAGGATGTCCAAATGGTTCTACAAACATCTAAACAGGTGTTAGTCAGAAAGAGCAAGATCTATGGAGGATGAAGCATTTTTTCCCAACTGAACTCCTCCAAGCAATCTTTAGCCAACTGACTATTGTGAGGACAAATAGAGGATTACTCCCTTTCTGTTAACTAAGGATGGCTATTGTCTGTCCAAAGCTGCTTTCAAGTGACAAAGTTGTTGGCATCAGAGATCAGCATTGATTGTTTGATTATTGTCTAACAATTTATAATGGATGATTCCTGAATATCCCACCATGCATTCAACATGAACTTTTTGAATGAAGTTCTCCTCTTGGTTACTGAGTAAATCTGTTTCCTCAACTGACCCACTAATGACAATTCTTTCAAGTGACATCTATTTCTGGATCCTTTCAAAGGATCCATCTCTGATCACCAGTAACAAGCCTGTCTGAAAAGGACAATTGAAGTTATCATGTAATGACTGAAATCTTTCCAACCCTTTTCAATCTGTGTAGGACTGTCATACAACTAACATTAAATCTTGCACTGAGTTCCCTAGCCAAAGTAGTAACTAGCTTCCAAATCCTCTGAATCAAGTGCTTTTGGATTACCCTCCCTTGGTTTGTCCTCTAAACTAAAATTCTAGTTTTGGAATCGATTAACCAACTCCTGCAATTTCCTTCACTCCATAGGTATGCTGGATGAATTTGGTTGATAGCTTCATGAAACCAATTGGTCACAACATTTCACATATATTCTTTAGTTGAGATGAACATAGAGGCAAATTCCAAACTATATTATGAATGATACTTTTTATAATAGGAAAGAAAAAACATAGATTATCCATAATAGCATTACTAAACGACATAAAAAAGGCAATACTTTAATAAATTTTGTTCAACATTTTCACTGGACAAAACAATGATGTCCTCTACAGGGCATTTTTGTAGTAAATCACCCAGATTTGTTTGAACTCACCCTCTGCAATCCAAATATGGCTCTCAGCAACTTCTGTTTATTGCTATTAAAAGTGGGAAGATTTTAAATCATGAACAACATTAGTGAGAATGTAATAAGGTAGTTGATAGCAATCCAAAAAAAGGACTGTATTGAAGAGTGTAGATGATGCTGAAATCTGTGTGTGTTCTAAAGAGTAAACCTTTGAAGGAGGACAAAGCTGTCATTGCCCTAATTTTGCTGTTTTTTTAAATATTAACTAGTTGGAGGATTTATCGGTATTGCCCCCAGGAAATTATAAGTTTTCATTTATTAGTAATGTTTGTTAATATATTGTATATATTTTATTTTCACAGATTTTCCTGTCATCCATGATGTAATACTAGTTGATTCTCGAAATGAAAACAAAGACATTTCTCATCTTAGGAGAGTAATCAAACAAGTTATTGACAAGTAAATATGAATTTATCTTTTTTTGCAACTGTAAAAACATATAATTCCAGTTCAAGTTTTTCAAATCTCTGTATGCATGTTATCTGTTTTGTTTCCACATGGTACATGTAGTAAATAACTACAATGTCTAATATTCATGTTTTATTTAATTTCTTCATTTAATTTTTGCTGTATTTCATTAATACATTCATAGCTTATCAAGCCAGAAATCAAGAAATCCTTGAGGTCTCTTCCATGATGATTTCGGCTACTCATAAGTGTCATGTAAGCAAGCCTCTCAAACAACATCCATAGAACATATCCCAATCATTCATGCCTTCTACATTATGTCAGAATTTATTATGCAAGTCAATTTATTTGCAATAAAATTGATATTAACCAACCGCTGTTAGTAGAACTTCCAGATATATGAGCAATACATCTTTTGAGCTTATAATATCTATCATTATTAAAATTATTGATAACTTATTTTGAAGATCTTAGGTTTTAATATGCAAATATGCACAATATCCTATCTATGTGAATAAATCACTATTCTGTTATTTTACATGTTAAAATGGGGTCCTTAACATTCTATAACTTTTATTAGTCATCATTGTTTTGCTAAATTTTGTAATTTTCATTTTAACATTACTTGCAGCATATTTTATTACTTCTCAGCAAGGATTACGGCCACATCATGTTGAAACACCAACTCCCATACAAACACTGAAGTTAAGCAACATTGAGCCTTGTCAATACCTAGATGAATAACCACTTGCAAATACCAGGTGCTGTAAACTTGGATATGCAGGTGGTGTAATGCATAATGATGCAGAATTGTTAATTAGAGAGCTGAGTTCCAATTACTGTTGGGTTTGTTATAATATGTGCAAATACCCTTGAGAAATGTGTGAATCCACCTTTTCTCCCCTGCCTATAGGTTAATTAGTAAAACTAAATCATATTTATCTCAAAAGAAAATCCTACAATCTGAAATTATTTCCTGGCTTTAAATAACCTGCAAAGGGTTGATAAGCCATAAAAAATGAATTAAAAAACTTCCCAGTGATCATCTTTTCTTAAATATTTCTTTTTATTCTCATCTACATCTCTTTTAATGATGTACAGTTAGATCTATATTGGAGATGCTGAGACCATTCTATTAATTTAGTGTCTTTGAAATCATTTTTGGCATTGGCAAGGTGGGTAGTCCAACTTTGCATTATTTTGAATGAATATACTTATAACTGTGGCTGTTATCATTAACAAGAAAAAAGAAGTAGAAGTGACAAAACAAAAAATAAGATGTGATTGAAATAAGTAAAAGAATTTTTATTCTCCATAATTTATAAAGTTTGATCATTTGCTTGTTTTGGGGTAGACTGAGAGTTTGTTCAGGATATAACATAAGGTAATAATCAAGATAGAAATGTGTAGAAAATCAACACATATAGTCAAGTGAGATAGACATGTGAGAGAATTGTTGTGAGTCAGATTCTGCTGCTGCAGGTTTTGTTGCTGACCAAAGGCATTGCTGTTGATGGGATGTACCTTGGTATTGCTGCTGATAGCCTGAGTGATCTTGTAGTCTACCATATCATGGGGATTCATTGCTAATACTAGCCAGGTCAGATCTGTCTTTATGTGTAAAATCAGTCAGTGGCTCAGCAACAGCTGTTATGAAAACCACATGGGTTTTTTTTTCTGATTAGTTAGGAAAGATGTTTTATGACTTTGGTATTTTGTGAGGAACAGTATTCCTGAAGTGGATATGTGGAGCTGGATGAAAAGTCTGTTTTTGTCATATAAGCTCTGGTTGTCAAAGTGAGCACATCCATTTAATAATTGAAGTACCAAATGTGTATGATGTACTTTTTAGCTTGAAGCTGTACCACTCAAAAACATCTTACAATAATTCTCTGCATTTATTTTAATCATTAATTTTGAAGAGATCTATAATTTTATTTGCTATAATATGAGCCCAAAACATTACACCACATCCCCACATGTTATCATCTTTTTTACTTACTTTCTCACAGACAATTTATAAAACTACTGTAAAACCAAATTTCTCTTTACAGTTGCATGTTATAGTTTATCTAAAAGTTTAAGATATGTATATCTTTTTATTTTAGCTACAAAGTCCGTGGTCAACATGTAATGGGGCAAAAAATACCCGCCACTTATATAGTAAGTTTTTATGAATGATTTTTTTTAAAAACAGTTTTATATGCTTATTCCTACAGAATACTTGTGGGGTCTTGAGAGGGCCATAACCATACCAAGTGTTTCAAGATGGCAACTACTACCGAGGTTTGACTTCTAAACTCTCAACTATCAAGTTGAAACAGACTTTCTCCTGACTGCTTCCAAGATCTGACTTATAAACAAACTTTTGCTATCAGTCTATATTTCTGAGATGAGGTATTATGTACACTATTTACATTGTTCGGACTATTGTCCTCATCTTTGTCGCGATATTTATTACAACGTTTCAGCCGTTCAGTATCTGTCTATATTTCTGAGATGAGGTATTATGTACACTATTTACATTATTCGGACTATTGTCCTCATCATTGTCGCCATATTTATTACAACATTTCGGCCCTTCAGTATCTGTCTATATTTCTGAGATGAGGTATTTTGTACACTATTTACATTATTCAGACTATTGTCCTTATCTTTGTCGCCATATTTATTACAACATTTCGGCTGTTGCACGCTCCGACCTTCTTCAGGTGGTTGGACACATGACACAATGGATAATGTCTTTAGTTAGATCAGTGACAAGACCCAAAGATTGTGAGTTCAATACCTGGTTATGGCAGTGGAGAACTTGGAGATAACTGATAACTGACATCCATTAAACATGGCACATGGAACTAGAACAGTCTACCCCAGTGAGTGAAATAAAGGGTTCAGTTTGACATTCCAACCACCTGAAGAAGGCCAGAGCATACAACGGCCAAAACGTTGTAATAAATATGGCAACAAAGATGAGGACAATAGTCCAAATAATGTAAACTTTTGCTGCTCCAAATTACAAAGGACTCATCCCAATCTAAATCGAATAAATAAAAATATATTATTTATTTATACCTTATACCCAGTTCATTTTATTTCCAAAGTTACAATAAATAATACTCACACTGGTGACCTCCTGACATGATGCATAAATCTTTTTCATGCAAGGGGTTACAGAGAGTGAGAGCAAGAGTAAAGAGAGGTGTTTGTGGAAAGGATGTAGAGAAGGACGGGAATCAGGATCAAGACATCAGAAGATGTCGATTGTCATTACATTTGAATATTTGAAGATTATAGCTATCAGTGAAGCAAGTAAGAGGAAGGGAGTTCCATTGTCAGGGAGTGTGAGATAAGAAGCTGTTGGAGTAGAAGAGATGGCTACATTTAACCGTTTCGACAGTGAAAGAATGGGATCGAGATGCCAAACTAGTAGCATGCTTAAATTCATGCAGTTTGGGTACCAGTGAAAGTAGCTTGTCGGAGCAGTTACCATGAAAATACTTGTAGAAGAGACAGAGGGAAGCCACAGCACATCTGTGAGAAAGTGACTGTAGATGAGATGCCAGATCAGGACCTATCACATTGCATATCTGTTGTGGTAAACCCTCCTACAGTAGAATGAACTCTTCCTCCACTCATAAATACTAACTGTGAGACTTCCTAGGGCCGTCATTAGGCAGTCATTGAGCAATTGTTGGGCAGCTGAGACGGAGTGTAACCTGATCATTGGACGGACATTTCTATCTGCTTATTACTAACACACTTGCTTTGTATATACCTGTTATTTCAATACAATTGTTCAACCTACCTTAATCTCCCGTGTCTTTCTTTTCTGGCCCCTAAACAGGCCATAACAATATCCGTCTCTGGATTTTGCTGAGGACTTCATGATGAACCGCGGGGGCGCCAGACCATATATGGCAACAGTGTTCAATGTAAAGATGAGTGGTTGATTTTTAGATTTGAAGGATGGACTCTGGTGAGAAAAACCTTCTGGTGTGACATAGAGAACCAACTTTCCTTGTGGTAGATGAAGCTATTGATTCAATGTAGTTGTTCCTCTTCAGACAATATCATTCTATACTATAAGCAAAACCAGTACAAGCCTGGAAAATAGAATCAGAGAAACAAGTTCAAATTTGGGCTAAGGCTACTCGTATTCATTTCATTCTAATTTCTGGACAAAGGCATGAATCAACTTCTCCCTACAATCTGTAACATCATCAGATATCTTCATAAAATGTCTTGTCACAATGACTTGACCACTTGACCAAGTATTGATTTCTATTAACAGAAATCAATACTTGGTCAAGTTCCAGCTATCACACAGCAAACTGAGATGAAACACATTCGAACAGGATTTTATATACTACTGACTATGAATGTTAAAACATTTCTGCTATTAATGACACTACATAGAACTTATCAATCAACCCTCATATTATATTTATCGGTCACTGTATATAAATATATTTCATATTTTTCAAAATTAATAATGGTTGACAGTGATTCATTTAATAAAAATTAAATCAGTGAATGTAGAGTCTTTGAAAATATTTGATGATTCATTCAAATTCCTTCTCTGATTAATTAAAATTGACACCTTTGGGAAAATTTTTTACAGAAATTGGCCAAATTGGTTTCCAATAAAGCTGCCTCTCTGAAAAATGAATATCCAGTTTTAACACGAAAAGAAATGTTGGCTTTACTGAAACACAATCAACTGAATATGACATCTGCAGAATTTAATCAGGTATGTGCCTAACATTTGGTTTATTTTCAATTTTCTTTTTTTGCATTGTATGAATATGATGACCAATGCAAAGAGTTTACTTTTGACATTTCTTTTTTATATTTGTGATACTGAACAAATTTCTTTCAGTGTAGTTATTTATTTAGTTTCATTTGGCCTATGTATAGAGCACCCAGTGAGGATTGTACTCACTATACTAAAAAGGGTCTGTGAGACTAGTTTTTTAACATCTACTCCACACAAGATACCTTTGTTGCATCCATAAAAAAATAAATAAATAAAAATTAATTATAATTTAAAAAATAATTATAATAAAATAATTATATACAATTATAATTATTATTGATTCACTCATTCTAAAGCAATGAGAATTGAGCCCACTTTTCTCATCTACACACACAAACACGTGTCATTCTTACTGTTGAACAGGCAGTCAACATGGATGGGCTGTCAACTTGTGTGTCAATAAACATTTGGGCTCCTTTTCCTTTTTCAGACCATAATAATAACATATCTCTTAACACTCAATAAAAATTCAAAGTAAGAAAACCTCCATGGATTTCTTGTATTTTTCAACTAAATTATCTGAACACTCATTACATATATCCATAAAAACATATAAAAAAGACTATATACACTTTACTTATTTTAAGACATTTTTTTATGTTTATACATTCTTTTTATAGATAAAATAATTGTTGGACTTTGCCCATTTCATAATGTGTGTTGTCACTTTACTTATTCTTTATCTTATCCTTCTGTTGGATTCCAATCCATATTTGATTTACATTTGACTCAAAACTCACAATTTTACTCAGTATTACTGTCTCTCATGTCCCCAACACCACATAACAGTCAGAAAATAAATAATAAACATTTTGTTGTTTCCACGTCTTGCTGTCTCTCATTTTTACAATTATTTTTGTATATATAAATATTAGAGGGTTTATAATTATTTACTCAGAGTTATTACTCTCCTAGACCTTCATTAGTTACTTACTTTAGTTTAGTCTGTCACAAAAATACAATTGTGAGGCACCTAATGAGAACTACTATAGTAATAAAGGTCTCCATGACTAGCATTGTAGCCAACACTGACCACTGTTTCTTTTGTTGTAATTTAATTCAATGTGTAAGTATCAATTTCCCATCAAGAAAACACTGATATCATTTTGAGAAATCTGAAGCTGCTAAACTTGAAATAGATAAACTCTTATCTGGAGTTTCAGCATCTTTTATCTATCTAATCTTTTCCAAATGCATTTGTTACCTATTCAATCAACCAGTCAAGCAACCTTTTACTCCATCTGTTATCATTTCTTCTTGCTATGTGTCCCACCTGCACCCACCACCATTTTTTATACTTCTTTATTTTTAGATCTCTTTGTCTCTTCCCTGATCAATACCAACCTCTTTCTGTTATCCTTAGCATTGATCAATTGATCTTACATATTTTTCAGTTTGTTTTCAAGTGATTTTATTAATTTTCATGTTTTACACTGATATCCAAATAATTTTTTAGTGGATCACCATTCCTACCCAATTGTGTTTGTATTTCTTCTGAGCTCATTGGCTACATTCACTTATTATTTAAATTTTTATCCCTGTCTGTGCAGAATTCACATTTTCTTATTTCTTCTTTTATTTACATTCTTCTGGTACTGCTAGATTGTGTTACTCAATAAAACCAGATAGATATTTACTTGACTAACTGAGTCAGGTTGTGACACAAGGTCAGTTTTTAATGTGGAGACCTAAGTGTTTTCACTCGGGTCGCTGGTCTAAGCTGGTCTTAGCTGGTCATAGCTTGTCCAAGCTGGTCATAGCTGGTCTAAGCTAGTTGTAGCCATGATACCATCAGCACAATTGTTTCTAGATTGTATTTTTAAAACATCTAGAATTATTACAAGTTTATTATATATTAGTATTTAAATATATTCTTCCACTATTAAGTGAGTAATTCTAGTTTATTACCAAAAAAAGAAAATAGAAACCCACTGACAAAATTTATGCCCAGAGAAAATATATTAATAATAATTTATTCATTTAATTTTCTTAAGTTTTAATTAATGATTTTAACTCACTTCCAACCACTTGCTTTTCCCGTCAAAACCATTGTATCTTAGTGATGTCATTACCTTGTTTGTTGTGGAATGATTAAAAAAAGGCCTTTCCATTATCATAAGATTTTCACATGTTAATTATTAGATATTTATTTTTCATTTTATGATATTGTAATCTACTCCTTTTACATAAATAATATGCAAATATGCCCTGATCTCATAAAATAGGTAAGGAAATCTTCATAATGCAAGAAGATAAGAGAGTTAGCCTTTCTTACAGTTTGATTTTTGTGGATTTTTAAAAAAATAATGTATCAGATTCTTATTGGCAATCTGACCTTTGTATTTAAACTCTTACTTTGCCATGCAGTGATGTTGAAAAGACTTCTGTCTTTTTTACAAATACTTTCACGGTAACTGCTCCAATGAGCTACTTTCACTGGTTCCCAGACTTCGTGAATTTAAGTGTTCTACTAGGCTGGCGTCTCGCTCTCACCCTTTCACTGTCGAAACTGTTAAATGTAGCCATCTCTTCTACTCCAATAGCTTCATGTCTCGCACTTCTCGCCTGTGGAACTCCCTCTCCATTTCTTGTTTTCCTGATAACTATAATTTCCAACTATTTAAATGTAATGTCAATCAACGTCTCCAGATGCTCTGATCTATCCCCTAACTGTCTCTTCATCCTTTCCTCTATCACTCATCTTTGTTCTCACTCCTACTCTGAAACCCCTTGCATGCTAGTGGCCTCCCACCTTGCTTGGGGTTGAATGCTTTAAAAAAAATAAAATAAAATGCAGGGAGATTGAAAGACTGTCATCTTTTCAAATACCCTCTTATTCCATGAACCAATCTCTGATCAGTAGAGCAAAGAGACATCACAGTAAAGATACAGGAACTTCTAAAAAAGGACTCTTATTCTTGTGTAATCAGAAGCTGCTAACCAGAAGATATAGTAACATAACATTTTTCAAACAATCTCTCTCTTTGAAACAAATAGCAGAAATAGAGCAGAATAAAATACATGGTAAAAATCAGAGCTCTCTATGATTGCCAGATTTTCTCCTGCTGCTATAGCAAAAAAAAACACGTCTCTCCCACACAGAACTTGCTTGTCATGAAAGAAGCTTCAACAGAAGTGGAACATCCTCCTAAATATTTGTTTTTTTAAGCCAAGCTAGCAACTGTTAATATTTCAAAAGGTAATCATTGATGCTAATTAGTAACACTTATTTATACAAATGTATTCTAGAATGAAAATCTCCATAGTAAGTTATCTTGTTTCAGAAGATAAAATTTAAAATAAAAGCCACTGTTGGATTTATATTTAAACAATTTTTATATTTGCTTCTTAAATTAAAATAATGTTCTGTTCTTGCAGGCCATTCAATTCTTCAATGAGATGGGTGTACTTCGTCACTTTGATGAAGCCTCAAACCAGCTAAAAGATCTTTATTTCATTGACCCTGCATGGTTGTGTCACATGTTAGCCCAGGTGGCCACTGTTGAAGAAATCAACCCCTACATAAGCAAATCAGGTGTAAGTATTAAACATATGTACAATCGTCTTTTCTTGATGATTTCTATTACTTTAACCCAAATGCCTATTCTTGGATCTAGTCTTTATATTTACAGCTATTTTCTTATTCAAATGACACATTGCCATGGTTTTTATTACTTCACAATGGGAACATGGCTGAAAGGTTAGAATGTTTGCTTTCCAGTTAGGAGAACCAGGTTCAAATCTCACCATGGTTGATGTGTCAGAAAAATGACTTCTTAATATTATCAGCCTGTAGGTGATCCTAGCATGTGAGACCTTTGGAAAATTCCTGAAAACCATACCATGAGTAGACTCAAGCCTTGTGAGTGAAAAAGGGAGCCATTGGTGGTTGAGCTAGCACAAAGTCACAAGTCATCGTGACTGAGGTTTTGAGCATACTGTTCAAACTGTTGATCATGACAGAAAATGTGCTCTCTCCAAGAAACTGTGACTAAGAACCACTCAGCATAGTTGCAGTATAAACCACAGGTGGGATCTGTGTGTGTTGAGCAAACACAAATGTGCCTGAGCACACGTCTGCAATAGGGATTGGTTAGCCGCCCTAGCAGACAGGCATACTCAGATATGAGCATCCAGACATTACTTATTACTTTGCACAGCATCTATCTTCAGTAATATTATCTGTTCTATTATATTATCATATAATAGAAGTTGAGATTCTGTTTAAAGATTTAAAAAGTTAGTATTCCTGTCCAAAGGATATGCATGTAATGTAATGGCTCTCAGCATAAAAAATGAAGTCAGCATGTAGGGTTCAAATTCTGACATAGGAAAGGGCATGAATCTATTTATTTCCTGCTTAGTTATAGGTTAAATGGCAGGGGAGACTGGGTTTTCTTGCTTTGGGTGTAGCAGCCAGTTTAGGAAGACAACTCTGAATTTAAAACTGTTAAGAAGGCAACAGGGAATCCCTCCATTATCTTTACTAAAATGACATTCCAATTCACAGATAATAAACAAAAGAAATATTTGGAATGTCCTAATTACTTATAACCTGAAGCATTAAAAAAATTCCTATTCATAACTTGATAAATTAAGACACTGTTTTTTCTATCCATTCCCATGTCTATGAGAATGATTTTCACTTGTGACATCTGTATAGCTCTTTGACTGATCATAAATCCAAGTTATTTACTGGGAGAGAAATCATACAAATCACATGTATTACAAAAGTCAGATTTAAATGTACTAAAAAGATTTCTCGTTAGTAAATAGGCTGTAAAATAGTTGCTATATTTATAATAAACCTTCATGAAAAATATGTATATATCAGATTACAAATAGCATCATCATCATCCCCACCATCACTCATTATTGCTAGTACCCTGCAGAACAAAAACCTTTACCAAATCCGTCTGTAATTGTGCTTAATCTCTGCCATGTTTGTTTAATCCTAATGTGTTTATTAGCCATTCAAACAACCAGTTAAGCAACCTTTTACTCCATCTGTTATCACTTCTTCTTGCTATGTGTCCTACCTGAACCCACTTCCATTTTTTATGTTTAATTCCATTCTTTCCTTAATTATGAGCTACTTGCACATTTCCATGTGGATAACCATTCCTATCCACATGTTTTTTCATTTAAATTTACTACATTTACATTTTGCTACATTCATTTGCTACATTCACATTTGCTACATTCATTTGCTCCATTCACTAATGATTTAAAGTTTTCTCTCTGTCTCTGCAAAATTCACATTTTAGTATCTCTTGTATAATTTGTTTTTGATATAGTACAGCTGGATTGCCTTAGTCAGTTATGTGCCATACATGATACATTCTTAGGCGATCATCATCTTTCAATACATGACTGACATGGCAGATTTTTTCCCCACAGTAGGTTGCCATTTCTTTCTGTGGTAGACCAGTTGCCATCCAAGGCTATAGAACTCGGTTTGTCTTGCTATTTACCCATAGCTGGGGGGGAAGAAGAAGAGGATTCATACCTTTCCCAACAGTATCAGCCCATAAGTGAATGTATTGGATTCAACTAAAATTCGAACTTGGCTCTCCCATTCCTCAATTCGAGCTGCTATCCATTACTCCACCATGCCTCCTTCTACCATACCATTGTATTACTAATCATTTCATTTCCTTTTGTAAATGGTCTCTGCATTGACCATGTTTAGCTCATTTCATCTACAATTCCTTTTGTTGGTTTCAAATTTTTTATTAATTATAATTATTTTCATGCTTTTATTTTTTTTTTAGATCATGAAAAAGAAGGACTTGCAATTGTTATTTACTGGGAAATGTGCTGATTCAGAGAAGACTTACATTTTTCCACCAAGCAAAATCCCCCAGTTTCTTAAACTGTTGGAAAAGTAAGATCATTTATTCATTATTTTATATACAATTGTGGGGTTTGGGCTTGTAAAATTCGTCTGCTCCTATATATAGAGATTGGTCACATGATGTTAAGTGGTTAATAAAATGTTTATGTTAATTGTTGTACTCATGTTTAAGTGTAAATAAATATCTTTATTACATTTTGATAAAGCATTCTTCTTATTTGTGTCAGTTCAAAAGTAAAGTGGGGCTAGCACAATACAATCATAATTCCTTCACTTTAAAGGACAAGAAATTCCCTGCAAGCCTTTACAAAGAAATCATTGAGAAATTCTTGTTTTAACACTTGAAATTATCATTTATATGTAAGTTCTTAAGTTGGAGTTCACCAATTTAGTGATGAGGTGATTACCAATCCTAGAGTAGAAGGTAGCAACCAATATGATTTTGTTTGTATTGAATATGATAAGTAATGATGATAAGTAATAATGCTTGCATTTATACTCTTGAGTCTAATCTTGATCTAACGTAATAAAGCAAGAGTAAATTTATTATCATTATTTAAACATTTTTTTACAGGATTCAATATAACAACTTGAATCATGTCCATGTAGGTTTGTGCATATTTCAGTTCAACACAATATGAGATAAAGCTTTTGGTTGAGTCAGTATGAATGAAAACTCATTAGTAGTTCAGCATGATACATAAAAATTATGCTAGAATTGATTTTGTATTCATTTTCACACCAGACCAAGGAAAGTGCAGGTTTGTTCTGAGGTTAATCCTGGCCAATGTTATAATAAGCGTTTGATTGTGAAAGGATGAGTTTTTAACAACATGTATTTGTTTAATATACATCAAAATTAATATATATCAAAATTTGCCAAGGTAACTGCATTAACAACAAGAAAGTCACTTGTTTGGCTTGCGGAGTAGCTTGCTTGTTTGCAAAGTCGAATTTGTTGAGGTGACAGCATTGGTGATGAGGAAGGCTTGTAGCTGGGTGGTGTGGATGTTGAGATGTTATCAATCGTGACAGCTGGCATCAGGAACCTGGTGGTGTCAAAGCTGAATATTCGGCTGCTGTAGTGAATCAGGTTGCCTAGGTGACAGTATTGATGTTGAGGAATGCTTGTCACTAGGTCATGTCAAGGCTGGTCTCTTTTATTTTGATGTGTGAAGAGTCAGATGATTAGTCAAGCCTGGGATTGGTAATGGTCATGTTGAGAGGAGCACTCATGGTGGTGGTGGTGGTGGTGTCAGCAGCAGTGCCCTGTGTGTCGGTAGGTGGTCTGATGGCCCACAACTGGTTTGTGGTCATTATGGGAGACATAAAGTGGAAAAACTAAGTTGAATACATTGCTTAGTCAGTTGCTAAGAAAGTTGGTTCACTGTGTAATGCTAGACATTTTTTTCTCTCTACAATCAATATAACATATATATAAGTCTACCATTCGTACATTTATTGCTATCCATCCTAAGGAATATTGATGTTTTCATTCATGGATCCATCTTTTCAACAGCTAACTCATGATCCATTGGCATGGTGGAGTTCAGGACAGTTGGTGGAGAATCAGTTTCAATTAAGTTATACCAAGTTGCTCAAAATACAATGAGTATTGTCCACTTTTATTTCAGTATAGCCTATACAGTCTTATACTGCAGAGCTAAATGCGCTATATCCATAAAAGTGTCACCCGGGTGGACTGACAACACCCCACTACCACCATCACTACCTCTAGCTATGCTACTGGACCAATCTTTAATGTAAGGAATGCATTTCTTGCACTTCTCAACATGTGTATGGCAAATCGGTTTGAATTTTTCTTCTTTTACATTGGATGTTACCTATGGCTATAGAGCACCGTCTGTCTTTCTTTTTAATCAATAGCTTGAGAAGAACTAAATATGGATTCTTGCCTTTCCCTAGGACATTAGTGCTAAGTGAATGAAACAGACTAGCCCAAAATTTAAACTTTGCTCACTGATTGCACTTTCCACATTGATTTCCATTATACACATCCTTCTCTCTTTTAACGAACTGTGTAACAGACATGATTTCAAAGTCAATAATCATATCATCAATAACAAATTGCATTTCTCTTTATTGATTTACAGAATAAAAATATGTACTACTTATTGCGCTTTTGTTGAAACTTATAGAATTAACCAAAACTGAATGATACTGAATTTTTTCTTCATTACACATATTATTTTTTTTATTTATTTAGATTTGAAATTGCTCTTCCTCAGAATGATGAAGAACTTCTAATTCCATTTCGACTGCCAATCTCCCATCCAGATGTGTCAATTCCAAACTGTGAGTTTGTATATTAGTATCTTATAATTAACATTTGCAATGTATTCAGTAGTATGCCTTGACCTCATAAAGTTGACAACAATGTACCACATCTATATTAAATATAGTCTGTTGAATACAAAGCCTGTCAAATCAATTCATAAAAATTTAAGAACACTTACATGCTGTTGTCTATAAATACATATAAAAGAACAACCAGCTAGCAAATTTTTCTCACCAGAGTTGATTCTTCAAATCTACAAATCAACCATTCACCCTTGCATGGAACATTGCTGCCATATATGGTCTGGTGCCACTTATGTTTGTCTCAAGCTTCTTGATGAGATCCAGAGATGGATATGCAACGTAATTGACCCTGATCTGGCATCTCATCTGCAGTCGATCTCTCACAGACGTGCCACCACCTCCCTCTGTCTTTTTTACAAATACTTTCATGGTAACTGCTCCGACGAGCTGCTTTTGCTGGTTCCCAGACTTCATGAATTCAAGCGTCCTACGAGGCTCTCACCCTTTCACTGTTGAAACTGTTAAATGTAGCCATGTCTTCTACTCCAATAGCTTCATGTCTTGCACTTCTCACCTGTGGAACTCCCTCCCCTCTTCCTGTTTCCCTGATAGCTGTAATCTCAAACTATTCAGATGTAATGTCAAACGACGTCTCCATGTGCCCTGATCTATACCCTATCCTTCTCTTCATCCTTTCCTCTGTCACTTCTAGCTCCAACGTTCTGTAACCCCTTGTGTGCTAGGGCTTCCTGCCTTGCTTTGGGTGAAACGCTTAAAAAAAAAACTTTGATAAATATCATTAATCATTTGGACAATCTATAATCACTGAAAATGTCACAGCTGTTTGTATACCTATGAAAAAAAAAGGTAAACTTGAACCTTCATGCTTAAAAATGAAGTATCAAAAGGACAGTTTCTTTTCCCTTGACACTGCTATTATTTTAACTACCTTCACCCCTCAGCAATGTTTATTGTTTTAAAAAGCAATGATTAGAATTGTAATAAACCCTAAACATATGATGGGAAAGTGTATTTATACATTTTCTTTGTTCTTAATAAAATTAAAATTATTATTTTTTATGTCTTGGCCACACAAGTACATAGCTTTTAAGTGACTTCCTTTAAGTACTGTGATTCACAAGTAATAATACTATAGAAGTTAATAACAATGCAAGTTAAACAATATAAAAGGTAATTGTAATATAGAAGTTAATAACAATGCAAGTTAAACAATATAAAAGGTAATTGTAATATAGAAGTTAATAACAATGCAAGTTAAACAATATAAAAGGTAATTGTAATATAGAAGTTAATAACAATGCAAGTTAAACAATATAAAAGGTAATTGTAATATAGAAGTTAATAACAATGCAAGTTAAACAATATAAAAGGTAATTGTAATATAGAAGTTAATAACAATGCAAAGACATATATACAGTGGATAAAGGCATTGGTTAGATCCAGTGACAGGAACCAAAAAAGTGTGAGTTCAATACCCAGTCAAGGCAGTGGAGAACTTTCGGAGGGAAATTAACAAGATATAACTGACATCCATTAAACATGCCATGGGGAACTAGAACAGTCTACCCCAGTGAGCGAAATAAAGGGTTCAGTTCGACATTCTAACCACCTGAAGAAGGCCAGAGGGTACAATGGCTGAAATGTTGTAATAAATATAGCGATAAAGATGAGGACAATAGTCCGAATAATGTAAATAATGTACATAATACCTCATCTCAGAAATATAGACAGATATTGAAGGTAATTGTAATATAGAAGTTAATAATAATACAAGTTAAACATAATATACAAGGTAATAATAACTCAAAGGAAAACTTGTTATCATTTGTCACCTCACTGTATTGTAGATACTGGTATCTTTAATAAATGCATTTCTCTGGGTATTTTTTTAATTATTTCTTTTAATCTTGCAGGCAATTGCATCAAGAGAATTTACCGAATGTTCTTTATCCCCATCGGCCTTTGGTCAAGATTAATCACCAAAATTCTTGCTTTCTCAAAAAAGAAGGTGAATATTTTTTACTTCTTTCACTTATTTTTCATCTTCATGTAGATATTCGCTTCCAAAAAAGTAATATAGCTGCTAAGTTGCAAGGGATTTACTGAGTATGAAAGAATATGAAAAAAAATACCATTAAGGTAAGAGAGTGATAAAAGAACAGGTAAGAAAACAGAAGATAATGATTGACATTGCATTTACATTTTCAGAGATCAAACTTGACTGGGAAGCAAGAAATGGGTTCCACAAGGGAGAAGTGTGAGAGAAGAAACTTACGATTACATCTAGCTGCAATTTCAACTGGAAGATGATGAGACCTTGCTGCCAATCTAGTAGTATGCTTAAATTCATAAAGTTTAGGTGCCATAGGGGAAAGTTTATCAAAAGAATTACCATGAAAGTATTTATACAAAAGGACAAGGAAGCACCATTATCTACATACTAGGATAGAATCTGAGGAAATGATTTATCAACCCAATATACAATAAAGTAATTTGAGTATCAGAACTCTATCAAGAAATAAATATTTTATCCAACCTTTGTCAGGGTCAACATTTGAGAAATGATTAGATTTAGTTGATGTCACCATTTAAGAATGTACTAATAATTATAAACAAGGTTTATAATAAATAAAACATTTTATTTAACAATTTAAGGAAGATTACAAGTGTTATGTTTTGCATAACTCTCTGCATAGTAGTAGTCATAGTACAGTTATCTGTGTCCTGAATAACAACCAGGTTTGCTAGGCATATTAACCTTATGTTCGCCAGTTATTCTCTATTTATACTTGTCTATCTAATTTGCGTATACAACAATGATACTACAACAAGGAAAGGGAAAAAGACCTTTTTGTGTGTGCAATGTTGAAAGTTTGTATTTGTTTCATGTAGGGATTATGGATGACTTATTGTGTAAATTGAAACTTGTTTCATAAAACAGCATGTTAGATTCATTGAGCAGATGTTATTCAATTCATTGTGCAGCTGATGGTTGACACATTGTGAAGCTGTTAGTTGATGCATTGAGCAAGTATTGTTCAAGTCACTGTGCAGTATATGTGTGACCTCTAACCAGCTGTTTCAAATTGCTTTTAAAACTGCTTTTAAGAATATTGTCCAGACAACATGTGGTGTGTTTTTATGTCTGACTGGCTGTCTAGAATTTCCTCTGCATGGGTGAAATGCTGTCTACATGGAGACAGTCTATGTGAGATGTTTGTCTGTTTCTATGGGCTGCTGCTGCTGCTGCTTATGAGCTGTGATATTTTCAAAAATGGTATTATTTTTGTGTGTGCTATACAATAAAATTTTTTATTTTTGTTAAATTAGGGATAATGTCCCAACAGATCTGTCAATCAAATGTCATGGAATTATTTATGTATAGATTGGCACCTCTCACTAACATCAAAGTGTTGCTCACCAGAACATCTACAAAGAATTAGAATGTAATATCTGTGTGCTCTTTAAAAGTATTGTGCAAAAGTACACACACACACACACACACACACACACACACACACACACACATATATATATATATATATATATATATATATATATAAAAGTGGACACTGAGGTCAACACCAAGCAATGACAGTCTGTTTTATGCTTGGATGCAATCTTCAGGTCTGAAGATTGTTTTCAAAAAATGAAACAGACTTGGTGTTGACCTCAGTGTCCACTTTTTTATATTTAAATGTGCTCTATCTCTGATGTTGAGCACTTTAACCCACAAATATAACATACCTTAAAACAATATTTTATCATATATATATATATATATATATATATATATATATATATATATATATTAACACATTTTTATGTCTATACATTCTTTTTATAGACACAAATATTTAAGTAAATGGTCTGTTTATAATAAACAGTATTAAACACCATTTACCGGCCTGAATGTCTGAGAAATTTTCATAGAAAATATTTGTCCTCCAACAGGAATCGAACATGTATCCTATACAGAGCCGTCATATAGCTTGACGTGCCTTTAGCCAATTGGGCCAAAGAGGAGTGTTTGGTTAGCAAAGTTGATTTACTGTCTTTAAACTACAATCTTCCATGATTCTCTCACGTACATTCATATCTGCTCATGGCATATCCAAATGTAAACAAATGACATCACACATTATGAAATGGACAAAGTCCTTAAATTATTTTAAGACATTTTTATGTTTATACATTCTTTTTATAGATACAAATATTTAAGTAAATGCTCTGTTTATAATAAACAGTATTAACGACATTTACCGGCCTGAATGTCTGAGAAATTTTCATAGTAGAGAGAGTGAGAAAGAGAAAGAGAGAAAATGCATTATGCATTTTGAACAATAGGAAATGTATTTTGGTCTTATCATTACAAAAGAAAATTATTAGAATATTGTAGACAAAATGGAAATAAAAAGGACCCTTATACTTAGCATCAAAAATAGTTGAAATTTCTAGAGCGCATAATGAAGAAAGAGGGTTGGAAAATTTAATACTCACAAGACAGACTTGAAAACAAGAGGAACAGGGGAAAACAAGGCATAACTTACTTATTGCGCTTGAATAAATAGATGGCAGAAAAGTGTTTAGAAGAGATAATGAAAAGACAAAATATATTAAGAACTAAAAAGGACAGGAAAATTGTAGAAAGCTAAGATTTCCAACATCCTAAAGCGAGTATCCTGTGCAGAGTAGGAAAATAATGATATAATAACCAAATTGTTGTTGAAGTGCATCAATTCAATATGATGATTTTCTGTTTTTTGTATATTTGCTTGCTTTATGTTTGTTTTGTTTTGTTTGAAACTGTCACCACATTGTAATGCAATTATTATGAGGAAAATACTATTTAGTTACTCAAGGAGATTAAAGCAATTTTCAGTTTAATCAGGCCAGTAGTTTCTAAATAACTTTTAAATAAGTGCAAATAAACAAAAAAAAAATATATGCCCAAGAAAGATAACTCTAGTTCTATTTACTATGAATTACAAAACCATTTCACTTAAGTTGCCTGTGTTCTCAGTAAGCTGTAGTAGTATACAAGTGAAAATAATTTAATCAAAATTAATTAATTAATTAATAATTAAATAGTGAGAATTAGAATCTGTACATAGTTATAATATAAATTCTATAAACAGGATATAACTTTACATCAAGCAGGTAGCATTTAAGTAAGTGTACAAATAATAAGTTAATTACTTACAAGATAACAGTTTTTATATTAGTTACTAGTGAGCTACTTGTAATGGATCAGCAGTAAATATGATAACTGATTATGCACCTATTACTAAAACACAATGTTTACTCTGTTTGCTTTATATTTTAATCATGAGAATGAAGGCAATCTTTTACATATTTGTTTTGAAAATATCCTACCTATGATATCATGGATGACATAAACAGCTGAAAATAATATAATCTCTAATATTTATTCTTTTATATTCTCTCTCTCTCTCTCTCTCTCTCTCTCACTCTCTCTCTCTCTCATCCTCCCTCCATCTTCTTTTTCTTCCACTTTCTCTTTTTCTTTCTTTGCAGACTATTTTGTCTATGAGTAATCCTAAGAGACTTGAATGTTATCGGCACGGGATATTTGCATACTGGTCCAAAGTAAGTATCAAACTAACTAATGTGTCTTTGTCTTAAAGAACGTACTGCAGTAATCTGCCAGGCAGAAATCCATATCTCTCAGTCAGTTAGGTCTGTGATTACTTCCTGGTACTAGGATTTTTATGTTATTTGGATTGATGTGAGGCACTGGCTAGTAATCAATCTTACTCCAAGAAATGCTATGAAGGTCATGACATAGCTTTAAAAACTATATTCTTCCAAGTGTAGACTTTAAAGTCACTTTCTCAATTATTGATTCTGTATATTCTATTCTAGCTATATTCTTTTAAGTATAGATTTTAATGGCTATAGTCTTTTAAGTATAGATTTTAATGGCTATATTCTTTTAAGTATAGATTTTAATGGCTATAGTCTTTTAAGTATAGATTTTAATGGCTATAGTCTTTTAAGTATAGATTTTAATGGCTATAGTCTTTTAAGTATAGATTTTAATGGCTATATTCTTTTAAGTATAGATTTTAATGGCTATAGTTTTTAAGTATAGATTTTAATGGCTATATTCTTTTTAAGTATAGATTTTAATGGCTATAGTCTTTTTAAGTATAGATTTTAATGGCTATAGTCTTTTAAGTATAGATTTTAATGGCTATAGTCTTTTAAGTATAGATTTTAATGGCTATAGTCTTTTAAGTATAGATTTTAATGGCTATAGTCTTTTAAGTATAGATTTTAATGGCTATAGTCTTTTAAACAGAGATGTTAATGGCTATTTGACTCAAGTTATAGACTATATTAGTTTATAGTTTTTTCAAAACAGACTTTCAAAGTAATTATTTATTTTTTATTAAGAAAAAACAATTATAAAACTGAAATTTTTAACCCATTCTTTATAAAGCAAGAACCACTTTTCATTATGGGTGAATTATATACAAATGTACCTTTAAATGATAGAAATGTATCTTTAACTACCATGACAACTTTTCTCAATGTTTTCAACCATGTTAAAAATCCTATTTTTGCTTTCTATCTAATCTTTTATTAATTTTCTTTTTTTATATAAAACAATTTGAAGATTTCAGTTTCTTGTTATTTCTCCATTCAGGACAAGTACTTCTACTTAAAAGAGGAGCACAAAAAGAATAATGAAATTGTCATCCAAGTACCAAACACCACCCAGGGTTGCAGGTAAGGGAGATAATAAGCTCAACACTAATATATGTTTACCAGTTTCTAATCATTTTTATTAATGGATTCAAGTGACATCTTGTTTTGACAAAAATGTTCTCAATTCTTAGTTGAAAAATAATCACAAAACATTTTTTAAATGAATAAATGTTTCAGATTATAATGTCGATCAAAAGATACTTGTATTATTTTATTTGAAATGCCTGTTTCCTTTCAAAAGTGAAGCCCTATTTCCAAATTTGAAAATGGCTGTTATTTTCTACAAATTTTAATCCTGTAGTTTACTAATTTTCTGACATTCTTGTAATCGAATCAAAATTTAATCAAAAAGTTTTATTCATATTGACTGTATTTCTCGCAATTCTAATCACTTAAAAAACAGGGAGTGTTTTGTTGAATAACCTTTGTAACGACCAAATCAGTTTGGGTCTGGCAATAAAACTTGAATCAATTTTTTGCCATTTTTTTAAAATGTCATGTCACTTCAGGATGTACACATGGCTCTCCACAGATTCATTTTTTTTTTTTTAATATCAGTAAATTACCATAACTTCTTGACAAAGATAGTAAAATGGTTTTCTGTTGCCTTTGAATTTAGTGCTACTCTTCTCATCAACAGGCTCAATCTACCCTGTTATTTAACTCATAGCTGGTGGGGAGAGGAAATGCCTTTCCCAAGAATACTTGTGCAAAAGTGAATGCAACAAACTAGGCTGGAATTTGAACATGGCTTAATGATTTCCACTTTCTGCATAGATAACCATTATGCCACCCCCAGAACCTTTTTGAATCAATATTGAAGTGATCATCTTTATTTATGATTATAAAGAATATAATATAATTCAGTTTTCATAAGTTTTACTATTTTTGTAAACAGAATGATTGGGGAAGTGGTAGACCACTTGGATTCAGTCATTGAAGAATGGTATCCAGGACTTCTAATTTCTGATGCCTATGGAGTGTGTCCCCTGGAGAAACTGGTGCCATGTCCAGATTGTAAAGGTTAGTTCTGAATTATCATTATATCTTCTTATTTGTAGAAATTGCTCCCAAAATTTATTATGTTGGTTCACAACAAATGTTAGTAGAGACTGAACATTTTTTTTTCTGTCTTTATCTCTGAGATGAGGTATTATGATTATGTACATTATTCAGACTGTTATCCTCATCTTCATTCCCAATATTTCTTTGGGTTTAGTCACTGAATCTAACCAACATCTTTATCTACTGAGGACATCTGTGTATGAATTTGTGGGGCTTATAAACCTAATGTCTCAGCAACCTCTTTTTCCCAGTGCTCATATTGCAATTTTTCCGGGGGTTTTTTTTTGGGGGGGCGCTTTGCCTAGTCAGAGATAGCGGCTAAGCGGTAGTCTGGCAAAATGATGTCTAGCATGAAAGTACATACAAAGTAGAGATGTGTCACTAAATTCATTCATGCAGAAAAAATTGCACTCTTTGATATTCATCAATTCTTGATAAATGTTTATGGAAACCAAACAGTGGATGTAAACACAGTTTGATGGTAGATAATGCATTTCAGTATTAGTGACAGTGATGTGAATGACAAGTCACATTTTAAGCTCATCAAAGATGGATTATATGAACATTTTCTTGTTAACATCATTGCTGCTGTGAAAAAGTAGAAAAAGACCATTTTGTTGATGAAAATTTGTCTTATTCAGATGTTTTATTGTACTTCCTTTATTTTTTAGTTTGAATAGGAATATGTAGGAGGCATTACTTTCGGATCACCCTTCAACTGGCAAAATGAATAAACTCATGAGCTTACTTGGTGTCTAAAGTAGTTGCATATTTCCCACCAATACAAGAAGTTAATCAAAATGTCAAATGCTGATTTTCAAGGCAGGCATATAGTCTCTATTTGGAAGATTGTTGCAACACAATCTTCATAATTTCAATGCAATGTCAATCGCTATCTACTGTCCTCCTGATTACTCTTCTTTTGTTCTTGCACTTTAATAATGTTTCTTTTTCTAATTCTTCCACACCCAGTAACCCCTTGTATCTTAGTAGCTTTATTGCTTTGCTTGAACTTAATTTAAAAAAAAAAATAAATTAAATAATTCCCCTTTTTCTTTTATAATTATTCAAAAATATTTTTCTAGGTTCATTTTCTCTTGACAAAATGTTGGCTACTTACCTTCAACCAAGGGAACTGATATTTTCAATTATTTATATAAAAAGGAATTATTCCAAAATTATTAAAGATTATCAAGAAACTATTTTGGAGCTACAACAAATAAAATTTGTTTTTCAAACCTAAATGATATTCAGAAAGATATTCAAAAAAGTTCTTGGCTTAGTTAAGAATGACTTCTCCACCCCAAAGCCTGATATTTGATCATTTAGTCAGATTTTGGAAAGTGGTTCAGGCCCAAAACTTTTCAGGACTTCCTTAGATAAATAGCTAGATAGCTAGCTAGCTAGATAGATAGACAGATAATGATCTGATTGACATAGATAATGACCTGATTTACATAGATAGATAGATAGATAGATAGATAGATAGATAGATAGATAGATAGTGAACTAATTGATATAGATAGATAATTAAGTAACTGATATAAATAGATAGATAATGAACTAGCTGAGGTAGATAGATAGATAGATAGGTAATGATCTGACTAACATAGATAGATAATGATCTGACTGAGATAGATAGATAGATAGATAGATAGATAGATAGATAGATAGATAGTGAACTAACTGATACAGATAGATTAATAGATAAATAATGATCTGACTGACATAGATAGATAATGAACAAACAGAGATAGATAGATAATGAATTAACTGAGATAGTGAATTAATGTATATAAATAGTGAACAAACTGAGATAGATAGATAGATAGATGAAATAACTGAGATAGATATTATTATTGTAGGTTATTTAATCTGTACTTAGAGCATTTTGCAATACTGAACTTAGATCACTAACTATTTGTTTGTGTGTCTCACCATAGATCAAAGATTACGAAAGCTAATCTCAGTAGATCATTACTACTGTATGAATTCAATCCTCATTGGGTTCCTTACACTTATGACCTTGTGTTATAATAAGCTTAACTTAGTTGTAGAGATTTAGGTCCCTGTAACTTAGTTAAAAACCAAATTAAATTCACTTGATCAAATGCAGTGCTGCACTTAAAAAATGTTTTTATTTTTTTCAGAAGATGGAAAGCATTTTTTCAATTTGGATGATTTGATCCATGAATCCGATAAAAACAATGAAATCAAATGCCCAGTTCATAAGTACTCTGTTTTACTGGCATCAATGGTAAGTTTCAAATCAAACAATGTTGTCCTTGCTATTTGCTTCCTGCATTCAATATTTGAACAATTTGCTTTATTCAATAATTTTTTTTTACAGTAATGGATTTTTATTTATCAATCCAACAGATTTTTATCACTTTATCTTCAGTGGATACTCATATCTGTGTAGACACTTTATTTATTAAACAATATATTTATCTATTCTTGTCTGCTGAACTGAATATTCAAGAAATCTTATTATGCTATGGTATTTAGAGATGAAGGTTGGGGTAATACATAAGTAAAGGCCAAATTTACTGTCTATAGTACCATTTTATTGTTGACTCCATTTGGTTACAGTGGTTAAAGTGGGTAACTATTGTCTTAGTCCTTTTGTGATTTGAGAGTTCATACAGGGTCGTGTATTTGGCTGATGGAAATTAATTTGTTGAATTCATCCTTTCTTTTTTTCTTGAGTTGTACGTTCAGTCAAACTCAACATCTGATGAATCTTGAACCTTTGCGTCTTAAACTGCTACTTCAAACCAATGTCTGACTTCTTCTCTTTGCATGTGTTTTTTTCTTCTTTTTATTGGGCGTGTTGTCATTGGTGGATTTTTTTATGACATTCACTAACTCACATAAGCTATGTCCAGGTTCTGTCAGTTACTTAGGATAGGAACAATAGAAGGAAAGGAAGTATGTATGTGTATAAGAGAAGAGAGAGAAAGAGAGTTTTCTTTGTCACTCTCATGGTGAAAATGAAAGTGTATATTTCCATGTGGTGTTACTACTACCTATTCCTACTACAATGCCTTAAATGATTCACTCATGGAGCAGCTTTGTTGATCAAGCAATGTCTGAAACATGCTTTTACACAAAATTCTTCTCATATTAAATTCTTCAAAATTTTCATATCTGCTCAGTTTTGTATCCTAATGGAAACAAAATATTTTTTTTTAAGGTAATAGATTTTTATTTATCAATCCGATAGATTTTTATCACTTTAAACGTTACTTTTAGTGAATACTGACATTTGAGAGTACATAATTTTCTTTATTCATGAACAGATGTAGTGCAGAAATATCATGGCTGATTGTCAAGAGGGTTGTTTTCTTTTAATTTTCAGGGATGGGGCAGCCAAGGCAACTTGTGAGTTATGTCTAGATAATTGGCAATACCCTCAATCAGAGACCATCTGAGAGGTAAAAATCTGTCTTGAAAGAAGGTAGTTATTTCATGCCAAATCTTAGCTGAGAGTATTTTTAAAGGTTGGAGTATAAATCTGAATAAAGAATCATTGCCTCCATCAGAACTAAACAGATTCACACACTCAGAGATCAGTTAAGATTAAAACTCATGAGTTTTTTGGGTTTTTTTCCAGGCTCCTGATGTCATGCTTAGTGACCTTGCAGAAGAGTTGCTGCTACAACAGAATCAGTTTTATTTACAACAAAGGTGAATATTCTTAATTTCATTTCATTTCATATATATATATATATATATATAGTAAGGTAATGAAGGGTTTGGTAATCCGTATGGATAATTTCAAAGAGGATATAACCCAGAATGCTCAATGTAACAACAGATCAAATATTAATTAATTAAATCAAAAAAGAGACAACCTTAATGTTCCATGACTATAATTTATTTCCCCATAAAATATATTTTTCCTGGTTCATCAGGTCACATCTCTAGTTATATATAGGTATGTATGTGTGTGTGAATATGTATGTATGTGTATGTGAATATATATATATATATATATATATATATATATATATATATATATATATATGTGTGTGTGTGTGTGTGTGTGTATTTAGACAGTATATCTTCAATGAAGAATGCTTCATTAAATAATGTAGACATACTGTGTCTATTTAATACAAGAAAATACTTTTTCACAACACCAATAAACTACACCATGAAAACAATAAACTTCAAATTCTCAAGGCACTCTATATCAAAAGCAACCAATCAAACACTAAACAAATTTGTTATGAGTACAGTAGCAATATTTTAAAATGTATTTGACTAACATTTAACACCATTTTGCAGTTTACCATCTCTGGTTATTGCCCTTGAACTGGGAACACTTGTTTATGAAACATTCTAACCACAACAGTTAATTTAAAAATAATTATAGCAGAGCATGTTTGCAAAATCACTATCACAGCGATTACAGTTACGATAAATTTGTTTTTGCAATTCCACCTGAGGATGATTTTGGAGGAAATCAAAAGTAGGAAATTTTATCTTAACATCAAGAAGATAATTAGGGAACTAGAAAGGATTATTATAGAAATAAATAGACATAATATGTCTATATTATTTAATAAAATATACTTGAATATATATATGTATGTGTGTGTGTGTGTGTGTGTGTAAAATGAGAATGAATAGAGTTCAACTCCATAACATTTAATCTAAAGGAGGGCTCAATACAAAAGTTTTTTAATCTGAGTAAAAACCCTGCAACCATATCTTCTCTTTTCTTTCTTACTCTTTTTCTTTTCTTCCTTTTCTCATGAAAAGAGTCTGGATCTTGTTTCTAACTCTCAATAAATTGTCTACTCACCAGTTATTTACTAATGCCTCATGAGATGTGTTAATATGCATCGAAACATGATGGCATTTGTGTAGTGTCTTTTTTACATGTTTTTGACGTAATATCCTAAAATAAAGTATATATATATATATATATATATATGACAAGCTGGAAAGTTTTTTTTGTGATGCCTTTCATCCATTAGGATCTACACACATGCATGAAGCAAGAGATGCCGGGGTAGTTTCAATATTTTTGAGGGAATATTTTCTTTCTCTCAATCTAGCCGAAATCATCTGTATTCTTTTTCTTTTTTCTCTCCATCTCTCTCATTTCATGCACATGTGTAAATGCGGCAATGTCAATAAAGCCCAATCCATTGAAATCCTAAATGAGTTACAAAAAAAACCTTTCCAGTTTGTCCATTTTGTTCTATATACTGTTTGTTGATATATAAAATTATACAAAATACATATATCGTTATATCATATATTTATATATATATATATATATATAAATATAAAATATTGCACATTTTTTTTAATAATTGTGTTTGAATGTTTATCTGCATGCATTTATTTATAATTTTGTATGTGCATATAGCATGCATGTTGATATGTAAATAGATATATATATATAAATTTTTGGTTGTACATCTTTGTATTTATATGTAAATGTAGATGTATATATCTATCCATATATATGGATATGTCATGATATTTGTGTATACATTTGTATTAAATCTAAAATTACTTACTAGATGTATATATATTTGTTTTTGAATTATAATTATATTTTTATAGTTGGAGGTATGTAAGTGTGTGTATATGTATTTCTGTATATATGTATATATTATTTTTTCTTTTCTTTTTTTTTCTTTTATTTTATTTTATAACGCCTTCCCTTTGAATAATATGGACTGTTCCACTGTCATTATAATATGGTATATATATATATATATATATATATATATATATATATATATATATATATCAATATTTGAATTATGCAACAGGCAATTTTCAGTCAGCACCTGAAGATTGTGTTGTGCATGAAACTCAAAGTTGTGCTACTGGTGAGGCAAGAAAAATGTATATTTATTATTAATATATAGATATTATATAGATTTGGTGTTGAAAATGGAGATTTAGATAAAAATATATTTCATTTTTCCAGTGTCACTCTTACAGAACGGCTTGTTCTTTCTCGAGGGTTGAAGTTTTGTGTTCCCTGCTCTAAAGTGAACAAAGAGCAGATCTTTGCTAAGTTTGAACTATTATTCTCTCAGATAAATTTACATATAACTTCCTCTCCCAAGAAGTTTTCCTTGTGTAAAACTAGGTTAGTTGAATTATCTAGTGAATATTCTTCCCTCCCTGCAGATCATCATCAGTCCCATAGCTGGGTGCGGTCGTATGGTTGCTGCACAGCTGAGCACCTCGCCATCTCCCTCCATGTCTTGTTAGGTGTTCATTCATATGTAACATCTTGGGTAATGTAAACATGTCAAAGCCCATTTTTCTCCAGGTCAATATAAATAGACCACATTTTAAGCAGTGTGTGTGTGTGTGTGTGTGTGTGTGTGTGTGTGTGTGTGTGTGTGTGTGTGTGTGTGAATACGGACTTGACACCACAGAACAAAAAACTGATCGGAAAAAGCATGACAGCATTTCCTCTATGAGACCATGTAAATGATTTTGAACTCAATGAAGGCAAAAAAGTGAGAATTGAGCAGCTCCAGCCCTGATATCACAGCAATACTCCATTTTTCATCTCATCTGACTCATGTAAAGATAAAGTCTACAGAAATGATTTTGAACTTACTGAAGGCTAGAAAGTAAGTACTGAGCAGGTCAAGCCCTGATATCACAGTAATACTCCATTTTTGGTCTAATCTTGTAAAGATCAAGCATAACCAAAAGAATTAGGTACTTCCTGGACTGATAGAATGAGATGGCCATTTTTATAACATTCTACATCATTTAATACAGATTTACTGCTGTATAACAGTCACCACCCACAATTGCCAAAAGCTGTGATCATGGTATTTTCAAGAGTTAATTCTGGTAATACAACTTCACTAATATTATCTTCAGATCATATTCTCTTTTGAATGGGCTGTCCAATTTTAGTCTATAGCACTAATGAATCTTCTGAAGTTTAGTCAGGTTTTGTTAAGTATAGAAGGTTATGATCTATAAGACACTACTTATATATATGTGTGTGTGTGTGTAGATGGATTAAATGTTGGCATATTGTTTCCATATACTGTTTTTCTTATGTGTAATATGACTTGAATATAATATGATTCCATGTTTCTAAGGCTAAAAACTGGGAATGTGAAGTATATGAGGGGTAATGGCCAGGAAATATGTGTTATATTTAACAAAACAAGATAAGGAATTTATTTACAAGTTTACATATTTGGAGTTCTCTGTAGCTTGTTTCAGGAAAAGGAATCAAATATTTAAAGTTCATAGTTTTGATGAATTGTCAAGAAGAGAAAATGTTCATATTAAATCATCAGACACAAAGTAATATTCCAAAATGTTTAAAACAAATTGAGAGAGTTCGTTTTTCCCATAAAAGTTATATGGTTGTATTCAACATGAATGACAAGATATATTTTAAGGTACTTAGCTTTGGAGTTGAATAGAGTTCTTTGAAATTACCCTGTTCTCATTAGAGGCTGATAATGTATCAGCGTGTAATTTGACACTGGCGTTATTCTGACATGTGGAACTCTGCTTCTTTCTGCCTTTTCTCTCTGACTTAATGCAACTTTCTCTGCCTACTTATATCAAAAAGTGATTTGACATCAGCTTGTTACTTTTTTCTCAATTTGTAAGTTTCTCCCTTTTCTATTGGTCAAAATAAGTTTTCATGTAGGCTTGTTAAACTTAGTTTTGGTCTTTTCTTCAGCCTGAAGTGAATCCCTTTTTCTATTGGTCAAAATAAGTTTTCATGTAGGCTTGTTAAACTTAGTTTTGGTCTTTTCTTCAGCCTGAAGTGAATCCCTTTTTCTATTGGTCAAAATAAATTTTCACACAGGCTCATGAATTTGTAAACAGTGAAGAAAAGAGAGTTATTTTTATTTCATATTCACTACAAATGAATTACATCCTTAAGTGTAATAAAACCCTGTAGTACAGCCATCCCTATGTAAATTCTTTTTAAAAATTTGTACCATATTGAACACATATCTACCTAACCAATGAAAACAAACTGCATAGAATTTGAAATACCAAAATATTCACCAATGTGTCCTCACATTCTCAAAAGAAATTTCTTATAAAGCTGCAATAAACTGAAGTATGTCAAATTTATAAATGTTTTGCTATTTTTTCCTTGCAACACTGATATCCAAATGAGCATTGCGATAGTGAAAAATGTCTTCCAAAAGCTAAGCAATGTATTAAGAAATAGGAAAATTTCATCAGAAATAAGGAAAAGAATATTGAACTGTTGCATGATATTATTCTTCCTATATATCAGTGAATGCTAAGCAATCTTCTCACAGGTGAGGAAGAGACTTGAAGCAACAGAAATGTGTTTCAACAGAACAATGCTGAAAATGCATTGGACTGAACATGTGTGCAGCAACAAAGTTTTAGAGAAAATGTAGACAAAAAAGACACTGATACTTAACATCAGGAAGAATGATTTGAAATTTCTAGGACACATAATGTGGAAAGAAGGTTTGGAAAATTTGATGCTCACAGGATAAACTCAAGAAAAGAGAAACAGAAGAAAACAATAATATACCAAGCAAATTTGAGTAAATAGTTTTGGAGAGATAACAAAATGACAAATTTAGTAAGAGCTACAAAGGGTAGGAAATTGTGGAGAGTCATGATTGCCAATGTCCTGAAAAATCATATATATGTGTATGTGTGTGTCTGTTTTCTTTTAAACATAAATATTTTCTTAATGCCTGATTTTCAGTCCAAGAAATCTACTTGGCCATGGTCAGTTTGGAAGAGTCTACCAAGCAATTTATAAAAATCAGGTAAGCAGATTTTGAGATATTTTTCCTGCTTATCATAAAGAAGCACCTATTAGTTATTTTGAATTGTGTTATATATGAATAAAGTGTTGCTTCCGACACTTGGGTTGGAACACAGATCACCAGAGAGCAAACTCAGGTGATTATTCGTTGACATTACAAAAGTGTCAACAAGTGTTTGTTGACATCAAAAAAATTGAGAGGCATTCTTTTATTCAAACAAGAGACACCTTTTTATTTTCACAGATGCAAACAAAATTATTTCTAAATTCCAATTTTAGTCACTAAACCAATTTGGAAACTCAACCACCATGCTCATCTCTATAGCTTCTCACGGTCATCACCCTGTAAACAGTTTTTGTCACCGTGGTTATTTAAGGTTATCTGCAGTTTTCACAAATGAGGTGGGTGGATGGCCACTCATATCCAAGAATGCCTGTCTAGTAAGGCAACTAACCAATCCCTGTTGAAGACGCCTGCTCAGGCACATTTGTGTTTGTTCAACACCCACAGAGCCCATCTGTGGTTTATACTGCAAATATGCTGAGCAGATCTTAGTTACAGTTTTTGGGAAAGTGCGGTTTATCTGGTGTGATCAACAGTCTGAACAAGGCCAGTACACTCAAAACCTTGGTTAGGTTTTCGCAAATAGCTGTATTGCTGAGATCTAAGCTCAGAAATTATCTTTTAAAAAATCTCGCCATAAATTTTGATGAATGTATGATACTATACAGTAGTTTCTATAATTTTGATGAATGTATGATACTATACAGTAGTTTCTATAATTGGAAATTAATCTTTAACTGTCTTATCTATTTGGTAAGCAGTAGCAATGTAGATTGTTCAGAGTGACCAGCAAATTTAAAAAAGGCCATATAAGAATAAAGGCTGTATAAAAAAAAAGGTCATATAAGAACATGTTTGAAAGAAATCAACAGGCTCTTTCAGTGAAAGAAAATATCAATGAATTAATGTATGAAACAGAAAGTTTTAATATCAACCATAAAAGTTGGAATAACTTTTGTGTAAGCAAATACATATTTTTGTTTAAATTTTCCACAAGTAACCAGGAACCTCTCATTTTTTTTTAATCATTTCATCCCAAGCAAGACAACAAAGCCAATAAGATATAAGGAGTTACTGAGTGTGAAAGAACATGAGAAAAAAAAAATTTAATAATGAAAATTAAACTCTTATTTGTACGTACTTTACAAATTTAAGTACTAGATTAGTATATAAGTCTCATCATTTTACATTTGAAATTGCAAGATGTAACCGTAAGTTCTATGCTAACAGTTTCTTCTTTCACACTTCTTGCTTGTGGAATTCTTCTGCTTTCTTGCTTTACAGTCAACTTTGATCTTCAGAAATTTAAATATGATGTCAATCGTTATCTGTTGTCTTCTTAATTCCTGTTCTTTTATTCTCCTCTCTCCTTAATTATGTTTCTCTTTTTCTCATATTCTCTCACATTCAATAATCCCATGTGTCTTAGTGGCTTTATTGCCTTACTTGGGTTAAAATGATTCAAAAATAAAGTAGAGAAAATGTATCTTGCATAGGTTTAAACAATGAAGTCAAATTGAAGCCAATTGAGAAACACTGGGAACAAATTATTTGATCAATAAAATTGGCCTTTCGATTTGGAGTTGTAATAATGACATGAAATCATTTGCTAAAAGACAACAAGGCTTTGTTGTGCATTCATAAAACTATTGTCATTCATAGATTAATGAATTGTTATGATGTTCATCTTTCATAAATAAAGATGTCATCAGTTGTAAGTTTTAAACTGTTTGCTTATAATTTGCTGCTTCATTCAAAAACAAGGCAACATTTTCAATTAGTATTGTAACCCAATACAACTTATACATTGTACATCTGCTGTAACCTAGGGAAGGTTACTGAATGAAATAATCACATGAAGGTTGGTAATAAACAATAATACTTAGGACAAGAACAACACATATAAGATTCGCCAGTGGCATGTAGAAGTAGTAGTCAACTGCTAGAAGTGAGTCATGTGAATTCCACAATGAATCTCCAACTGCAGGATATCTACCAATCGACCCATGCAGTCAGATGTGGCACTAGACTGAATTTAATATGGAGTATCCGAGCCTGTAGGCTCAGCCAAAAAATTCCCCGTAGACTCTGTATAAAACAGAGTCAGGTACCTGTTTCCTGTGATGAGACTCTGCCCTTCAACATAGCCCTGCCTGGGGATCTTCTCTGCCTGGAGGCAGAGAGTTTGACCAGCACAACTGGAGATGAATCTCCAACTGCAGGATATCTACCAACCACCCTATGGTCAGATGTGGCACAAGGCTGAATTTAATGTGGGGTATCCAAGCCTGTAGCCTCGGCCAAAAATTCCCTGTAGACCCCGTATAAAGACAGCTGTTTCCTGAGACAAGACTCTGCCCTTCAACATAACCTCGTCTGGGGATCCTCTCTGCCCAGAAGCAGAGAGTTTGACCAGAACAGCTGGAGACAAATCCCCAACTCTAGACCAACATACAGTATTCATTACTGTATTTATGTGAATGGGGACATACCCATTATGCCATCATAATATTATTATAAGTATTACTCTGAAAATATGCTTTGGTATGTATGTATGAGATTGTGCACATCATTGTACTTTTATACAAAACAACAAATAAGTGTATAAATTTGATGTTCTGAAATGTAATCTTTTAACTTTATTAAGATTGCAAAACAAAGTAAGAGAAGAAAAATATTTAAATGTCATTTTACTTCCAGTCTGTGGCTGTCAAGTTATTTACCAACATTGGAGATTACCATCCACGTAAGATGCTGAGAAAAGAGGTAATGACATTATAACAATCATTATTATTTGTAAACATTGTGTCTTCACACCAGTAGTAATTGACTACTTATGTCAAGGATCAAGTGACAGCAAGTCTTCTCAGTATTTCTACACTCTCTTCTGTATTTTAATATCATTATCATTATTTTTATTATTTTGTATATGGAAATATAGCGCTATTATTATTTTAAAAAACATTTTTTTGACCTGTATTTTATTTTGTAATCACATGCTGAGTCATAACCAATGAGTCTCTGGAGCAACGAGATGTGATTTTAGTTTTATTAGAACCAATTTTTGGATTTCCTGGAGAGATGGTGCACCAGGGATTGCATTAATTTGTTGTTGAGTTCCTTTCTTTATCAAACCCAAAGCTCCAACCACAACAGAAACAGTTTTAGTTTTTAAGTGCCATATTTTTACTATTTCCATCTGCAGGTCTTTGTATTTACTTAGTTTTTCAAAAACCTTTGCATAGATGTTTTTGTCACTTGATATGCAGGTTTCAATCAGTGGACAAACATTTTCTTTTTTGTCTTATTTTATCATTGATTCAATTTCTGTTATTGTCTTGATTGTTGATAATGTTACTAACATTATTAGTATTATTGTTCTATCTGAGGTAATTATAGGAATTATTGTTATTGTTGCTTTTGCCTTGGACAGAATTTTCCAAACTATTACACATACTTCTTTAATTATTAACTAAATTTTTCATTGCATTATTTTTTTATATACAGTACAACACAAAAAAATGGATGCACCCAAAGAAATAATGATAAACAAAATATAAAGCTTATTACATTTGTATTTACATTTATTAACATGTCTAAGCATTGTTCTGACTTTGGGAAAGGCCAAGTCACTGCTTTTCATGATCTTGGGCTGTCAAATAGATCGATAGCTGATAAGATTAATCAAAGTGAGTTATGTGTCCACAAAAAAAGAAATCAAACTGGAAGATATAATAGATGTAGCAGATCTGGCGAGCACTAAAAACTACTGACAGGAAAGATAGAAACTTGGTCCGTCAATGCAAAAAAAGATGGATTCGCAACAGCACAAGATGTTTTCAAAGCGGCTAGTTTGGCGGTTTCTTCAAGAACAGTCAGAAGCAGGCTTAAAACAAAAGGCATTGTTTCCAAATACATAACAAAGAAACCTTTCATATCTGGAAAAAATCGACAGGCACAGTTGGCTAAGCTCATTTACACTGGACGAAATCTGATTGGTAAGATGTTATGTGTTTCAGTGACAAGAGCCTGTTTACTCTTAGATATGAAGTACAAATACATGTTTGATGTACACCTGGTGAAACGAATAATTCAGTGACTACCAAAGACAATGTTAAACACGATAAAAAATCAACGTTTGGGATGCATTCTCAACAGCAGGAATTGGTAATTTGTACAAAATCAAGGGAATCATGGACCATCATCAATACCACAGCATTCGATGAATTCTATTATTCACTTGTCTCGGTAAAAATACAATAATCGACTTTCTATGTGTGTGTCCATTTTTGGCTTTGTACTCTATATAAAGGTTTTGCTAGGTATTTAACCATCATTAAATATTGCAGACTAATTCAATAATATTATAAGTTATATCCTCCACAGTGCTCCTCTCTTAGGGCCTTGCACCAGTCTATACTTATTATTTTATTTGAAGAGTTAAACTGTAAATTTTTATAGTCTATACTTTTATTTTCCTCATTTATTTATTGATCTATTTGATGAAAGGTAACTGTCATGATGCGACTAAAGCACCCGAGTGTTGTGTCCTTGTTGGCTGTTGGTTTACGTCCTTGCCTCATAGTGATGGAGAGAGCAGCTTATGGTTCTCTAAAACATGTGCTTGGCAACAGGAAAAGCATGAAGCCGTTACTCATTCAAAGAATTGCTCTTCAGGTAAAATAAATGTATTTCTATTCATATTTCCTTACACCTTGAATTCTTCATTATCTCTGGAGATGCATCTGTGTGTAAAAAAAAAACAAGAAAAAGTTTTGAAGTGTTACTTCAGAAATTGAGGAATTGGAGAGCCGAGTTCAAATTCCAGTTGAATCCATTCACTTAGTTGCTAATACCCTTGGGAAAAGTATGAATCCTCTTCTTCTCCTCCCAGCTATGGGTAAATAGTAGGACAGATGGGCAACTGGTCTACTATAGAAATAAATGGCAACCTGCTGTGGAAAAAAATCTGCCTCGTCAGTCACGTATAGAAAGATACATGATCTCCTAAGCATGTATCATGCATGGCATATAACTGACTGACTAGCTTGACACTCTTAACCCTTTCCAAACAGACTAGCCAGACCTGGCTGTGGCCAAATGCATACATTTATTTACAATCAAGTCTTATGTTATTTTGAATCATAAATAATTTTCTTATTTATTGATCAGATTTATTCTTCAAAAAATAAAGTATAATTACATTTTATTCAAATATATATATCACCATTATTTGCAATGATTTGTTGTTACTTATCAGGAGCTCTTTGATGCCTTTTGAGTAAAATGTTGCAGGCTTTGATGTGAAAGTGTTTTTAATGAACTCCTGAATCTAGTCTTAATTAGAGAAAGTTTTCCCCATGAAAATGTTTTGCAGTAATTATTATTACCTTTTTCAATTACTTTTTTCTAATTAAAACTAGATTCAGGAGTTCATTTCCTTCATATTCCATTGCTAAAGAAGAAGTTCAATTCAGACAGATTCTTACTCTGAAATGCTGCAATATGGAACAGACTCCCAGAATGATTCTTCCCTGGTTGCTATAATCTTAACCTCTTAAGTCAAACATCAAATGTTATCTATCCTACATATCCTCATAATATTCAGCCCTTGCTCCTTCCCTATATGCCCTTACAACATTCCTATTTAGTAACCCTCTACCTTGAGTGGCACTTAGGACTGGGTGAACAATGGTAAAAAAAAAATCCCCAGACCCTTCATCTGAAATGTAGAATTTACATGTGAACCTGCAATGTTCAAGAGACTACCCCTTTTATTGTTGGGGTGGGTGTTTATATATCTGTTTCTGTCATGCAACTCTTTCTCATATGTTGCATACCAGGTGCACATGGGTTTGCACTTGGCAGCCAGGAGGTCATGTGCATCTGGATTTTCTGCAGGACACTGAGTGCAAAGTCTATTCTTACATGATCTGGGGTGAGACACATACTAAAATTGTATAATTTTACTTTTCTCCTTATATTTCATTTTGTTTTACATTAATTATTCATTACCACTTTTATATTGTATTGCTACTGGATATTAACATTACACAATGTCATTCTACATACACCATTGTAAAGACATCTTGTTTATCAAATGCAGCATCCTTGCATTGTAACTTCAGATTATAAACAGGTATTTTGTCACACAAATCTATACTGTCTGTGTTCACTTTCTTTTGATATTTTCTATTTAAATATAAAATCAGTAGAGTTAGTCTATAATGTTTTCAAATTTTTATGTTTGTAAAGAGTTTCTTGTTTTCTTGTCCTACAAGCTTCTGGCTTTCAAACTTGTGGATCTCTTCAGAATCAATTTATTTCCTTTATAGGTTGCTGAAGGCTTGATGTATCTTCACCAACAAATGATTATATACAGAGATCTGAAACCTTCAAATATCTTGGTATTTAGTTTGTGCTTGACGAGTTTGGTGAGTAAATATCAAATTATTTTTCCAATTGATTTCTTTGTTTGATCATTCCATATATTTCTTTCTTGTTGAAATAGATACATAAAATCCAAGGACAGGACACTGGTAATGGATCACCTTGGATTATTTGTGAGTCAAATGAGTTATTACCTATTCTTATTTTATCCCTTTTTATTTTTCTCTTCTTATTATTTTTAGATCAATGTCAAAATCTCTGACTATGGTATTTCCCAACTGATTGCCCCCTATGGCCTCACTGCCAAGGAAGGCACACGTGGTTATCAAGCTCCAGAAGTTGCACGCAGAGAAAACTACTCATTTCAGGTGAATTACTGCCAGAGTAAAGATATCTTCCTTCTGAGTTTAAGTCAGCACTTGAAAATAGTTTCATCATTGTGACCTCAGAAATCAAACCATTTTGTTAATTTTTAATTATTGTTTTCAACCCAAATGTTGTTGGGCAATAGACACATGCTTTGGGGCTATTTTTTCATGCTGAATCTGAATATCAAGTCCATTTTACCCCATCACATCAGGTTTTCTCAGTACATATAATTTCTATTTTGCTTAAAATAGACCAAAATGCCTAATTCACAGGCTTAAATATGCAAGTGACTAGGTTCAAACATTTTGTTTCATGTTAAAATGATTTATCATTCAAGAAAAAGTATCCAAATAACTTTCAAAATGAATTCTAAGCTATTTCAGTTCAGATAAGCTGACCAGGAAATGCTTTTATGAGAGATGTCTCACTGGAAAATGTTCTTGTGCCATCAATGTTCTTAGCTTGTTAAAACTTTGTGATTTGTGTTTCTTTTCTACTTTTCATAGAAACTCTTTAGAAATCATTCAAGAACAGCAATTTTAGTTTTTATTAGTAGTTTTCACTGAAACCGTCATAAGATTTTATCATATCACTTGAATTTACAGAGGTTTGGTATTGTCATGCAGTCTATATAACATGCACAGGAACATCAATAAATGAGGGTTGTTAGGGTGTCAGGTGAGACTATTTGAGTCTAGCAAGATTAGAATTTTTTTCTATCAGTGCTTAAAATAGTTGCCAAACACCAGATCGGCATAGCTAAGTAGGCACTTTTCCTACCCATCCCCAACCCCACTTGTTTGGCCAGGTCCTTTAAACTACTCAGGTGCAACATGAGTATCAAAATTCACTTTCTGTTTAATCTCCTCAATCAGTTTCCTAATAATCTTGGCGATTATAGTGATGAACATGAAGAGAGGTTTCATCAGGATTTCAAGGTAATGGAAGAAGGATACAAAGGCAGATGGGATGTTAACATGATGGCTGATTTCTACTAGAGCATCAAAAGAGATCAACCTTCTCAAAAGCACTGTAGAGTTTCCAAGAAGAGAAGATTTATACGTTTGGATGGAAAAAATGAATGTATTTTTCATTCCTTTGTATCTTCTTTGTTTTGATTCAAAAATTGATGACACATTTTTGCCATAATTTAATTTTGTGTGAGATTTTTCTAAAAACTTTTTCTGAACTGAAAATGGTGAAAATGCATTCTTTAAGTTATTGGGATACTTTTTCTTTTATGATAAGTAATTCTAACCTGAAAATGTTTAAGGTTGGTTCCACTTGGCCCTAGCATATCATTGTTAAATGGGTATTTTGGCTTATTTCAAGAAAAATAGAAATTATCTGTACTGATAAAATGTGATGTGATGAAAAAAAATGGATTTGATTTTCAGATTCAGCATGAAAAAATAGCCCAGAAACATGTGCTCATTGCCCAACAACATTTGGGTTGAAAAAAAAATATCAGCCGATGTTACAATCTTAAATGCTTGATCTTTTCAATATAATAATATTATTTTCTTGATGTGTGGAAGCAGCATCCAAGAACAGTAACTCAATGCAACCAAGTCATGTCACCAAAATGGTAAAATAAATTCATAAATGAAACATATTCAAAAGAAATTAAGAGAACAAATCTGACAATAGGTTAAGAGTAAAAGAGTGAAAAAGCATTAATAACCAAGATGAAAGGCCCTTTGTGTCCACAAAAGAAATGGAGTGTCAAAAGGACAGTTTTTCCCTTGACACCACTATTATTTTAACTACCTTCACTTCTTGGCAAGGTTAAGTTTGATTACAATTATAATCTTTGCTTTTTAAAAAAAAAGCAAAGATTATAATTGTAATCAAACTTAAACATGAAAGTGAATTTATACATTTTCTTTGTTCTTGAGAATTGACAACAAAAATAATAAACATTATTTATTTATTATTATTATTATTATTATTAGATTGTTTATTTACACTATTTATTTATTAGATTGTTTATTGGAATGATTGGCAAAACATTGGCTAATTGACAACTGATTCAAACTTTATAAAATGGTAAATAATAAGGATTTACTTATAGTTGGTTCAGATATTTTAATAATTTAGTAAATTGATATAATGGAATATGCGTACATCTGTGTTCACACTCACTGGAATATGATTGGCTGGTGTCCGTCATAAATACCGACAGACATGTAGGAGAATCAAGAGCCTTAGTCTGAGAGCTAAGTCTATAACGATGCCCATTAGACTACGCCATTGATCTACACTTCTTACCTGTGACTACGACGCATACCAGTTGATTATTGCTACCATATTCTACTTGGTTATAGTAGCCAAAACCACTTAGCTATTTCATTCAAATATATCCCTTTCCTTGACATATCATAAATGTTTATAAATTTATGAACAAAAAATTGTTTTCATATTTATTTTTCAATAAATTGGTAAATGGTAAATATTGCATTCCATTAGTTTTAATTGTATTCATTTTTAGAATGTTGTAAATATAAAATTATTCTTGTAAATAAACAATCTAATAAATAGTGTTTAATATTTTTGTTGTAAATTTTCAAGAACAAAACAATGTCTAAATTCACTTTCATCATATGTTTAGGTTTTATTACAATTCTAATAATCACTTTTTAAAAGAATAAATATTACCGAGGAGTGAAGGTAGTTAAAATAGTAGCGATGTCTAGGGAAAAAACCATCCTTTTGTCACTCCATTTTTTTAGTAGGCAGAAAGATCGAAGTTTGCTGATGAAAGCATCTTGAAAATTTTTTAAGATTTTCTTTCTGAAATATATTTTAAATTCCATGTCAAAAATCGACATCTATAAAATAAACTGTCCCTGTATCTATCTAATAATAAATAAAATGAAATGTTCCCTTATCTTGAGTTTTGTGGTGATTACATCCCTTCATGAGTGGACTTGATTGCAAAATTGTGTTCTTTCCATAAATCATATTTCTCTTATAAAATGTTAATTAATTTTCACTAAAAAGACATTAATGACATAAATTTATTTTTTCATAAAAGCATTATTGTATGATGTAAACTTAAGTTATATACATTAGAGAATTTAGATATTAGATAAATTAATAATGAAATAAGTAAAACTTGGGAAAGGTATGAATCCATCTTTCCATTTCCAGTTATAGGTAAATAGCAGGAGAGACAAGGACCTATAACCTCTAGAAGGAGAATTATGAATTCAAAACCTGCAGAGAATTGTTTGGAGAACTCATGATACACTATATAGTGGAGTTGGTTCTGCACAAGCCTTCATCACCACTATAATCAAAACATATATGTGTGGATAGTCTGTCTGTGTGGTTCTAAGAACTGAGCTGCTGTACCTTCATATATTAAGAACTAGCAGTAGAGCCCGGCATTGCCCAGGGATGTAACAGTAAGAGATAGATTAAGTATCGACCATCATAAAGGCTGAAAAATAAAATTGACAAAGATTATTGTTTAAGGTTGACAGACACGCATGTCTTAATTAGTTTTATTTTTTTCTTTTGTTTTTTTCGTTGTTTTTTTATGAATTGGTCAAACCCAAACTCAAACAAAAACATTGATTTCAATCGTTATGAGTCCACCGATTGAATAGAATTTTATTATAAACAATTGTCTTGTAAATGGAATTTTTAAAGCATTCTGAATGTAAAAATAAAGAAAAAAGTGTGCAAGACAATAAGAAACACTACCTGCCAAAAAAAAAAGTGAAGTTTTGTTGAAATCGGTTGAAAAATGTAGGAAATCCCATATATAAACAAACACACACACACACACACACACACACACGCACGCACACACACACACACACACAGAAAGACCCAACCTCAGTTTTATAATAAGTATAACTCGATAACTTGATATTAATAAGTATAACTCGATATGAGTTGTCCCCCTTTCATTAATGCCTTAATCATGTTTTCAAATTGATTTCATGCAAAAACAATTGTGTTTTTCCAATTTTTGGTGCTGTCAGAACCACCACAAGGTAATTTTACGTAGTCCTGTGAAGTTTTGTTGAAATCGGTTGAAAAATGTAGGAAATCCGATCCAATATATAAACGTACAGACACACACACACAATCTGCATTTTATAATAAGTAAGATGATGGGAGATTCCATTATTATATATATATATATATATATATATATATAAATATATATATATTCAACTTTTTCATTTTTCCCCTGCCTTTTCATTTTTCGTCTGGAGAAATTGACTCCATTTATTAAGAAAACACGGTCTCAAGAGATGAATGCAAATTCATGAAATAAATTATAACCAAATGGATTTTAAGGATTCTGTACTCATTTATATATATATATATATATATATATATATATATATATATATATATATATATATTTATACTAGACTCTTCCACCATTCCATATTTATTCCACACACACACACACACACACACACACATATATATACATACATATATATATATATATATATATATATGGAATAAAATACATGATCGGAAAATAGTATTTAGTCCTTGCCGATGTGTTTCATCATCTGACTTTATCAAGGCAAGTGATGCTAAACAAAAAGTGAAATGTCTTATAGTTACATGAAATTCAAAAAAACACACATGTGAAGGCCTCTTTTGGGATATTAGTAACTCTCTTCTTTTTTCTTTTTGGCTTTGTATGTTATATATGATATATTCTAAGAAAATATATATATATATATATATATATATATATATATATATATATATATTGTGTGTGTGTGTGGTAATGCTATTCACAGATGGAGGGGCAGGTGATGTAATCATTAATAGTATTGTGAATGGAATCAGAAGACCATAATGATTCACTGATCTCAAGCAACAAAGAATGTTTATAGAAATGTTGCAGATGAATAGATTTATTTTATACAAAACATTGTACCTGTAAAAATGATGGGTTTATTTAAATATGTCTCAACATTTCTTCATTGAATCAGAATTTCTGTTTACTCTTTACTAAATAAAACTGCCTAAGATCAGAGTGTATAATCTTTGCATTCGGTGGGTATCAGACCACAACTACCCTGGATCTAACCAACGCCTTTATCCACTGTGCCATGTGTCCTTGAGTTCAATACCCGGTTAAGGCAGTGGAGAACTTGGAGAGGGGAATTAACAGGAGATAACTGATAACTGATAAGTGATAATACTATTTTCAGTAGTAAATGAATTTTTACAAAGCTGGGATGCTAACTGACTGCCTTTAAGGCAAAAGAGCTCCAACTTCCCTTTGTCATGTCTATAAGGAAATACATGAATAAAAAATTAATTATACTGTCATGGTTTCATGTCCATAAAGAAATAAAAATTAATTATAACGTCAAAAATAATTATAATAAAATAATTATAAAAATTATAATTATCATTCATTCACTCATTCTAAGCCAATGAGAATCAACACCACTTTTCTCCTCTACGCACACAAATACGTGATATTCTCACTATCAGACAAGCAGAGCACCTGGACAGTTCATTAACACATGCATCAATGAAAATTTCATCTCCTTTTTCTTTTTCATGCTATAATAGGAACATTTATTTTTAGAAAACCCCAGACTAAATTATCTGGACACTCATTAAACACATCTATGAAAAAATATACAAGAAAGACCGTATACACTTTGCTTATTATTTATTTTATCCTTCTGTCAGATTCTGTTCCATATTTGATCTACAGTTGACCCCAAACACACAATTATTGAACTCACACTCTTTGGGTTTTGTCACTGGATCTAACTAATGCCTTTATCCACTGTGTCATGTGTTCGTGATGACAATACCCGGTTAAGGCAGTAGAGAACTTGGAGAGGAGAATTAACAAGAGATAACTGAAAACTGACATCCATTAAAGCATGGCACGTGGAACTAGAACAGTTTACCCCAGTGAGCGAAATAAAGGGTTCAGTTCGACATTCCAACCACCTGAAGAAGGCCGGAGCATACAACGACCGAAATGTTGTGATAAACATGGTGACAAACATGAGGACAATAGTCCGAATAATGTAAATAGTGTACATAATACCTCATCTCAGAAATATAGACAGATATCATTCAGTTACTTGTGCCATGAATGAAGCAATTCAATTTGAAGAGAGAAAATGATGATGATATCAAATTTTGTTTAATTTGTAAATTAGAAGCAATTCATTAACTGAGTAATTAAAGGATTTCAATTTAATTGATAAAATATTCTTCTTTCAGGCTGATATATTCTCATATGGAATTATGCTGTATATGTTGTTGTCAGGAGGGAAGCATCCATTTGATCATCTCAAAGACCCCTATGAAATTGAACAGGCAATTTTAGATGTAAGTTTTTGAAAAGATATATTTGACCGCCTTTCGTTTTCAAGTACTACTACAACTACTGTTGCTCTTTTTCTTCATCTTCTCCATATCTAGCATATACACGGTGTTTACTCATTCCCCCACGAGAATGAGATGTGACACAAGGTCGGATTAATGTGGGGACCCGAGCACATACACCTTTTGTGCAAATTAATTGAAACAAAATGAATAATTCCATCATTATTTACTTTTTCTCATATTTTTCCAATGAAACATGACCCAGTGCACATGTTAGTAATTCATATGTTCATTCCATGAAGTTGTTCCTTGCAGATTGACTAGAGATTCTCAATTTGATTTAAATCAGGAGAGTTTCCAGGCCAGTTTATAGTATTTTGATTTGGTTTGGTTTGGTTTGGTTTGGTTTGGTTTGGTTTGGTTTGTTTTGTTTTACGTCATATCAACCTCAATGGGTCATTTAATGCCGACAACTTTTTTTTCCTTGTAATATTTTTATTTTGTCAAAAATTTATTTCTGGTAATATTTTTTCCCTCAAAATTGTATTGCTGGTAATATATTTTTTCAAAGCCCTATTGCTGGTAATATTTTTTCTTCAGAAATTTATTTCTGGTAATAATTTTTTACAAAGTATTTCTGGAATTAAAACCTATTTTTACACTTTCATAATGTTTTTTACCTCAGTTTCGGGGTTAACTATTTGCCTATAGCTGGGACCCTTACAAGTGCTACCACCCTGGGTCAGGGTGGACCTGGGAACACCAGCAATTAAGAGGTGGTTCCACGCTCCTCAAAGCCTCCTGATCAGAGGCCTTGCTGTTGGACATAGTTTATTGTCTTACCCTGGACATGGATGTATTTTATCATCATGCCCAGGACGTACTTTGATTTGCTCAGTGGTAAAGCTTTCCAGTGTGTTCATGCAGCGTTACAATTTTCATACACTTCCTTGGAGTAACATCCATCACAGACAATTGCCGTAGGACAACTATCCCTGATTTAAACTAAACAAGTCATTGTTGCCTATCAAGTTAGGGATTTGTAATATGATTGAAAATTTACTTCTATAGTGAACCATATTCATTCATTGAGGTGAGGTTAATTGCCCTTTAAATAAAACTGCAAGTTAAATAAGTTGAACTAATAATTTTAAATGTAAGAACTTATTTTTAGAAAATAGATAATCTTTGTATGTGTCTGTAAATAGTTGGGTATGAAAGTGTTCAGCATTGAACATACATTATTAGCCACTTTATCAATATATCTAAATATTTATTAAAATGGAAATGATTATTTCCTGTATGCTGGCAATATCATTTTTTTATTTGGAATCACCCCAAGCAAGGTGTTACAGGGTGTGGAAGAATTAGAAACAGAAACATTAACAATGAGCAGAAAGAGAAAAGAGTAATCAGGTGGACAGTAGATAGCTATTGACATTGCATTTAAATTTTTGCAGATTAAAGTTGGCTGGAAAGCATGAAGCCAGAAAGGAGTTCCACAAGCAAAAAGTGCGAGAAAAGAAACAACATAGAATTTACAGCTACATCTATCCAGCTGGACTGTAAATTGATGAGATCTCAATGCCAGTCTAGTATTGCACTTAAATTCAAAAACTCTAGATACCATAGCAAAGAGCTCATCTGAACAATTAACATGAAAGTATTTATAGAAAAGACATAAAGAGGCAACCTTAAAGTGGTGGGAGTGACTGTAGCTGATTTGCCAGATCAGGACCAATAATATTGCAGATTCTTCTTTGGATCTTATCAAGCATTGGTAATCGGGTCAGCAACAGTTACTGGTCAGTGATGCCCCTACTACCAGTAAATGGTATGCTGATGTTGGCACTGGAACATTGAAAACTAATTTTAATTTCATTATTGTTATAACAAGTAAATGGTTTCAAAGGAAAGGAACAAATAAGAACCACAATTCAATAACAATATATTGATCAAGTGGGAAGCATATGTACATAGTTGTGTGAAAGGTGGCAAAATTTGTTAATATGCAGTTATTTAGTTGCTATTGATAAGGAAAATGATTAGGTGGTCGGGTCAGGGGTTGACCAATTTGTTGGGTTGGGCTAGTTGGCCAAGGTCAGGATTGGTGTCAAGAGAGAGGGGCATGGAGCAGATTAGTGAAGCTGAGTGAGGTGTCAGTGGCTGGGGTTGACCAATTTTTGGGGTTGGGCTAGTTGGTCAATGTCAGAGTTGGTGTCAGGAGAGAGGCATGGAGCAGATTAGTGAAGCTGAGTGAGGTGTTAGGGACTAGGTTGATGTATGCCTTTATTCATGGTTAAAATCGAAACTGGTGAAGTGCTTGATGGGCTGGAGGTTGTGTGATGAGGCCTAGGTATTGAAGCCAAACTGCCTGTAAACAGTGAGGAGTACCATTTTTATATCTTTGGTTTAACAGGTGCAGGCTCCTAGACACATCCTTTTTTTCGGCAATGTTCGTGATTGGCTATTGCATTTTAGATTTTTGCGAGAATTTGCTTTGTGGAGCTGATGTGATGATCAGAGCCTCCTGTGAAGAAGATGACTTTTTTATTTTGTGTTTTGTTTTCACTCACATCTGGTCAATATGTCTAGGGAAATGTATTAGTGAATTAGAAAGAGATCTTAATTAAGTAGTATGATTATTATTATTGTCAAACACCATCCTGAATCTTTTGATAGATTTCTTTGGTTGTATTGATGGAAGCTTCCTTCACATTTATTTCATAGGCTTTTATGTTCACTGGCAAATGCTTCATTCTGTTCTTTTTACACATCTCACCAAGCTTCTAAATCAGTTCTATTACAAACAATCATTATTTTGGACTTTGAAGCCAATGGTTAAACGTGTCCTGCTTTGCAATTTCTTAGACAAATTGCTGATCGTATATATAAGAAATGGGTTATTGATTGAAATGATTCTTGTCCAGAAATCTGTAATTTTTATTTGTTTGCCATCAATCGTAATCATCTGAACTCAAAATTTCCCTTTTATAGTCAGACTATGTACAGGCCAGAAGAATTTGTCAATTGCAGACATGTCTTTCCAAGATGAAGTCTATGTACAACAATGCTCCAGCATATTTGGTAAAGAAAATTAATTAAAAAGTGGATTTCAAAGGCACTTGTTTGAAATGCAAAATTTGTTTATCTGACTTTAACTTTAATTTGTAAGTTATTCTGAAGGGGAAAATTTACATTGGTGGACAGCAATTTACTGGCAAAGATGAATTCATAATGCTATTCTAGATGCTCAGTCTTGTTCATATGAATAGATACAAAAACTCACAAAATGAAATTGATTTTTAAGACATAAAGCATACATTTCACACTAATATTGTCCTTATAACTTTCTTGTCACTACAATTTTTCTTGTCTTTGTTTAAAACACTTGTCTTTGTATACTTCTGTAACTACAGTTTTTAATTACAACATAATGTTTCTTGAAGTTGCAGTAACTTCTCAGTCAGTTATGTGCCATGCGTAATACACACTTAGGCAATCCTGTATCTTTTGATACATGACTGATGAGGCAGATTTTTTTCCCCACATTAGGTACTAAAAAAGTAACTACTCCAGGTGAGGGTTGAACTCACAACCTCTGCATTCCTTTCAATGCATAGCGATACACAGAGAAATTACTGTCTATAAGTATGACACATTAACTGATTGTAACTTCTAATAATATGAAACTTAGAAAATCTGATAAAATTAATAAAACTGTAACCAATTTGTAAGAATAACATTTGGTCAACTATGATTTGTACGCATTATGTGAAATATTAACTAATAATTTATAATTTTTTCTTTGAAAAATATCTTTATTTATATTGCTTCATTATTAATAAATAATGAAAAACACTACCATTATTTTTTTTAATTTATAGGAGCAGAGCATTTCTTTGCCTTCTTGTAAAAATGGTGGCACCTGGCCAGATATGCTTGATATACTTCACCAATGTCTTGACCACAACCCAGACCGACGTCCAACTGTAAGTAATGAAACTGTATTTGGAAGACATTTTAGTTCATAGTGATTCAGATCCACGTTGATTCTTATCTTTAAAGCCCCAAAAATAAAGATATTTAATTTTGGTATATTTAGTGTTTTTAATATAAAATTGTAACCAATGTTTGTTGTATTTCTTTACCCCCTATGTATAAAGCTGACTCCATCGCTTAAACTATTGGTCTGAAAAACTTCCTTCTCAAGGCAAAATAAGTGACGTAGGAGTTTTTTTATTTTGTCATTCAATTACATACCTCAACAGATAAAATATTTTTTGAAATGAAAACAAGAATGTCAAGTATGCCATCAAATACAGTTTTTCTCTAAATCATATTTTCAGGCTGAGCAAGTTTGTAAACACCTGAAAAACCCAGAAACAATTTCTCTGAAACAAATAATTCTGGTGACAAAGTCCTATTCAATTGATTGCATGATTGTCACAGTAAGTATTTTTCCTATCATACTGACTTTCCCTTTCCTACTTGACGTGCAAAAGAAGTTAATGAAATGAGATCATTCTCTCTGCTATCTTGTTTTACTAAGATTAGTATATTGGTATTTACATGTTTTTATTGTGAAATGCAGCAAAAGTAAAGGGGTCATCAGTCTAGAAAACAAAATCAATGACTTAAGATCAATATACAGCTGAGACTGTTAATTTAATATTGAATATAAATTTAAAATTCTCAGCATCCACTTTCCTTCATGCACATATGTAGTTGCATCAACATAAACATCACTCTAAAGTTCAAAGGACGAAATGCATCACACGGAAACTTTTTTCACTTTGTAATAGTTTTTATTTTTTCGAAAATTGTTCTTGACATATAAAAATATATACACTACAGTTCAAAAGTGGTAATTTTTTAAATTGGCCACAAAAGCAGTTGTTTTGTGCTTTTAATAAGAGAAAATCATTATACATGGTTAAGAGTCATAATTTTTTATTAAAAATTTTATTGACAAAAAGTGTTGTATATTGCTGTTGGGCTCAAATAAGGCAATGAACACATATATATATATAAATATAAATATCTTTATTGTTCAAGTTGCAGCAAATAGGTAGAGTGAGGTAGAATCACAAAGGTTAGGATTGCACACACAGAAATTGATGGAGACAAATCTTTGGTGAACCTCTAGCCATCCTCTCTGTCCAGAGCAAGAATTGGACTGGCTAAATAATATTTGGACACCTATGCAACTTCACATGGCTACACCTTCTTCGGATATGTTGCCTATGCAACTTCATGTGGCCATGCCTCTCCAGCATGCACCCATGCAAGCATGCATTTCCTTCTGCTCAGGACCCCTGTGTGCCCTGTTTATTTTATCCAACAGATACATTTCCTGCTTACACTATCACCAGTTCCAATCTCTACTCACACACTCATGCAGTGGAAGTAAGCCCAAATGTCTTTCCACAACTGATATCCAACAAAAGAAAAAAAGCATTTTATGATTAAATTTTGCTCTCATCAAACTATCCTCCTTTAGACTTGATTACTGCAGGACAAATTTTTGGCATTTGTCACAAAGGTTTTCAAAGTATAAGTTTCATAATTGATTCCATTCTTTTTTCAATGACTCTTAAGAGATCTTTTTCATTTTTTTTACTCTTCTGTGAAGTTCATCCCATATTAATCCTGGGGTGGCTTCAAAATTTTGAACTGTAGTGTATATTGTTTTGCAATATATATGATTAAACTCACTGATTACCAAAATGCTTTTGTCTAATTTATTTTTGCAGCGTGTCAAATATGATATGTTTCTTAGTGTAAGAGTTTAATTCTTTCTATTAGCAATTGGGATTGTCATGGATAGGAAAATATTACCAATTAAACTTAAACTTTAGTCAAATGCAACATTATAATTAACAAATATTTCTTTTTCTATTTTAGATAAGATTTTGGATCTTTTTTCTTTCTAGTAAAAATGAGAAGCGATTACGAAAACATTTTTCAGTTTTCAATGACATTTTTAAAATAAGGTTTCAATTTCTTAGTGAAAAATCTTTTAGCTGTATCTAGTTTATATAATTCAAAACTATCATTGTAGAGTTAAAGACAATGAAACCAACTCCCAGTAAAAATAGATTACTTCTTCAATGTTAAATGTTCATCATGCATACACCCTTGTACAAATTAATTGAAACAACCACTTTAGTTTCCTTTCTTTCACCATACGGTCAGTTTTAGACCCACTGGAGTGACAGGGTGTAATTGTATCTTTTCCTCATATTAGGTCATTTGCAGTGGTATGCAGGAACATGGATCTATTTTTGGGGTGAATGATAAAATTTGTTTGGCCTTGAAAAATATTGTGTCATCTGTGAATGCATCAGATTTTTATCATACCCAGACACTATTGTCTCGACTGTCAATTAGTTGTTCTATATTTATTGTCTGTGATGGACATTATTCCAAGGAAGCATATGAAAAATGTAACACTGCATGAACACACTGACAAGCCTTACCAGTGAGCAAATCAAAGTAATATAGACTAGCCTGGAAATTCTGTTGATTTAAATGCAATCAAGAATCTGTGGTCCATCTGCAAGGAATGACTTTGTGGAATGGACATATGAAGTACTAACATGTGCACTGGGTCATGTTTCATTAGAAAAATATGAAAAATAAATAATAATGGAATTGTCTATATTTCTGAGATGAGGTATTATGTACACTATTTATATTATTCAGACTATTGTCCTCATCTTTGTTGCCATATTTATCACAACATTTCAGCCGTTGTATGCTCAGGCCTTCTTCAGGTTGTTGGAATGTTGAACTGAACCCTTTATTTCGCTCACTGGGGTAGACTGCTCTAGTTCCACGTGCCATGTTTAATGGATGTCAGTTATCACTTATCTCCTGTTAATTCACTTCTCCAAGTTCTCCACTGCCTTAACCAGGTATTGAACTCATACTCTTTAGACCCTGTCACTGGTCAAAAATTACAATATGAGCACTGGTAAAAAATGGTTGCTGAAGACATTAGGTTTATAATACCCAGAAATTCATACACATATGTCCTCAAGGACACATGGCATGGTGGATAAAGGCGTTGGTTAGATCCAGTGACAGGACTCAAAGAGTGTGAATTCAATACACAGTTAAGGCAGTGGAAAACTTGTAGAGGAGAATTAACAGGAGATAACTGATAACTGACATCTATTAAAGCATGGCACGTGGAACTAGAACAGTCTACCCAAGTGAGCGAACTGAAGGGTTCACTTTGACATATGGCGACAAAGATGAGGACAATAGTCTGAATAATGTAAATAATGGAATTATTCATTTTGGTTCAGTTAATTAGCAAAGGGTGTAGGTAGAAGGCTTGAAATCTTTCTATTACAGAGAAATATGTATCCAGTAATGACTGAGCATTTTTTCAAACTTAATGCTTAATGTAATAATCTAAAAGGATACATAACTTTTTCTAAGCATAAACTGTAAAATTTAAAAACATTTTCAAAATTTACAACTTGACCTTTGGCCTTTATTTGACTAGGAAGATACCAATTACAATCTGACCTTGTGGGTGACCAGTGGTAATGACCAAAATATTCAGTTGTCATGGTTGAAGCCAAATGACAGTTCGGTTGAAGTTGCGGTAAGTAGGCAATTCTTGATTTGTTTTTTAATCTTCCTCTACATTACAATGAAAATGAAATCTAAATTATTATCTTGAATCTCTCACATTGTTATTCTCTATAACTGTTAAACTAATATGGATTGGAAATAGACATCTGATAAGCTATGAACTTGCATTCTTTATTCTTGGGAGCCTATCTTTTCATGACTACATTGTTATTGGTCTAGCTGCAAAGGCTTTACCTGTAGATATCAGGCTACAAAGCTGTGTAATGTTCACATGTGCAATTGAATAAAATAAATAAGAAATAAGTAACAATATTACAAGCATATTTCCCTTCAGATATGCAGTCACATGATGCATAAGTTTATAAGTAATGCCAAATTCAAGATCACTCTTTCTCTCTTTCCTCATGGACCTGCAAAATGGCAGATATGGCATGACTAAGTATTAAGGTAGGACTTAATTTCAGCAACTTTCTCCCTAATTATGGCGCACACACACACACACACACACATGCACACTATATATATATTGAAAAATTTTAAAATCAGTTGGCACTAAAACATTGTTTCTATTGTTGGATTACCCTCTGGTGATAATCATAGGTAGCGATATTTTGAATTACCTCCCCTGACAATAATTACAGGTGGTGTGAAATTTGAAAGTGACTTTCTCGGTGACTTTTCATAGCAAAAAGATTTATTCTTTTAGCTCTCATTCGCTATGTGCAATCAAATGAGCAGAACTTTCCCTCTGCAATAGAAATATAAAGAACAAAGTTCTTCAAAGCATATGATTTTGTCACAATATCTATTACTGACAGGCTTGGCCAATCTGACTTTGTAGTATATAGAACAATGCAAAATGTTCTTTTGAAGGCTTTGCATGTTCCTGTTGGTATATAAGCACCTCAGCTGCAGACACTGAAGGTTACTTTGGACTCTTCCCCATTTAAATTCATTTCTCATTTTTCCTTTTTGTAAAATGTCCTATCAATATATTTGTTAATATTTATTTGATTTAATTTTATGTCTTGTACTTATTTTTGCCTGGACTCACATGAGTTCACCAATATTGTTTGCAAGTCAAATGTACCAGCATTAAAAAACTCATCAAAAGTGATGAACACCAGCAACAATACCTAGGAAGTGAAATAAATTTTACTGAAAAGGATGTGAAAATTCCCATAACTAAAGCCTGGTCTGCCTTGAATAAAATGGATGTCATCTGATCTACCAGACAACCTCAAACAGAGATTCTTTTGTGTTAATGTAAAAGCAGTTTTCATGTATGGTGCCACTGCTTGAGCATTAACTAAAACCCTTGAGTCTAGGCTTGATGGAACCTACACTTAAATGCTGACAGCTATACTTAACATCTCTTGGAGACAACATTCAACTAAATGACAACTCTATGAACTTATCCCTGATATTTCAACAATCTTACATGAATGCAGAATGCACTTTTCAGGACACTGTTGGCAGGCATAGCAAAAAGACGTATTCTTTTTGCTCTCATTGGCATATAAGTACCTCAACTATAGACACTGAAGGTTTACTTTGAACTCTTCACATTTAATTTCATTACTCATTTTTCTTTTGTGAAATGTTCTATCAATATATTTGTTAATATTTATTTGTTTGAAGTCTACATTATATTTTTCCTTTGGATTTACACAGCCTGACAAAAATTGTTTGCAGTTCAAATGTACCAGAAGCATAAAAACTCATAAAAAGCGTTGAAGCCCACAACACTGTTTTTGTTGTCTTTATGCAATTTCTTTAAAACAGGCTTATAACATATTCATAACATTTTAAGGGTAATTGAAAAATGCACAACAAATATTTCTAGCTACATTCATTATTCATCTGATTGCCACTATATTAGAATTTATTATGCAAATAAATTTTAATACAATAAAATTGATAGTATCCAACCAATGTTGGTAATATTTTGGGGATATATTTATATTATGCAATTTCAGCTTGTAATATATATATTATTATGGGCATGTGGCTGATTGATTAAAACATTAGCATTTTGACCATGAGACCCGAGTTCGAATCTCACCATGGTTGATTTGCCAGAAAAGAGACTTCCTGATGTTATCAGACTGGAGGGGTCAATCCTAGCATACGGCAACTTTGGAAAGTGACTGAAAACCATACCATGTATTGACCTAAGCCTTGTAAGTGAAATTGGGAAGACAGAACCCTTGGGGGTTGTCGATAACTGTGCTAGCATAAAGTCACAAGTCATAATGGCTGAGGGCTTGAGCATGCTGGCCTTGTTCAAATTTTTGATCATGCTCTTTCCCAGAAACTGTAACTAAGGTCTGCTCAGCATAGTTGCAGTATCAACCACAGGTGGGCTCTGTGGGTGTTGAATAAACACAAATGGGCCTGAGCAAGTGTCTGCAACAGGGATTGGCTAACTGCCCTAGTAGATGGATATCCTCGAATACGAGTGGCCAGCTATATTATATATCCTTATTAAAACTATTGATAATAACTTGCTTTGTTGATTTGTTCTGTTACACAAAAGGCAACGTAAGTTCAAAATATGTAGGTCATACAAACATATATTTGCTTAACACAATATCCTATATAACTGAATAAATTATTATTTTATTTTACATGTTTATATCAACTCCTTGACATTCTATAACATTCATCAGTCTTTCATTCATTGGTTTTATTAACTTTTCTACTACCTCAAATTAAACATTAGTTATATTACTATATTACTTCCCAGAGATCTTCTTTGCATTAATATTTTCTCCATTATTTTTGTGATTTCAATGAACCCTTGATGCCACTGTTGTAATGTTAACAAATACTTGTTGTCACTTTCATAATGCTCGTTGTAGTAGAGACTTTGTAATTACAGATATAACTATAGTAACACCGCTGAACAAATACTGGTATCAGACGCCTTCAAATATTATGTGCACTAATAGTACTTGCTGAATAATACTCACTCAAAAAGTAACCACCGAATAGTGATCCATATAGTGATAACTATAAAGAAATAGTATAGTGAATAGTATAGAGAATAGCGATCCATATAGTAATAGAAGATAGAGTAGAAATAGTGATCAGTTAGACACCATGCTAATTCCCATATGTATATTTCCATGATCTACTTATTCAAAATGGGATCACCTGTGTTTGATCTCTGGTGATCTGCGTTCAAACTCCAGTGTTGACAGTGACACTTTATTCCTATATAACAATTCTCATATACATCTCTTTTAATGATGAACTACAAGTTTTCTTTTGGTTTAATATCTGGAGAGGCTGGAGCCATTCTATTAATTTGGTGTCTTTCAAACCTCTTATGGTAAGGTGGGCGATAATCAACTTTGCAAAATCTGAGGAATGGGCTCTTTAGCTAAAAGTTTTGTAATGAGTGATCTATGGAAGAATGGTTTATTCTCCCATTTACATTTCCCCCATTATGGGCATTATTATACCCATGATATAATAACACCATGTTTTTATGAACAGAATAGAATGGCTGAAAGAAAAAGGAGTGACAAACATGCTTTGTTCTCAGAGAGATTTTTATACCACCAAGCCATATACAAAATTACATATACATATTTACACATGTTCCATGTAGAGAATAATATATCATATATATCTACACAGCAAGAAGAACAAAAAGATAGGGTCTTACATATAATATGGAGATTCTTCTGTGTTTCTGGAGAAACTATTTTTAGGACTCCAGATTCAAATGGGCTAGATTCATCTACTATATCCAAAATGGGGACATATTCCATGAACTGGAAACAGTGAGTCTTGAGTTTTCCCAAATTGAGGACTACTAGCCAGAGATTTCTAAAACTGGGGAAGATATATTCCCAAAGGGAAATGGTAACATTGTAAGCTGCTGGGTGAGACAGATTTAGCCCCAGTTCAGGCTGAGTTGTCTGAGCCAAAAAAGTAACCAAATGAATTTGACTGTCACTTTCATCACTGTATGAAGTGACATCACTAAGAATCCGTCACATGACACATATGACTTCATATCCACCATAGCGAGATGATCACCTTTTGTATCTTTACAGCTTCTTACTTGTGACCTGTACAATTCAAATGATGCCATGTCTAAAAATTTGAATAATTCTCTGCACTTATCTTGGTACCATCATTAATTTTGAAAAGAGCAATAATTTTATGACCTATAATACTAGCATAAAACATTACTCCACCTCCCCAATTCTCCTCTAAGTTTAAGTTCTTTTTAAATAATTAACTTTTATATTTTAAATATTTTTCTGAAGAATTCTAAAGATATATATATATGTTTTTTGCAGGGTAAAATCTTAGACATCCACCGCCCCCTCTGCTTGCTTAGTGTCAACAATATTATTTTGTTAGGATGTATTTCTGGTAGAATTGAAGTGTTCCATGCAGATAAGAAGCAACACCTCCACAGCAGCAGCCAATCATTTGAGGCAGTATTGAGTATTTTTTGTTTTCATAGGTAAGAAAATGAAAATAAACATTGAACAATTTCAATAAATTCAGTTGATATTCAAATTTTTAACTTATTCTACAAATGTTGTATTTCATTTTTGAAGATGATGAATTGTGACCCTGCATTAATTTATTTGAACTGTTGTTCTCCTCTTCATTATTATAGATGCCTTTTTCAACAATTTTTTGAACAAGTACCTACTGGCCATTATTTTGGGGCTGATATCAGATCTCTGTTGACTATTGTGTAATCTTATCTCTATAATGTCAGTTCTTGTTCATTCCTGTTGAATCAGTACATATTGTTTCATTGCCTGATCCAAGGATTGAACTCATAACCATGAAATGATAGCAACACATATATAAATTTCCCTTTGTAAAGAAACAGCTGATCTCACTATTACACTTACCATACAGGGAATATTCAGCATTCATTGACCAAACAGTGTTATTGTCAATTGAAGTCTCTTTCTACTATTGATGGGAGTTTCCTTCCAAACCTTTTTGGTAGTGGAGAAAGCCAATATCTTGATTATAGAATTATTTTCCCTTCTAGTTATATGTGCAACTCATTTTTATTGTTACTTCTGTTGGAATTCTTCAGTTGAGGTGTTTATTTTAATTGATAAAGTTTTTGTCTGGAATTTTGTAGTGTCCCTCTAAAGGGTTGGATGAAGTATTATGTTTTTTAAAATCTAGAGGCTTCCTTGAATCCATTTTTAATCATTGATCTGAGAAAATGGTTATATATAGATGATAGTTTAGATATGATATCTGAGTGAGTTGGATGCTATACATGACATCCACATCCAGTTTAGTAAGCTACTATAAATACAACTTGTTATAAATGATTATAATTATTGACATATTCACATCCTTTTTTAGCATTAAAATCATGAAAAAAGAAGGAAATTCCATTAAAAAATATTAATTAAAAACACAAATCATAAATTTATATTAAATATATTTATTTTAAATAGCAAATATGGAAATGTTAAAAATTTATTGAAATATTAAATGGGTGGACCTCTGAAAGTCTTGCTGATCAAAGATTGGCACCTGACCTCTCTTTTGATCTAACACTAACTTCCCAATGGCAGGGAAAAACTGACTGGTTACATTCAATGCCTCTAAAACAAAACTGGTTACATTTCATCACTGCTGATCAGACCCCCGAACAACTGCCAGACACAATGAAAGGATGTCCCCCTCTAGGAGGCCGCAAGTACCTGACTCCTCATGCTATCCTCTATCTTTACAAGAGCCAGATCAGGCTGAAAAAGGAGTACTATTGCCATATTTGGGCAGAAGCTGCCCAGACCTCACTTTCCAGTCTCGATAGAGTTCAAAAGCGTCTCTGAGTCCTTGTGAGAGAAGAATTATTTACCCCACTTTAACCTCTCTCTCACAGGCAGGATGTGATGAGTTTCTCACTGTTCTATAGCTACTACCATAGAAAGTGCTTGGGCAAACTGCATCTCCTTGTACCACCAGGTCTGACCTTCACTGCTTGGACCTGCCATATATAGTAGCAAACCACCCACATATCCTCCATATTTTACTGGTGAGAAGTAAGTTCCACTCAAACATCTTCCCCCAAACCTATAGAACAGATTCCCAAGAGGAAGTTTCCCCAATCACTACAATCTTAGCCTGTTCCAGTCTAGAATCAACTGTTATCTGCCATCTCCTATCTATATAAACTACTCCTTATCATAACTCTTTACTGTGAGTGGTCCCCAGGCATTGTACAGGATGAACTATAAAAAAAAAAAATAAAGTATCAGCATTAAATATTGATTTTCAGCCATTTGCTTTATACAGTTAAACAGAATATAGACTGATGTGTTGACATGAAAAATTTAACCAACTTGTTATTAATGATGGAAGTTATAAAATTGTAACAATCTGTCATAAGAAATTCATAAAATTAGACACAGTTCTTATATTTTTTTTTGATGTTCCAAGGCCACATTCACTTGATAAAATTGAATATAATTCACATGAAAACAATGATTTATCCAAAGTAATTTCCCTCTTTAAATTGTATGACATCTGTGAATATTTTGTTGTCATCATAAAATTAATTTTTTTATTTCTAGAGTTAATGATTCAGATTTAATTCTTGCTGGTTCAGCTGATGGTAGCATTTCAGTTTTTCTTTTGGAGTCACTCATTAATGTAAGTATTTTGTCAAACTTGTCTGATTTGAATCATTAAATTCAAGAATAAAAAAAGTTATTTGTTAAATAAAATTATTTTAAAATTTTGAAGCAGTAGATTTTGTATTTTTCCTCTTTGTACCAAATCACAAGGATATCTGTTTTGTATTGTTTGCAGTTTAAAAAAAAAAAAGAGAAAAATTGATAATGAGAAGGGAAAGCTAATTCAATTGACTGAATAAAATAGGTTAATATAATTTGTCTCCCTTTATCAGTAATTTTTATATTTTCTCTTTTATATATATATATATATATATATATATATATATATATATTGTGTGTGTGTATTTAGACAGCATTTTTTCATTGATGCATGTTTCATTAAATAATATAGACAAGTTTTGTCTATTTATTTTATGTAAATTCTTTTCATATCATCTGATAAGCTTAATAACATTATCATTAAAAGACGAAAGAAAATCACCATATTGATACATATTTTTTAATCCTATCTAAGCTTTTGGCTTACATAAGCCATTATCAAAGATGACAATTATATTACAATATATCAAACAATACACGGACAAAACAATAATGATAGTCTGTTTTTGTTTGCATAGAAGATTTCCAAGCAATGACAAACTCATGCATACGAGACACTGGAAACGAAAATCGCACCACAGCTCATGACATCACACATAACTATGCGAGAGTGAAAACGAGAAGTATTAAGTCTATACATACATATATATATATAAGTTATAGCCGTCATCTGTCTGTTTGTTATCAAACTCCTCCTAGGGTTTTGGAGATAGACCCCCCCCTAACCAGATATATTCTGAAATTACATTACCTAGGGTATTTGGATAAGTATATTTTTTATTTTGAACAAAGGGACTTCCTAGTGGGTATCCCCATCACACCATCACTGAAAATTTTTTTCCCTTTGATATAAATTAAATTTAAATTTGAACAAGGGAAAATATTTAATGATGTAATCAGGGAATTTCTACAAGTATTTTATATCTGTCTATATCTCTGAGATGAAGTATTATAATTACTTACATTATTTACATTATTCAGACTGTCATCCTTATCTTCATTGCCATATTCACGTTTCAGATGTTATATGCTCCGGCCTTCTTCAGGTAATTGGAATTTCAAACCGAACCCTTTATTTCATCCAGATTAGATTGTTCTCGTTCCACGTGCCATGCTTCTTCCGGATGTCTCAGTTATTTCCCTTTAGCTCAACTCTCCAAGTTTGCTTCACTACTGCTGTGCCCTGGTATTGAACTCACAACTCTTTGGGTTTAGTAACTGGATCTAACCAACATCTTTATCCACTGTGTCATGTGTCATTGAGGACATGGAACTAGAACAATCTATCCTGGTGGACAAAATAAAGAGTTTTGTTCAAAATTCAATCACCTGAAGAAGGTCGAAGCATACAACAGCTGAAATGTGAATATGGCAATGAAGATGAGGATAACAGTCCAAGTAATGTAAATAATGTAAGTAAGTATGTTATAGTCATAGAACTCGCCATCAGCTTATTCAATCATTAACTTAAGAATTATGATTCATCATAAAATTCAAATTTTTATGAATATTTCTAGTTATTATTATTATTATTATTATTATTATTACTGTCAGTATTATTATCATTATTATCCTTATTATTATTATTATTATTATTTCCTTTGATTTCTGGTGTGTACACATTTCTGTCCGGATCCTGCCCAAAACCTAAAGTTAGAAATGGCATCATGACATTTTCCACTGACCAATTAAAAAAAAACAGACATATTTACATAGATAAAGGTCTTCATAAGGTGTGGGCTGTACGTGTGAGAACAATTTTTTGTATTTCTTTAAGGCATGGACTTCCAGGAATCCTTTCAATTAGTCTACTGGAATCTTTTTCAACCAATCCAAGGGCTCCAACTACAACAGGGATTGTTGATGTTTCCATGTGCCACATTTTTGAGATTTTGATTTCTTCTTCTTCTTATCATCATCATCAGTATCATCACTATTATTATCATTATTATTATTAAGGTATCATCATTTGTATACTATAATGGTTAATAGTAATGAATGGAAAGGAAAGAAAAGGAAAAGACCTGGACACAGACATTTTTTGTCAATAACTTTCTTTATTCTTCAAGTTAGTGTATTTTAATTGTATTGCACTATCCAAAATTGTACTCTAATATGTCAATTTTGTAATAACAGGCACACCAAACATTATTATTTGATTACCATCAAAATTACCCTTTTTTTTTTCTTTCCAATCACCTCTACTAAAAATTCCTGTTTTAACTGAAACCTCTCATTTCCTGACTTTACAGGTTGAAGATTGTAAACCACTATTCATTCAAAAGATTCAATTTCATGAACCTGTGATGTGTTTATGCCAATATGACAATGTTATTTATGCAAGTTGTGGAGATTCTGTATTCAAATTAAATTTACAAGTGGACATCACCAATCTGGATAAAACCTGCCCTCATTTTGAAATTGTTAAGATGAAGATGGGGCACAGGTAATTACATATACTTATTCTTTCCTTTATTCATTTCTCGGTATTCCTAAAAGAAAAAAAATATTATTATCCAAAATTATATATTCAGTTAGAAACAAATATTATTACTTTTTGAGCATTTATTAATGAACCCATGCAAGCAAAAAAATAACCTCAGTTTCATTATCCTTTTAAAAGTAACAATCATTAGAAAGACATTAAACCTGTTAACACTGCACACAAAGAGAAACAAAAAAAAATGGTTTGACAAGAATACCTGAAGCTCTTCCACTCTTGTCTGATCTGGAATTCCAAATCTAAATCCAGTGTCTTCTCATTCCTGTTGGAGAACACCTCACTGGTTAACTTCCACCATTTTCTATCTCTGGCCATGTAAGGCTGAGGTATCAGGTCAGATCATGGTGCCATCTTGCTTTTGGCCACTCTCTAGTTCTTTTCCACTGCCTTGGTGTTCACTCTGTCACTCTAATAATTCACTTGTTGTCTTTATTATTTCTAAAATGAGACCATCACACTCAGTCCTGTGATTCTGGCAACTTCTAAATACCTATAGATACCACATAAGCCTGAATAATTTTGAATAATACATTGATCAAAATATAAAGATGAAAACAAATTAAAATGATCATCTCCAAATAATCAAGGTATGACAATTTAATACCCACAAATAGTCCTCTGGAGGCAAAAGTTTTACTTAACTGTTATTATCTGCTGTCACCGTCAAAGTATTCACCTTGTGAATCTATGCACACTTTGTTAGATGATGGTGCCATCGCTGGAAACATTCTTGAAAGTTGTTTTGTGGAATGCATTTCAGTAATATAGTCATATATCAGCAAATCTTTGTCTTTTCAGAACAATTTTCAAAAGCCAAATCATGAGTGGACAGGTTAGGTAAATAAATTGGATGACCAATTTTGGTAATGGATTTCTTTGTGAATTCCTAACACATCATGTACAGAAGCATTGTCACAGTGAATCATCCACTTGTCAGGCAAGAATTCAGGTCTTTTTCCTGCAAGCTTGTATTCTTCAATCTGAGCACATCATGTTTTGCAGTTTATCCACATTTGCATCTCTCCTTTGTGTTTTTTGTTGTTCAATTCTTATGTCATCATGCACAGATCCTTGTATTTCCTTGAACTGCCTGTGCTATTCAAAAATACACAATTTCTTCACAGTTTGTTCACCATAAGCCATTTTTAATAGGGTTAATATTTCAGTAGCACAGCACTTTTACAAATCGTCACACAAAACTTTATGGTATTTCGCTGTTCCAGATTTCTCCCACTCATTTTCTATCAATATGATCACATACAATTTCGACTACTGTTCAGCAATTTGGTTTAGAACATAGAACATGTTCAGACATGCTCAGTCACTAATATTTCCTGGCTCATTATCCTCATTCAGGGCCTGTGCATACTACTCCTGAACTGTCCCAGTTGTTAGGGTAACCAGCTTGGGGTCCTACATAATGCTTTGTGATCCTTGTTATCTTATTAACATTTGCTTTTTCCTACCTACATTTATATATTTTACAAATTAAATTAAGAACAACTGACTTATAAAGGATGAATAATTTTTGTGGATTTTAACCTCATTTTTTTTTTCTGTCCAAATGCATAAATTTGTTTTTTTTTCATGCTGAGTCTCAGAAAAACATTTTATGAAAGTCACTTTTTTTTTTTTTATCCATAAATGTTGAATGTTTTAAAAATATTCAACTTTTTAACATGAAAAATCTCAAATTATTGTTAAAAATTGCTGCAAAACATTGTTAATTTAATTAATGATAGAATGACATGTATCTAATTTCTATTTAGATAAAACATTGTATTTATTTTCAATTTTTTCCAGTTGAATTGTTCACCTATATTGCATAATTAGGTTACAATAAAATTTCTATTTTATATGAATACTATCATATGAAAATTGAGATGTAGTAGAGTGGAGGGTCATGGGGCCCTTTCACTGGCCTTACCCTCATGACATGTTATTGTCATTCCAGAAATTAAATTGTTTCACCCAGTATAGAATTATGTAAATATTTCATCTGAGAACTTCAGACTATACATGAATGTACTGATCAAAATGTTACAATAAAAAACAACTGATGAAGATATTAGTCCGAAAAATATATAGAATAATATTAATCATGTTTTTTTATTGTCTTAGTTTAAAAAATCTTTATTCTCTTATCTTTTCTTTCTGTTTTGCTTTTAGCTTGTTTCCTGTTAACCAAGAAATTCCAAACATCAACACAATGGCTTTGTTTGAAAAACTGATGTACATTACTCGACGCAATGATTCAACCATTGAAATTTGGGATATTATGAAGGAAAAATATGAAAATTATGTTAATATTTTCAATTTCCTAACTGGGTGAGTGTATTCCTCAATTTTGAAGAAAAAATATAGCAAACTTTTTTTAGAGCTGAATTTTTATTCACCAGTTAAAGATGATGTTGAGAATATTCGAAATAAAGAAAGCAAATCTTGAAATTCCAATGATAGTTTTACTTTGAAGCATAAAATTAATAACCGCAAAATTACTTCCTTAAAGATAATATCTGAATTAAATTGAAAACTAAACACATTGATATAATTAATTTTTATTACTTCAAATTTTATGTTTAGTGGATACCAGTTTTTGAGAAAGATTCCATTTCTTTTACATTAAACTGTGTATATTATGTTTATTAATCTGAGCATATAAGAAAACTTGAGAAAGGGGAATTCAGGTTCAATTTCTGCCAGAGGGCACATTTTTTTTTTATTTAGTTTTGTTGAATGAGTAGGCCAACATACACTGTTTAAAATTAAAAATCAGAGCATCTGTTTCAAACATGGTTCATTACTAAAAATAACATTTGAAGTAATAAAAATGACAGACTAAAAATAAATCCATTATTATAAGTAATATAGAACTATAATATATATAATACACTATTTACATTATTCAGACTATTGTCCTCATCTTTGCCGCCATATTTATTACAATGTTTTGGCTATTGTACGCTCCAGCCTTCTTCAGGTGGTTGGAATGTCAAACTGAACCCTTTATTTCACTCACTGGCACAGTAGATAAAGGCATTAGTTAGATCCAGTGACAAGACCCAAAGAGTGTGAGTTCAATACCTGGTTACAGTGGTGAACCCAGTGAGCAATTTAAAGAGCTCAGTTCGACATGTACAACAGCCAAAACATTGTGATAAATATGGTGACAAAGATAAGGACAATAGTCCAAATAATGTAAATAGTGTACATAATACCTATCATCTCAGAAATATAGATAAATATATATAATATAGATATAAATAAAATAGACTTCCAAACAATTCCAAAGATAAATGCAGGAGATTTGTTACTTTTTAGTATTACCATATTTTCCAGCTTACAAGATGCTGTCGCTTGAAAGACACACCCTAATATTGGAAAGAAATTTCTAAGAAGAAAAAAAAAGTCATTCTCATACAACAACACATTCATCATGTGTCCTTAACTTACTGGAACTACATATTGTTTACATTAATCACTCGTCCGATTTTATTTGTATGGCAATTACATACTAGTCAAGAGCAGAAAGGCTCCCACTGCTGCTAGTAAATAAAATATGTTTACACTTGTGGCTCGGCTCCAGGAAGGTTTATAGTCTTGGAAATACTTTAACAGCTAAGTACTGAGGTTACATCATATAAAAGTTTGAATTAGATAGCTAACTTTATACTGTAATGACTCAACATAAAAATCCACGTCCCTATCAGTCAAGCCAATTAGGTGACCATCTAAGCTTACTTGAGCCTGGGCATTGCTTTACATTTGTCTTGGAAGATGCACACGTATTTTTCAGGGTATTTTTTATGAAAAAAAGTGTGTCTTTTAAGCCAAAAATACAGTGACTTACATTTATGGGTACCAGTGAATATATATAAAAGTTTACAGCTTTGGTCAACAATCTACAAATGGTGTCACACTAAAAACACCCAATCTGAAAAATCACATTGAAATTCTTAAAAAAAAAAAAAAAAAGAAATAACTCAAGTCAATTTGCAATTTCTCACAAGCAGAAATAGTGCAACATTTTCATTATTAAAGAAAAATGAAATGAAAAGTTGAGAGAGAAATTAGAAAACAAAATAAATGTTTCTAGTGATAAATGTATATATTTTTATGAAAAGGTAAAATTATATTCTCTATTGAAAGTTCATTGGGTTACAAAATATTTCTACTTGAATTGTGAATTGGAGGATTTAGACATCAGTTTTATTTCGTATCAGTCTTGCTATCACCATTTTGGGATTGCAAAACAGTTTTAAAAATGTGTATCTATACATTTTTTGATTGATTGATTGATTGCGTTTTTAAAAAATTATTTCTTGTTATGTTTTTTTGATTGGTTGTGATCCTCACTTATCTTTGTACAGTTTTCATTCCTTTTTGCCTTTAACTTTTCAGATGTGATGCCAATCAAGCAAGAATCACAGCAACATTACTTGATCAAACCAACAGCAGATTCTGGGTAGGCACTGGTGGTGGCCATCTTGTTCTCCTAGAATGTCACACCCTTCAACTCTTGAGAGTTATTTGCAGGCACCCAAATCCTATTCGCTCATTGCTTCTGTATACCAGTCCAGGTAAGACAAAGTTTTTTTTTTTTTTTTACCTGGACAGTGTCAAATAAGAATTAGAAGCTTGGGTAGTATTTGGAAACTAATTAGAGAAAGGATCTCTTCTTTTCATAAAAGAGTGACACCATTCTCAGAATTAATGTGGTATAATGGCTGTCAACATGGAAAAGCAAATTGGTGAACCAACATACAAGCACACATACACACATGCGCCTCACATGCATACTCCTCATGGAGTCTTCGGCTACAACCATAGCAAGTGATGCTGCTGCTATTTCAACAGCAAGTGAATCTTTACAGAGTACCAGCCCTACACCCAAAATGAACTTCCTTAAAGGGGTAAAGGGCTTTAATTGTGCTACTATTTAACCATAGATAGGTAGGGAGAAGTGAATTCATGCCTTTCCAAAAAGTATTAGTAAGAATAGGTGCAAAATTTCCAATTTTGCTTCTGACAATCTAAAACTATCTCAAGGAAAAAATAAAAAATATTGAAGTTTTATCAGCTTATGATATCATTTTAGAGTTATGGTTTTATATTTTATATATAATTTACATAGTACCCACCTATCTATTTATCTATCTATCTACCATATATTTCCGCATATAAAGTGACCTTTAGATAAGACAAGGTCAAAAAGTATAGCAAAATTTTCATTTTCCTATATCTGTAGTACAAGACAACTGCATGTTGATTATATAAAGATGTTGTTACTTACTGTATCCTTAAAAATTCAAAATAAATGAAATAGCAAAACCAATTCTATATCATGTTTTTCCTACACATCATCTAAAAGGCAAACCATTCTTTTGTTTACATTTTATCACATGATCTCTTATGAATACTGATTCTTCTACTTCCTCTACTTTTCCTGTATCTAAACAGTTACAAACAGCCTGGTGTACTAATGGCCATTTACTTATACTTCATTGACAATCACAAAATATCACTCATAACAGTATGATAATAGTACATGCCATTGCTGTGAATGCAATCATAATTCAATGTTTACATTTTCTCAGCTGAGCGTGCAAGGATACAAGTTGATTTCCTTGATATGGAATTATTCTTCAAATAGGTAATTTATTATGAAGTTATGCCAGTAATATATAAGGTAGAAATGATTTTATTATTTTTATTATCAGTTTATTTGATAATGTGAATCTTCTCATGTACGTTATTGGTTATCACCCTAAGGACGAGGTTAGCCTACTGACAAACATCATTCAGAACTTAAGGTTTCTTTTTTAGAATTGTAGTATAAGATGATGCCCAATTTTTAAGGTTGAATTTTGGGATTTAAAGGTCATCTTATATGTGGAAGTATACAATATCTATTTATCTATCTCAGTCTATTAATATCTATCTGCCGATCGATTATAGTCCAAGTATGGTTGTGTTAGAATATTCATTTATTTTTGTCTATTCTGTTTTCAGAGCCTTATGCATCAACAGAAGATCCTGTAGTTGTTTGTGGCACTTATGATGTTAGAATCCAGCAAGGCATACCAGAAGCAGGTCAGTCATTCACATATAATCTGAAATATACAGGGTGTCCATAAAGTTCGTGTGCACTTTAAAAAATTTATAACTTTATTTGTATTTGCAATAGAAATAATCTGTAAAAAATGTTATAAAGTTTAATGTACCTAGTTTTACGTATAGCTAAAATAACTAATGTGATTTCAGGCATTACTGTAAATCAGTTGGCAAATGTTTTCCGTGAACTGCAATAAAAACCTTAAAAAATATACATTTACTTCTTTCTAATCCTTTTTACAAATTATGTCTATCGCAAATACAAATAAAGTTATAAATTTTTTAAAGTGCACACGAACTTTATGGACACCTTGTATATGCAGAATGGAATAATGGATAGCAGCTCAGATTGAGGAATTGGAGAGCCAAGTTCAAATTCCAGATGAATCTGTTAAATTCACTTATGCGCTAATACCCTTGGGAAAGGTATGAATCTTCTTCTACCCTAGTTATGGGTAAATAGCAGGACAGGCTGGGTTCAATAGCCTTGGATAGCAACTGGTCTGAATTCAAAACCTGCAGAGGGACACTTGGGGACCTTGTGGTGTATGGTGCACCAGGTCTCTGTATTTGGTTCTTCAAAAAGAGTGGTTGGTTCTGTGGAAAGACTTCAACACTATAATCAAATCATATGAGCAGATTTTCTGACTGTCAGTTCCTAGGAACTGAGCAGCCTGACCCTCATACATTGTAAAAAGGGTCCCCAGTATGCTAAGGTCAACAGCCTGCATCAATCAACGAGATATATATATATATATATATATATATATATATATATATATATATATATATTATATATAAATTTTTATACTAATAATACTAATAATAGATATATATTTGACCCTTACCTTTTGGTACAATTCTTGAGTTTTATGCACATGGTAATATGTCAAGCACAAATTGAACAGAATTGCATCAAACAGTGAGGAATAAATGTGCATCTATTATTAGCATAAATTTTAGCTGTTATTTTACATTGAGTGCTTTTTATTACTGCCTGCACTTATTGTGTGCTATTTATATTATAGACAAAAAAATGATAAAAAATACAATTATATAAAATGAAAAAATTATAAAATTTATATAAAAAATATAAATATTTATTTGAAATAAAATATTATATATATATATATATATATATACATACTATATATATATATATAAGATTTAAGAAAAGCAGATATTTTTATATCTAGTGCTCATTATTAAAAATATTAAGATAATATTAAAAATAGTGTTAATATTATATATAAAAAAGATTAATTAACTTTTAAACATGGGAAAAAAATTGATATTTAAAAGTTAAGTAATCTTTATATATATATAATGTGTGTGTGTGTGAAAAGTGTATATAAATATAAATAAATATATATATATGTATAATTATTTATATATTATATGCGCTTTAATTATTATAAGCACTCAATATCAGAGATAGAGCTAACATATTTGGTTGGATAGATGTGAGTTTGTTCACATCTATCCAACCATGTATGTATATGAGTTAAAGATCAAATGCAAATCAAATATGGATCAAAATCTGACAGAATAAGATAAAGAACAAATATGAAACGTTTATCAATCTAACATGTTTCACTTTTATTAAAGCTTAGTTAATTTTTTTCCTTGTTCAATTACTTGACATGATTTGTTGTTATTTCCTTGTTCTTTCTCTTTCAGAGAAATATGGTTGCGTTAGTGTATGGGATACTCATATAGTGGAGTACATTGAAAGATTTGAAGAAGAAGCACAAAAACGACATGAGCTTACAAATATGACAAGCCACATGTAATCCTAGATGTATATATGTGTAAAATAACTATTTTATATATATATATATATATATGTGTGTGTAATAAATTTGGGTATGTATATGCAACAGAGTTATAAGTTACTGACATTTAGAAAAATGTTCATGAAAGTATGTTTCAAAAATAATATCTGATAATGCATTTCACCTATGTGGCTTCAGATAGATAACGAAAAATGTGTTGTGTGTGTATGCATGTGTGTGTTTAAAAAAATTAAATCTTATTATTTTTCCAAAACTGCTGTTGCTCAAGACTAAAACATTTTTTGTTATCCATCTGATGAAGCCATATAGGCAAAATGTATTATTGAATATTATTTTTGAAACATACTTTCATGAAAGTTTTTCCAAATGTCAATAATATATATATATATATATATGATAAAAATATAGTTTTAAGGTATGACATATTTATGAGTAAAAATGCTCAATATCAAATATAGAGTGTATGTAGATATAAAAGTGGACACTGAGGTCAACACCCAGTGGAAACAGTCTGTTTCATACTTGAATGCAATATTCATGTCATATATATATATATATATATATATATATATATATATATATAATCTGTTATGGTGAAACACACCTATTATATAGTTAATAGACTCTCCCACCTAATATAAGTAGGAGTAGTAATAGAAACGGGGGGGGGGTCAGTCAGTCAGTGTCAGATGACAGTCAAATACGAAAGTATCAGCAACCACGACCAGATTACTCTGCATAATACCAAGTTCCTAAGGTTTTGTACGTTGAACCTATTTTAGGACCAACTTAGTACAAATACAATCCTCCACCGCAAAATAACTCCACAACAATATCATTGCTTATACATCACCAGACACTGATTTTACATGTTTACCTTCTGAAGCTAATATGAAAAACTTGCTCAATGTTAAATTATTCACTGCTATCAACACAGATCTATTAAAAAAGTAGAACAGAAAATTGGACAAAAGAAAATGCAACCAAAATAATTGGCAATATGAACAGAAAAAAAAAACAAAAAATATTAGAAACAGCTGACCGGTTTTCATTCATCTCTCATCAAAGCTCGATTAAGGAATTAAAATAATGTGCACAACTAAAGAAAAGCTGTGGAGGATGAAGATAAGAAAGACACATATATGTATGCTATAAACAGATCACACTGTGACTCAAGAACTATTTATTTTGTTTATACAATGAAGGCTGTCTTATTTTAATAAAAATTGTCTTAAGAATTTTCAAATGAAAATCAGAAATTATGAGATGAAAATATTCCTGTTTCACAATGCATTTTTCTAACCAATGTCTATAAATGTATATAGTCTGATCTCACATATAATGTAATCTGCTATTTTGTTGTTATAAAAAAAAAAAAAAAAAAAAAAAAAAAAAATAATGACTAGATTTCATTCCCCACTTTACAATTCACAGAAAGTATAGTGCAACCAGTTTTCAGTATGATTTTAGAAGCTAACATGAAACCTGAAGTTGGATACCTTTGACTACTTCAGATTCAACACCAAGGAATGTTAATTAAAATTACCTGTAACTGTTAACCCACAAATGATGTTAATTAATGAAACTTCGAGATGGTGTCACAGGGTAGCGGGCTTCCTAGGCTGAACTCAATGGCCAGAGTAGAAGGTTCAAGTTAGAGGACTTCAGCTGTGGTTTTGATCTGGAGAGGAATGGGCTCTGACAGGTCTACTTACACAAAGCGTGCTATGCATGAATACCTCCCAGCTTTCAACCCAGATGTAAGGAGAGAACTGGTTGGGTGCTCGGCAAACCTACAACCATACTCAGTCATGGGTTGTTGATGATGATGATGGCTTTGTTTTCGTTTTCTCCTCTGTGATTAAATTGTAACTCTACTGTACTTAATTGTACTGTACTGCTATGATTAAAAAATACTTTCTATTGATTCTAGAGAATCCCCATTGTCTTATTCTTGACCCCCCCCCACATGTTATGAAGAGTATATCAGTTAAAAAATTGTTTAAAGAAATAAAAAAAAAAAATGAAGATACAAGTCTCAAAGTTGTGTAGAATAATTACTCAATGTAATTAATGCCATTTTTGGTGCTACCAAATCCAAATAAATTGATTTTTGTTTCATCTGTTCACAAGATGTTGCCCTAAAACAATGAATTTTGCTGCTTATTATTCTCCTCTGCAAACTTTAAATGGATCTTATACAATGTATGTATTAACAAAACAGAGGTATACATAGACAATAGAAGATTGTTGCATGTGACAAAACAATGAATATGAAAGAAAACATTTAAACTAGTCTATATGAAGTTGTGTAGAAGTAATTCCTAGAGAAAAGGAAGTGAAAAGGTATGTGCATGTGATTCCCAGTGGAGGATGCTTTTCTCCATTTGTGCCCTACATCTTACCATCTAAGAGAGAATGACAGAATATCACTGCCTATTTATAGGTTTAGAAAGAATCCCCTAGTGACAGTTTTTTAGCAAAGTAAGTGGAGGTAACCTCACAAGGGACAGAAAGCAATATGTGTGTGTGTGTGTGTGTGTGTGTGTATATAGCCCACAAGATATACAAAGTAGTCACAATTATACACATTTCTCCCGTCTTCTTTTGTCACTCTTTCATTCAAAATATATTTAATGATCTATTGATGATTAACTGGTGATGGTGGTGCTTGTAGTATATTTTTCTCTTTTTCATGCAATACAAAGCCCAAGAGTCACTCAAGGTAGAGCGTTAGTGAACAAGGTTGTTGTAAGAACATACAGGGAAGAAGTAAAAATTTGCATATTATGAGAATATGTAGGACAGTGGTTGACCCTAGATTTGAAAAGTTAAAATTGTAGTAGTCAGGAAAGCATCCTCTCAGGAGTCTGTTCCACAAAGTTACAGCTCTGTGGAAGAAGCTATTTGTGTAGTAGTATTTTATTGTTCTATGAATTTTAAGTTAATTGCTTCCCCCATTACAAATATCTTGCCGTATTTTTCAAGTTTTGAGGTCATTGCAAATTCTTTAACACCATTTCTTTTAAGGTATGCAGTTAGAGATGAATTCTCATAAGAGGTCAGTAGCATTCAGTGCTAGGATGGTTATTTAAAAATCACATTTTTTAAATGAATATATACACATTAGAATTGCACAAAAAAAAAAAAAAAAAAAAAAATGATACCTAAGATTTAAAATGTATTTTAAAAAATGGTAAATCTTTCTTGAAATTTTTATCTTAGTTTTAGTTCCAAGCTAATAGATCAAATTTAAGGTAGGCCTGCTTTTTTACATACTATTAGAACGTTATTAACAGTAAAAGAGTAGCACCCAACATCAGATTGTAGTGAAAGAGATAATCGGCTACCTTGAAAAAGAGTTCATGTTTTGTGTGCAATCTGACGAAGAAAAATTACCAAAAAGTAGTTAGCAAAAATCTACTTTAAAGACCAGAATCTATGCTAATGTTCTTCCCTCCCTGGAGTGACGTGACCAATCAGAAAGATCTCTTGGTGAACAAAAGCCGTTGTTTTTTGCTTATGCACATTAGATTTTCTGAGCTTGGTGGACAAACAGGCATTTTTGCTGGTGAGAAGTGAAAGTTGGATGTGTGAACCCATTTTGTCGTTTCTATGTTGCCTGTTGGACTGTTACAATGGACTATCATTTGAACTGTGACTTGGCTACAAGTGTTGCAGTCGAGAGACAGAAGAAATCTATTGCAGACGTTTATTGCTACTATAAGTCGACAGTCTTTTCTTTTTTTTTTTTTACTTACAACTATACAGATGGAAAGTACTGGCTAAATCCAGATCATATAACAGAGTTGGTAACTTTCCTTTGATTATTGCAACTAAGAATATGACGATGTAAGGGAGATAACTTATATTTATTATATTATTAAAGATTTTATTATTCAATTTTAAGTTTACTGTACAGGGGCAAGTTTATCGTAAATATCGCATAGTATGAATTCTATTATGATCAAATAAAGAAAAATACAAAATTTAAACAATTTCTTGATATCTCTAACGTCTTAGTACGATGAGAGTAACAACATCAAAATTCAAAATGGTGTTACAGTGTCCAAGAGATATAAGTAAGAATTATAGTCTTGAGTAATTTCCCTTACAGACAATCTATATAATTTAAGTGATAATTTCAAAATGGTTAAGAGAAGATATGTTTGCTCAATATTATATAGACTGTTTTTTCAAATAATCATACGGGCAATTGAAACTGACTTATGTCTGAACATTTTAATAAAAGAGAGAAAACTCTAAACTTTGATGGTTTCAACTAGAGTGATAATAAAATGAACAAAACTTGATTCCTTTAAAAATATTTTTTAAAAATTCAATTAATCTTCATTCATTTTTATTATGTAGTCTATGTCTATTAAGTAAGAATAGAGAAAATGAGGAAGAATCTAACTAAATGTGAATCCAAGCTGCCTATTTACTAGTCATAGATCACTTAGACTGAAAATCTAATGGAACAGTTATAAGGATGCATTTTATTTGGTGAATTCAAGAAGTTAGATCTTCAAAGAGTTTCTCAATCTTTGTTGTATATTAATTAATTAATTATCTCTTAGTATAACCAAAGACAGTTGCAATGTTCATAGTGAATGACTTTTCAATTCTGTTAGTGAAAAAAAAAAAAGTTGGCAAACCATTTCGGTGTACCATAAAGAAATAAACAAAAAGAAATAAAAACAAAAATAAATAAATAAAAGAGGCAATCATCTATATGAATAAATACAAAATTGGAGCCCAATTCTCCCACAAATTATGAAGTTAAAAAGGTCCCAACTCTATAGTAATTTACACACTAATAACTCTTCCGAATGTCTCAGTTATTTCCCTTTAATTCATGTCTCGAAATTGTTTTATTTAGTTCACCACTGCTGTAGCTTGGTATTGAACATAAAAACTTCTCACCACTGACAAATGGAGAAAATTGGTATGGTTTAGACACATTACAAGGCTCAACAGCCTGTGCAAGATCATCA